GGGGAAAAAATGCCTCAAGAACATTTTAGCAGGTTTTGCTCTGTGTTAGGTGGTATAATTTCTTTGAAGAGACTTCAGTTAAGACCTACAGTACTTTTTCAAGGCTTTTTGAAGTAAAATTCATGTTTGTTTCAGGTGTATTATTGTTTTGAAGGCTGGTCTTAAAGCAGCCCAGTTCTGTACTGGGTGTGACTGTGTAAACAGACACTGGGATGCTCTTTGATATGATATATTAAGCTCTATGATCTGACACTACTGTTCATTCTTCCTTGCCCCTCTCCTAGGTAGGCACAGCTCCCTAGCACTGTGCCTACCATCAAAGCTCAGGGTCACGTGGGCAAGAAATGGGAGCATGTGGGGTTTTGCCTGAGGGTGAGAAGGCAGAAGCAGGAAGAGGACAAGCCCTTCCAGCTGACTAAACAACAACGAAAACTTGTACTTCTAAACAAACTGAAGCTCAAAAATATCACATCCCCAAGATAACTCCTAAGGTACTGTCACACCTCTAACTCTGCACTTTTGTGACTTTTTAAAATAATTTCAAATCTATATTTCATGTTCATTGACATGTGTGAAGATGGCACTGGGTAGCCACTAGGAACTGGCTTTATTTTTTTAAAGCATATTTTATTGACTATGCTATTACAGTTGTCCCATTTTTCTCCCCTTAATTCCCCTCTGCCCTGTCCCTCCTCTCCTACCAGCATTTATCCCCCTCCCTGTCCATTTTGTACCTACCAACTATGCTTTTTATCCCCTTTACCTTTTCCCTCATTCTCCCCCTCCCTGCCGATCTCCCTCCATGGGATCTCCATTTCTGTGATTCTGTTTTTGTTCTAGTTGTTTGCATAGTTTTTTTGTTTTTGTTTTTTAGATTCAGTTTTTGATAGCTGTTTGTTGTCATTTTATTATTCATAGTTTTTGATCTTCCTCTTTTTCTTAGATAAGTCCCTTTAACATTTCATATAAGAAGGGTTTGGTGATGATGAACTCCTTTAACTTGACCTTATCTGGGAAGCACTTTATCTGCCTTCCCATTCCAAATAATAGCTTTGCTGGATAGAGTAATCTTGGATGTAGGTTTCTTGCCTTTCATGACTTTGTATCCTTCTTTCCAGTCCTTCTTGTGTGTAAGGCTTCCTTTGAGAAATCTGCTGATAGTCTTCTGGGAACTCCTTTGTAGGTAACTCTCTCCTTTTGCTGTTTTTAAGATTCTTTATCTTTAATCTTGGATAATTTAATTATGATGTGTCTTGGTGTGTTCCTCCTTGAGTTCAACTTCTTTGGGACTCTCTGAGCTTACTGGACTTCCTTTGTTTCCTTTGCCAGATCAGAGAAGTTCTCCTTCATTATTTTTTCAAATAAGTTTTCAATTCCTTGCTCTTCCTCCTCTCCTTCTGGTACCCCTATGATTCAGATGTTGGGATATTTAAATTTGTCCCAGAGGTTCCTAAGCCTCTCCTCATTTTTTTGAATTCTTATTTCTTCATTCTGTTCTGGTTGAATGTTTACTTCTTCCTTCTCTCCCAAATTGTTGATTTAAGTCCTGGTTTCCTTACCTTCACTATTCCCTGTATATTTTCCTTTATTTCATTTTGTATAGCCTTCACTTTTTCCTCTATTTTGCATCCATATTCAACCATTTCTGTGAGCATCCTGATTACTAGGATTTTGAACTCTTCATTTGATAGGTTGGCTATCTCTTCATCACTTAGTTGTATTTTTTTTTCTGTAGTTTTGATCTGTTCTTTCATTTGGACCATATTTCTTTGTCTCAGCATGCCTGTTATGTTGGAAGGGGCAGAGCCTTAGGTATCCGCCAGGGCGGGGCAACCCAGGTCATTGCATTGCGGCACTATATGTGGAGGAGGGGTCAGAGAAGGGATAACCCTGCTTGCTCATCTCTTGCCACACTTTCAATCACTTCCCCAATATCCACAAGTGGATTGTGCCCTCTCAGGTGCTGATTCCTGGGTGGATGGGTTTGTGTACATTCTAGGACCCCTTGAGTCCCTCCAATGAACTCTCTTGTGAGGCTGGGAGTTTCCCACTGGTTTTTACCACCAAAAGTTTTGAGGCTTTAGTTTCCCACACTGGACCCCTGGGTTACACGGTCTGTCTCACTCTGCAGCTGTTCCTCCCAGATTATCCACTTGTGAATATGAGATATCCTGGTCCTCCAGCTGCCAACTTGCCCACATCCTCTTTGCCCCTGCTGCCCAACTCCGCCCCTCCTACCGGTCTGAATGAATGTTTCTTCTTTAACTCTTTGGTTGTTGGACTCCCATACAGTTTGATTTTCTGGCAGTTCTTGTTTTGTTTTGTTTTGTTTTTTGTTTTTAAATTGGTTGTTTTTCTTCTTTTGGTTGTGCAAAGAAGCAAAGCATACCTACCTATGACTCCGTGTTGGCCGGGAGGAACTGGATTTAATATTCGCACCATATACCCAGATAAATTCCAAATGGATCAAAATTTTTAATTTTTTTAAGTTTATAAAAGAAAACACATGTGTGAATTCCTTGTAACCTAAGAGTAGAAAAAGACCTTTCTAATGATGACTCAACAGAAACCATGAAAGAAATGATTGATAAATTTTACTATAAAATGTTTCTATGGAAAAAAAAAATAAAGATAAGCAAAGGCAAAGATACTACCAGCAAAGTGGGAGAAAAAGGTCATACATAGCCCAGATAAAAAGCTAATCTCCATGTATATAAGAGGAAAACCTAGCAAGTGAAAAGGAAAATAGGCAAAGGGCATGAAAACATATATACCAAAAATGATGCTTAATAACACTCATAAAATAAGATAATTATGAATGAAAACTTAACTGACATACTATTTGTTTTTTGTGTATTAGATTTTCAAAAAGCCAAAAGTTTGAACACACACTCCAATGGTGAGGGTACAGAGAAACAGAAATTTCCATTGCCAGGGGCATACAACGTGATTCGACTTCCATGTGAATAGCTGTTTGTTTTTCTGTTCTCCTGATCTGTTTTTCAAATGCAGACAAGAATTGGCAAGAAAGACAGAGGGCGAGGCAAGGGAGTTCAGGATACTCGCAAGGGACTGATTCCATTGGTGTACGATGGACTATAAAGTGAGTGAGGAGGGACAGAAGGACATAAGGCAGTGATATCTAATGAAAGTATCAGTCAGTTAGAACTCCCTCTGAGGCTGAAGAACTGATAGAGGGGGTTACACAGAAGAGTGAGTGAGATAGAAAGATAGGACATGGTTAGAGAGTAGAGTGCTTAAAATAAAGATTTTTAGACATGATATAACAATTGATATTACCAAAGACTAGGGCAGTGAGTGCCAGGACGAGATCATTCAAAGTGTGTAGGTCAAAGAAATGAGAGGTCAAGTGGACCATCCATATGGACACTGAAATCTGTGTGCATGATGACGGGGTTGGGGATGGAGAGAAAGGCAATAAAGTATAACAATTTCAATGGAGCGGAGGGGCAGGAAGCCTAATTAGGTGGGTTGAGGAGAGAATGATAGATGAGAAAATGTAGCCAGTGATTACAGAAAACAACTCTTTTGACAACTTCTGCAGTGAAGCGAACAGAAAACTTGTAGGAGCAGGAGGGGTCTGAAAAAGACATGGGGATCAAGGGTCATTTCAAGATGGAGGATTCTGGAGAATATGTGTATACTCATGGGCTGATTGATTGGAAAGGGAGACGTTCATGCCATAGGAGAGAGAAGAAATAACTGCAGCAACTTCTTCAGGAGACAAGAGTGGAATCCAAAGCACAAGTGCAGGATCTTGCTTTTCATAGAAAGAGACACCATTGTCTCTTTCAATATGAGAAAAGACGGAAGCCTTGGGTGTAGATTCGGGTAAGGCAGTAGATCAGTGGCGGGAAAATATGGGAGTTTGTGACTGATTGTTTCTATTTTCCCCAATAAAGTATGAGGCAAAATCTTCAGCCATTTGGGGGTCAAAGGTGTGAGGCTGGGGGAGTGAGAACTAACTAGGTGGATAAAGTGGGCTTACTAGGCAGTACCAAGTGACCAACTGAGATTAGGGGTCATGAACCTGAAATAGATGCACTCAGTATGATTGTGGGATTTTTGTACAGCAGCTGGTTGTATAAGCAGAAGGTGAGTAGTTGGGTTTAACCAAGGTGGGGTCTTGCTTGGAGAAGTATGGTGGTTAGCCAAAAAGCCCGTGGGTGGTAGATTACTTGAGCAACTGAAATGATAGACCATGAAATTGAGGCTGATAAAGAGGAGTCAAGGAAAATATGAGATTTAAAAAAATGGTCAGCCAAGGGATTGGAAGTCCAATGTAGACAAAGACTTGTGAGTAGGGTTATCAATGAAAGGTTAGAAGTGAGCTGGTGTGGTCAGAGTAAAAGATGTTCCTACCCAAGTCCCATTAGCCCTGTTACCCCATGAACTGAGTGAGGACTGAGCATAGAGTAAGCACTTAGTAAAATGTATCCTTTTAATACTTGCTCAGTGAGTGTTTTGTTACTACAACTTTAACAATATAGCATTTTGTTGTATTGTTAAATAGCATTTCTTGAGTGTCACCATGAGCTGAACAAACACTGACAAAAATATCTTCCCTTCACTGATCCTCCCTTTACCTGGGGAGAAAGACAATGATGAAATGCAAAATCTTAAGTGCTGTAAAAGAGGTAATGTATAAAGTGGCCACCCAGAGGAATACAATAACTACCTGTAGAGGGGAATTAAGAAGGGCTTCAAAAAGAAGTGACAATGGATAATCAAGGACAGCCAGGAGGTCATCGGGTGGAAGGAGGAGAGAGTGAAGAGATTCAGTTTCTCTCAATACTAGAGTCTCAATTTCCCACCAGACTCCCTTCAGGTCCAAAACTAGGTGACTGCAAGGCAGCAGGTAAATGATACAAGGGCTAATGTTCCTTTAATACAAAGCTAGCATGCAAACCTTCACATCAGGACCCCAAGTTTTAGGTGGGGCGCGTTGCTCGCTGCTTTGGAGGGGCCCCAACACCTACCGCTCAGAGGAGACCGGGGAATCCGTGGCAGGAATCTGATCACCAGAGATGGAGAGATCAAGGCGGAGCTGGGAAGCAGCTCAGCTTCATGGGACTTCTGGGAATCTTGGGGCCCCCGGGGCTTACGGTGTGCGCGGACCTTGCGGAGCTCACGGGGTGCACGGGGCTCCTGGGGCTCGCAGGGAGCATGGAGCTCATAGGGGTGGTAGGATTCATAGGGGTCGTAGGGTTCGTAGGGTTCGAGGGGCTCCCTGGACGCATGGGGCTTGTAGAATTCGTAGGGTTCATAGGGTTCGTAGGGTTCATAGGATTCGTACCGTTCGCGGGGTCCCCGGAGAGTATGGGGAGCATGGGGCTCGGAGGGTTCGCAGGGCTCATAGTGTTCGTCGGATTCAGAGAGTGGATATGGCTTATAGCATTCGTGGGGCTCAGAGATCGTGTAGGCCGCTCGCGGGCCTGGCTTGTCGGCGTCCTCCGGCACCTCGAGCTCTTCCGGCTCCCCAGGTTCCTCCTCCTCCTCAGGCTCCGCGGGCTCGTTTTGCAGGTTGAGGATCCTGTGTACGAAGGGCGTCCGGAGGGCTTCCGAGATGGCGGGTATTTCTGTCGTATCATGCCCATCTAACACCTCGGATGAACCCGAAAACTCTTGGTTCTCCATGCGGGTCCGGGGAGCTCTGCGGCGCGGGGCGCCGACCCGAGCTGGGTCGTTGTGGTCCGTGGGCGCGATGGGAGGGGGATGAGGAGCCGCCCGCGCTGGACCTCAGCCCACCCCCACCTGACACAGGCGGCTAGACACGCTGCGTCCCCACCCACTCCCCCGACTGTTCACCAGTTGCCAAGGCGACGCGACGCGCTCCAGAGGCCCAGAGGCCACCTCTGCCGGCCGGCCGGCCGGAGCCGGAGACACGTGTCCGCGGAGACTTGGGGCGCGCTGCAGGCCAGATGTTAGCACGTCAAGGACAAGTACTTTCGTTTGCCCTCTCGGTTGCTGAGGCCCTGGTGCAAAGCGCCCGAGCTTCCAGACTGGTCACAGCGCCACCAGACAGCACAGCCAGGTCTCTGTTAGGTTCTCTGACACAGATTCTCCATAGGCTTTCGTCCCCTAATCAAGCTCGAAAGGGATGCTGAGACTGACGGCCCAGGCCACCATTATCCCTCTGTATCCGGCAATGCCTTCCCAACCGGCGGTCTGACTTGGCCGACCTCCAATTATGACACTCCAACTGTGAAACCGTTTAGAGTAAATCCCCAGCTGTGCACCGTAAGATGCCACATGTGTGATCGAGTCCTTGCCTCTCTCTCCAGTCTACTGTGGGCTGCTCTGCTCTTACTGGCTACATTCCAGCCTTTCTGCTCCTCTCTGACATGCCTAGCCGTTTCCCATTTCAGCTTCTTCCTACACCTGGAGCCCACTTCTCCCCTTGTTCACATACTAGCTCTTTTCCATCCTTTGGGGCTTGGCTTAAATATCCACCCACTCAGGTCTTTCCAGAGCCCACAATCAATTTTTTAAAATGTTCCCACCATTATTTTCTATCTCAAACCTTTGTTTCTACACAATTGTAAATTATTTTTCTGCTTTTTAGAATTTTTGTGTTTGCCTCCCCAGATAGAATGTAAATGCCTTAAGGATACTCTCTGTCCTGGTGGCTGGTATTGAGCTCAGTGAATGACTGCAGATAGCTGTCATTTCTAGGGGTGTGTGTGTGTGTGTGTGTGTGTGTGCGCGCGCACATGCATGTTTTCCTAGCATCCCTTTCCTTTTCTTCTAAAAAGTCAAACCCCTTCTTTCTGTGAGGGAACTTCTTCCATATGATTTGAGGGGGCTAATCCCCACCTCCTCCCTGATTTGGGCACAATGACCACAGAGATTGGTTAAGGGATGAATATGTGGCCCTGGCAGAGCCAATCAGTGCCCCTCTCTGAAAGCTGATGCCTTAAAAGGAGAGGGTCCATCTGATTCTGGGATCGTGAGCTGTGTGTGAATGTCGCAGGCTTGGTGTTGACAGCAGCCCCTTGCTGAGGGAATCTGAGAATGAAGCCAGCTAGAGGTTAGCAGGGCCTAGAGATGGAGAGAAAGCTTTAACTTTGAACCCCTGAATCCACCCATGCCCAGATTCCCCAGTATGGTGAGCCCCCCAAATCCTCTTTTCTTGGCACACAAAACTCTAACTTAAACTTCCATCATTTTTAACTGAAAGAGCTCTGACGCATTTTTTTTGGCACATAGTTGGTGCTTCATAAATGTTAAGCACCTAAAAAACTAAAGGAATAAATGAAAAGACAGACCCACTCTTGGAGCACTCACTAAATCCATAGTTTCTGACTCTGAAAGGCTGGCGACAGATGCCAGATTGTGCTAAGTTCTCCCAGGTGATGAACGCCGCTCCCATGAGGCCTGCTGGGAAGACCTCCTCTCTGACAGGCTCTTTGGCAACACTCGGACCTGTCTCTGCTGAGTGCCATTTCCGTTAGACACCCCTGGGACACGTACCTCCCTGGACAGCCTGAGAGCATCTCAAGTCTTCGCTTTAATCGTCTCCAGCATTAAGCAGTGACCACCACTTTGGCATTCAACAGCTGTTCACTGAAGGGAAAACACTAGCCACGACATTTATTACCAAAATGCTGAAGCTAGAATCAAAACGTGAGAAAAACAAGGTTAAATAAGGAAGAACAGAGATATCACTTTCTATCTGAAAGCTTTTGGCATCATTTTTGAAATCGGCATCAAGGAATTTATGTATTCCCCTGACTATCCTAGAAAACATGATAAAAAGAGGCCTCATAGAATCAGAGTTCAGCGATGAAAGCAGCCTGCATTTGATTTAGTTCTTTTCCAGAGTGAAGACTGAGACATAAGGTGGCGAAGGGATTTGTTCAGGGGCCAGTTCATGGTCCTCCTTGGGGCGGAGGCTGAAAACCCCGGGCTTCTGACAGTCCTGAATCATCGTGTGATCCAGTCTTCACAGGCCGGGCGGAGGAAGGTCTGACATTAAACACTGGAATGACTGTGATAAGGTCATACCATTAAACATGATCCTGCAGCTCTGACGGTGAGAAAGCTAGTGTCCTTAAAGGCACACACTATAACATCTCGTCTCTCAGAGGGCAGGCCTTGTTAAGAAGGATGGAGTGCTGTGGCGTTCTTAAAAAATCGTTCCTTTTCTCCAACCATGGAAACACAAGGGGTTTTTCTCTGATATTTATCTTGAGGATCCGATCAAGCTTCTGGAGGTAAGTCTCACAAGATTGTGGGGACCCTGGTATGACTGGGTTACCTTGGCGTTTTTAACTCGCAGGGTGTCCACGCTGAGCCCCCAGTAATTTGCGAATTACAGTTCTGGTTACCCTACCCCGGCACTGGTCCCCAAGGGTGGTTTCCCACTGTGAGTCTCCGCTGCGGTAAATTGTTCTTCTCTGTATTCTTAGTTTCTCCAGTCTTGGGGGTGGGAGTTGGCCCTGTGCTCTCATCTCTCTTATGGATCCTAGAAGAGTTGTTAATTTTCCAGTCTGTTCAGCTTATTTCTTGTTGTTAGAACAGTGGAGGCTTCCAAACTTCTTACATTCTGGACTGGAAACCGGAAGTCCTTTTTTTAAAATTTTTATATCAAGACAATAGGCTAAAAGTTGGACTTATATCATATCTGTAGGCACAGAGTTAACCTCTCTTGCAAATATTTCTGGTGAAGAAAGCTTATATGTAAAAGAAAAATGTTAAAAATTTCAAAAACGATTCCCAACAATGTTCCTCATCTACTATAATAGGTCCCCAAGAGAAGCCTTTGCACCCCATCTGGTGTGGCTCAGAGGATTGAGTGTCAGCCTGTAAACTATAAGGTTGCCGGTTCAATTCCCAGTCTAGGGTACATGCCTGGGTTGTAGGCCAGGTCCCCAGCTGGGGGCGTGGGAGAGGCAACTGATCAATGTATCTCTTATACATCATTGATGCTTCTCTCTTTCTCCTTCCTTTTTCCTTTCTCTAAAAATAAGTAAAGAAAATCTTTTTTTTAAAAGAGAAGCCTTTCTTAAATTTTTCTGAATGCTATTAATTTATATTTTTATATGGGTTTAATAGCGCTTACTTTTTTCTCATTTCACTATCCCAGTATTTCTTTCCCTACAGTGTTAAATACATATACTTAAAGGAAAGACACTTGGATTTTTACTTGAAAAGAGAATTTCAATTAATTAAGTGTTCTTTCTTAAATAAGATTTATGTTATCAAATTTTATTTATTAAAATAAATTTATTGAAATGTTTTAACATAAATCTCATGTCATTGAAAAAAGTACAGATGGGTTAAACATTTGCTAATGTTCACTTTAATTTTGTTGTTTAAAACCCCAAATTTCTCCAAATACATTGTGTTACCCATACTTTTAAAGTTCAAAATCTAAATATAGAGATGCTCTTAATCAATTAACATTCTCTTTGTATATATGCCATGCATTGAGAAAATAGGAATTGGCTTATTTTTTATTTGAAAGTGTAAACCTTTGGCTTCAAGCCTGCCACTCAACCCTCCCTGGTGATGTTTCGATCGCGAGCCGCATGGTGTGTCTGGCCTGGTCACTGCATATCTGCAGCCAGGTGTGCGATCAGGTCTACAGCATCTTGCATGGTAGAGGGTATCTCTGAGCCATTCTCAGTCACTTGGGTCCCAAACAAGAACATCTTCCTGTTATTTCCCACTTCAGACAATGCCAAAGCTTCATGGATGTCCGTAATGTGATAGGCTGCTTCAAGATCCTTCACCAAGAATGAAAAAAGAAAAAAGAGAAAAAGTTGGTTGTTTTCCATTTATTGCTCTTAAAGGCCCCACATTCATTTTAATATGGAGGATACTGAGATCCTGTTACTAGGACCCTAGTGGTTGTATGAAAATAAAGATTTTCATCAGAATTAAACCAATGTTTGAGTTATCATCAAAAATATATATTTTTTGGAATGAAGTTAAACCAATAAAATACCTTAATTGATTTTCTAAATAATGTAGTCAATCAGCTTCTAACTTTCTCTGTTTTCCTTTTAGTTCCCCAGAATTATATTGAATAGGATCAGAGAAAAAAGGAGACTTCCAGTGAAGATGGAGGCATAGGTAAACGTGGCTGCCTCCTCACACAGCCACAGCAAAAATTACAGATAGGCTACAAAGTGAATATCACCCAGAATCATCAGAAAATCAAGCTGTATGGAAGTCTGACAACCAAGATATTAAAGAAGTCACATTCATCCAGATGGGTAGGAGGGGCGGAGACCTGGAGATGCTCAGAGAGGCACAGACACTTGGAATAGATGGTCCCAAACCCATGTGTGGTGGATATAAAGCAGAAGGGATACCTCAGGATCAAGGGATCCCAGCCCCACATCAGACCACCCAGCCCAGGGCTCCAGTGCCAGGAAGATAAGTCCCCATAACTTCTTTTTGTGCAAACCAGTGGGGGTTGAGGCGGTGAAAGAAACTGCAGGATTCTCAGGAGTCTCCTCCTAAAGGACCCACAACAGTCTTAGGATGTAGCAGACTTGCTCCCTCTGGGCTCCAGCAACGGGGCAGCAGCTAGAAAATCACCAGTGGCATATGCGGACAAATTAAAGTGTCTAGCATCAGGGCAAGTGCCAGGGGAGAGCTTCCTCCTGGACAAAATTCCAGAGGCCTGGCAGTCCCCTTTCTGAACCCTCCCCCACACAGAGCCACAGAGTAGCAACATTGTATTAGAAACTCTATCAACCTGGTTCACACAGTTTGCCCCACCCTGACAATCACCTAAGGCTCCACCCCATCCAACTTACTGGTGCCCTTTTCTACAATAGACCACACTGCTAAGATAGTGAGTCAAAGCAGCTCTACCTAATACATAGAAACAAACACAGGGAGGCTGCCAAAATGAGGAGACAAAGAAATACAACCCAAATGAAAGAACTGAACAAAACTCCAGAAAAAGAACTAAACAAAATGGAGATAAGCAAACTATCAGATGCAGAGTTCAAAACACTGGTTATTAGGATGCTCAAGAAATTCACTGGGTACTTCAATAGCATAAAAAAGACCCAGGCAGAAATGAAGATTACACTAAGTGACATAAAGACAAATTTACAGGGAACCAATAATGGAGGGGATGAAGCCAAGAATTAAATCAATGATTTGGAATATAAGGGAAAAAAAAACAAACATTCGGTCAGAACAGCAAAAAGAAAAAAAAAGAATCCAAAAGATGAGGATAGGCTAAGGAGCCTCTGGGACAACTTCAAATGTACCAACATCTGAATCATAGGGGTACCCAAAAGAGAAGAAAAAAGCAAGAAATTAAGCTTGTTTGAAAAAATAATGAAAGAAAACTTCCATAATTTGTCAAGGGAAATAGACACATAAGGCCAGGAAGCACAGAGAATCTCAAAGAAGTTGGACCCAAAGAGGACCACACCAAGACACATCATAATTAAAAGGCCAAAGGTTAAAGATAAAAAATCTTAAAAGCAGCAAGAGAAAAGCAGAGTTATCTACACAGGGATTCCCATAAGATTGTCAGCTGATTTCTCAAAAGAAACTTTGTAGGCAAGAAGTATTCAAAGTGATGAAAAGCAAAGACCTATATGCAAGATTACTGTATCCATTAAAGCTATCATTTAGAATTGAAGGGCAGATAAAGTGCTTCCCAGACACAGTAAAGCTAAAGGAGTTCATCACCAAGCCCTTATTATATGAAGTGTTAAAAGAACTTATTTAAGAAAAAGAAGATCAAAACTATGAACATTAAAATGGCAATAAATTCACAACTATCAACAACTGAATCTAAAAAACTAAGCAAACAAGCAGAACAGAAACAGAATCATAGATATGGAGATCACATGGAGGGTTATCAGTTGGGAAGGGGAAGGAGGTGAAGGGGGGAAAGGTGCCGTGATTAAGAAGTACAAATTGGTAGGTACAGAATAGACCGGGGGATGTTATGAACAGTATAGGAAATGGAGAGGCCAAATAACTTATGTGAACATGAACTAAGGTGGGGATTGCCGGAGGATACGGGAGTTACTAGGTAGAGGGGGGCAGAGGGGGACAACTAATAGCATAATCAATAAAATATATTTTAAAAAAGAAAACCTGGGTAACATACTTAGACCTATAGATAATCTGTGCCCTGCCAGAGCAAGTGGCTAGAACATTAACCAGAAGGACCCTGCGATGGAGAATTGTACAGTTTCAAGCTCCCTTTTAAATTAATTCAAATTGGAGGTAGTGATGTGAAGTAATGACTGAAAGCTCCTGTTTGCAATCATTTGTAACTATCTATGGCATTTAAACAAGTTCGTTAACTTATTCTCTTAACCTGACAACTGTTGTCTTTGGTCATGTTCTGCACGTCAACAAAAATCTATCTTCTGTGTCTCAGAGTTGTGTACTAGTGGGGGATGAATATTTTTATTTTTATTTTTTTGTGGAGGTATTATTTGGCATGGAGCTCCATTAATCTAGGGGGATTACAAAGGATCTTGTCATTAGAGAGTTAAGGGATATATAAGATAAAATCCAAAAACTTTCTGGTTGGTGCCCTGGTGGAGTTTGGTATCCATAATATTTAATAATAATTTGTAGAAGATTATTTTCCAAGTGTATTTCAGGAGAACTCTAGTGGTTGGGAGGTATTGAATTCCTTGTTCCCAGGGTATTTCCATATGAGGTAGCAAGCGTGGGAAAAGTAGCATGATTTTGGATTTTGATTTCTTCTCTCATGTCCTTTTAATAAAAACAATAAGCTACCTTGGTAGAGAAAAAAAGAATTATATTTAATAGGATCAATTATTTTAAATTTATCTTTAACTGAAATTTCATTCATTAATTGGTTTTGTCCCTATCATGTTTTATTGATTATAGCATTTGCCATTGGGAGTTTTCATATGTGACCATTATTTCTACTGAACCAAAAAAATGTGGGTCAAATTTTGGAAGGGCGGCAGAGAAAGGAGCAGGGAAGGAGTGGATTTAGAAAATAAAGTGGTAGGAAAAGGAAGCCAAGAAAGGAGGACAGGGGGAGAAAAAGAGGACAAGATGGAGAGATGGGGAAAGCTTAAAGGAGGGAAGCCTGCAGAGAAGAGTCAGCAAGAAATGAGATTAAAATGAGACAGAAAGCCTGTGCTTCCGCTGCATGGCAAGGTTAAACCTTCTCAAGGTCAACATGGCAAGGTCAAAATATACTACTTTACCTCTCACACATCAGTAATTATTTATGCAAATAACATCTGATATTCTCTTTTCTAAATACACATATAGATTTCAGCTATAGTTTTTAAGTCCTTTGCAAAAGTTTTAGCATTTTCACTTTTAAATTGCATTTGTAATTGGCTTTTTGTTGTTTCACAGTGTTCTCCCTGAGCTTTAGGGGATCATTTTTATATTTCTGCAAATAATCCAATATTGTGTTATTTTTTCTTGTACCAGTATGAACCAATCCCATACCACCAGTGAGAGCCTGTGAGGCTTTTCCTGATGTGTTGTACTATCTGCCTGGAGCTGATTACCTCTCTGGATGTCGGTCGTCCCAATATATTATCTGACTCCTGATTCATTTAGGCTTAAAGCCTGCCATGACTTTTGTAACAGTGTTAATGGATCCAATAACATGTGGATGATGTCTCAGGTTAATATATTCACTAATGGAATTGGAGAGGAAATAAATAGAAGAGGGGTGTTGGATGGGAGGAGAGGCTCCTTGTAATGGTAACAGTCCATCGGGGATAATTCTGCTATGAATTTGGGTGTACAAATATTTGTCTGAGTCCCTGCTTTTAATTTTTTTTAATTGCTGAATGACATGGAAATTCCATTTTTAATTTTTTAAGGAACCGAAATACTGTTTTCCATAGCAGCTAGACCATTTTACATTCCCACCACCAACATACAGCATTTCATTTCTCCATGGATGTTTAATATTTTTAATGCATGTGTATGAAGTAAATTCAGGTCTGCTCTAATTGATCTAAAACAGTTTTTTTATACATGATAGACACAAATATTTCATGAAATCAACAATCAGTAAATACTTATTGAATTAAATTTAACATATATATGTGTTAGATTCCTATTATGCCCAAGGCAGTTACAAGGTATTATAAGGGACAGAAAGACAAATACTAGTCTCTACTCTCAATGTGTTTATAATTCAGTAGATCTAATAAATATAAATTGAACTGATTATACAGCATATTGTTTAATATCTACTTGTTAAAAGTAGTAACTTCTATTTCTTGTGTTAATGATAAAACTATTGAGTACAAATTATATTTGTACAGATTTTTACCTGTTTGTTTGCAAACACAACCAGAGGGATGATGGGGTTTGTTTCAATGAGTTGATGAAGGTGTTTCTTGGCTTCAGGTAATCTGTTGTGATCTGCTGAATCCACCACGAAGATCAGCAGTATTCCCCTGGACACGTATGTTTCCCAGTAGCAACGGAAAGGTTCACTGCCACCAACTACAAACAGGAGTAGGAAAAGAAGACACACCAAAAAAAGTCATAGACGCATCCACCAAGGGAGACAGGAAAGGCACATTTACGTAATTTCTGAACTCTAGACAGGTGTGCTAATGCCACTGTGTTAGAGTGTGCCAGTTGGGAACCACTCAGGAGATGTGAATTTTAACTTCTGGGTATAGTTAAAATTGTCTAAACAAATAATTTCATATTGTCCAATAGATTGAACTAGCTGATTATGTTCAAATTTTGTGTATCTTTGCAGATTTTTTTCTCCTTGATCTTATTAATAATTGACAAAGGTATGTTGAAATCCAATCGTCGACCTGTCCATTTCTCCCCTAGTTGGACCCTCCCTCCTTTCCTTCCTTCCTTCCTTGCCTCCCTTTCATTTTTTATATTTTGAAGTTATTTTTTAAGCTATCTATTTGGTCAAAATAATTATTTGTTCTATAACTTCTGGGCAAATTGAAATCTCTATTCCTAATAATGCTTTTCCTTAAAGACTTGCTTTCAGGTTTAACAATTTCTCTGCTCACCATTTTCTCTTCTTAACTGGAGAAAAGCAAAATTAAAAAGGTGATTGCAGTAATGTAAGTAGGAGACAATATAGGTTCCAATTCAAATGGGGTAGTGGGAAACAATGTAACTGATGAATTCAAGATTTGTTTTAGAGGTAGAAAAATTCATAAAGTTTTACTGGAGGTGGGAATAAAGAAGGAGGAAACAAGGCTCATTCCTGGTTTTCTGTCTTGAGCAACTTAATGGGTACTGACCAGTGGATTATAAGGGAAGGAACTGATAGGGAGATAAATGAAGCATTTTGTTTTGGCCATATTAGGTCCAAGAGACCAATTATACAGCGAGGTGAAGAAGTCAGGTGACATTTGAATCTGTTGGGCTGGATAGATAAATTCGGGAGTCATTAGCATATAGATGGTACTTAATGCCAAGAGGATGGATGAAATCATCCAAGGAAAGTGTGTACAGAGAAGACAAGAGCATCTGATGAAACTGGGAGGAACAGCAATAGTTAGAGCAGTGGTGATTCCAGAATTCCTGCAAAGTAAGGGCTTCTGGACTGCCTTCTGTTTACAGGAAAAAGTTTGGGGTTTGTCTGTGGGTGCAGTTGCAGAGTAGGAAGCACACTATATTTACTAAGACTGCGTGTTTATTTGGGGCAGTAAGGGAGGAGGGAGGCTATTATAAAAGGGGATATAAAGCCTTCTTCCCAACTCTCTTTATTACTACCACTGGAAAAAAGGAGAAAATAAAAAGAACATAAAGAGGGCAGAATCAAGATGACAGAGGAGTGAGTGGAAGTCACATGGACCTTCTCCCAGGACCAATCTGGAATTCCAACTGCATTGTGGAGAAATCACCTGGAACAAACAACTGAACAATACTGAGAGGCGCCTTACAATGTCAGACAGACAGAAGAATCAGCTTTAGCACAACATAACTGGTAAGGAGTGCTGTGGAGACTCGAGAAGCAGGGCAGGGCACCCATGGGTGGCAGCACCAGAAGGATATTGAAACAGCCAGTTGGATCCCCCTGAGAAGAGCAGGGTCTAAACCATAAGCAGGGATCTCCAGCCTACAGCACCAGAGCCCAAAAAGTACACAGATAACAGCCAGCTGCGAAAAGTGGTAGGGTTGCTCTCTGTCAGAGACAGGTGGCTGGAGATGCAAAAAGCCATTTAAAAAGCCAATGCATCAATTTTTATTTACAGCCACTTACCCTGGTCTCCGGCAAAGGCGGAGGCAGAGTGGGCTGGAGATGCCTGAGGAGAGACTGGGGAAGGAGGTTTTAGGGAGAGAACTGAGAGAGCAGATGGCAAGATCCCAGTGCTGACTCCTTCCCCATATGGCAGCAGCCCTCTGGTTCAGGCAGACCACTCCTCTGAGCAGCAGCAGCAGCGTGAAGCGGACCCAATAACCCTGCCCCAGGAGGGACTCTGTCCCGCCCTCAGGTGCTTAAGCCTGACTGCTGAGTGCAGAGTGACTAGATTAACAGCTGAAGGAGACAGCCACAGACAATAGATTTCTGGAAGTCTGGAACAGATTGCCTAAGTTCACACAGGTTCAACATCTGACATCATCAGAGGCAGATCCAGAAAGTAAAAACAGCGGTCTCCTACCATAGAAGTTCATACCACAAAGTCAGGAAATCAAGGCAGATCAACTTAAGAAGCAGAAGCAAGAAAGGAGAGTCTCACAAATAATGGGAAGACGAAGAAACACCCTCCCGCCCCGCTGCGTTGAAGGGAAAGGAGGAATCCCCAGAAAGAGAACTAAATGAAATAGAGGCAAGTAAACTATCAGATATTGAGCTCAAAACAGTTCTAAGGAAGATCAATTAGTTCAGTGAGCTCAGAGAGATTTACAAAATACTACAGGGAAACTACGAGGAACTTACTGCAAACTATATAAGCATGAAAAAGGACATAGAAACTATCAGTAAGAGACAAAAGGAATTGAAGAATACAGTTTCTTAATTAAAGAACACAGTAGAAGAAATCAAAAGCAGGCTAGATGAAGCAAAGGAACAAATCAGCGAGCTGGAGGATAAGTTAGAAAAAACTCCCAGAAAGAGCAAGAAAATGGAAAAAGACTCAAAAAGAATGAAGAGGTGTTTAGGGAAATGCTGGGCAACTTAAAACATAATAATATCTGTATAAGAGGGATACCAGAAGGAGAAGAGGAGGAGGAAGAAATAGAGAACCTGTTTAAAAAAGTAATGATGGAAAACTTCCCTAATTTGAGGAGAGAAAAATCACACAAGTCTAGGATGCACAGAAGGTCCCATTCAAGAGGAACCCAATGAGACCCCATCCAAGACACATCATCATTAAAATGGCAAATATCAAAGACAAACAGAGAATCCTAAAGGAAGCAAGGGAGAAAGAGGTAGTAACATATAAGGGAGCCCTGATATAGCTAGCAGCTGATTTCTCAACAGAAACACTACAAACCAGAAGGGAATGGCAAGAAATATTCCAAGTCATGAAAAGCAAAGGCCTGCAACCAAGACTGCTCTACCCAGCAAGGCTCTCAATTAAAATGGAAGGCAAAATAAGGAGTATCCCAGACAAAAGAAAGCTAAAAGAATATACCTCCACCAAACCAGCATTGCAAAATATGCTGAAGGGACTGCTTTAAGAAGATAAAGAGTATATGAACACCCAGTTTATTTCACAGTCACCAATACTTGATATTACCAATATTTTTAATACTTACTAATCTGATTGTGACAATGATGTGTTATTTTAAGTGCCACTTTATTATTTGTTGAAACTAAACCTGTTTTTATATATTCCTTGCCTATTTCTATTATTTCTAGAAAGCTTTAAATGACTTTTTGGTATTCTTTATCTATTTTTTTATTAAAAGTTTGCAGAATTTTTTCCCTAAAAACCCCCCACAAAACTATTAACCCTTTATTTGATGTGTTGCAAATAATATCCTATTCTATTACTTGTCTTTTAACTTTTTTTATATGTATATCACTGTATAGTCTTAAATGTTTAATGTAGTCATATTATCAATATTTTACTTTAGATATTCTGGGTTTGAAATTTTGCTTCAGGCTAAAAAAATATTATTTTGTATTTTCTCCTAAAACTCCTTAGATTTTAAATATTGATTTTTAATTCACCTGAATATTTTTTGTACGTATGAAATAGAGCTCTATATTTTGTTTTATTTCAAGGAATAGTGGTCCACTATTTACACCTATTATATAATACACCTATTTGTTGAATAAGCTTTATTTTCCCCATTGATTTGAAATATCAACTTAATCATATATTACATTGTTAGACAGATATATACATTTGTTTCTAGAATGTTCATTTTATTTCATTGATCTACTTGGTTATTTCTGTGCTGGAGTCATGTTTTAATTGCTGAGACTTTATAAAGGATTTAATTTTTTTAATATTTTGTAATGGATTTTGACATTTAAAAAAATAAATAAATAAAATCAATCTGCATTAAAAAAAAGAAGAAGGACTCCTACTTTAATGGATGGAACTGGAGAATATTATGCTAAGTGAAATAGAGCCTTGATCTCCTATAAATGGAATCTATTCAACAATACATAGCGGGGACCAGAGGGGATGAGGAAGGAGGACAATGGTGGAAAGAAGAAGGGACTAAAAAAAAAGAACATGTGTGAATGACCCATGGACATGGACAACAGGGTGGGAATTGACTGTGGGAGAGGGGGTGTGGGGGTGGGATGGATGGAGGAGGGCAAAGGGGGAAAAATTAAGACAACTGTAGTAAAATGAACATGATTTAAAAATAAATAAAAAAAATAAAAAAAAAGATAAAGTAATTTTCCCCATAGTGTACTCTAGTATTAAACTACACTTGCTTTCTAAATATCTAGCAAAGTCTGACCCAGTGTTACCTTTCTGAAGGACCCAATGTTGATAATATTAAGTCTGGCTTAAGGTATAACAAAACAAGGCTACCCTGTAACTAAGGAGAAAGAGGGCTTACTCTCCAGGAACTCCATCCGGCTGTCTTCAGTGCTGATGCATACTTCATTGAAACCTTGGGTGGGTGCCTCGCTGTGTTGGACTCTGTTTAAAGCTAGAGAGTGGAGAACACTGGTCTTTCCTGCTCCATCGAGGCCCAATACTAGGATATGATTATTTTTCTCCTGTGAAACAAAAGATAAATCAATAAACCTATGCCATCGGGGTCGTGTGTTCCTGATCCTTGGCAGTGTGCCTGCCTGGGGTAAGACACAATAATACTTGCGAAATTATAATTTTTTATACAATTTGTGAAGAATAAAAATTCACAAAACACTTAATTGGTCTAGAACAAACTGTACCAAACAACTTGTATTTTATTAGTTATGCGATGTTAATTGCACATTCCTTCTCCATCCCTCAGCTCCTGGTCAATCTATCAAATAAATATATATCAGGATTTTTTGAAAGGTGCCAGAGATCACAGGGCCAATTGGGGCAATTTTCAGACTTCAATTTGCTTCTTGATTTCATGTCTGTTGGAGACTGCACCAGAATTCAGTTTGATGTCTGGGATCTTGGTATGTCCATGGTGCTTCAGTATTGACTGTGATTTAGCATGTAAGCATCTAAGGTCTCATTAATTGGTCTTGTCTTCCCAACTGGATCAATAAATTAAAATGCAAGATTCCCCTTCTATACTTTTAAATATTAGCATCACAATTAAATGAAAAGACTAATACTATAGAAATTGTTAAACCAGTTCCAATCACAAATGAGCATTTATTTTTTTATTTTATTTACTTTTTATTATTGACACTATTATAGGTATCCCCCAGGGCCCTCCCCCCACTTTGCCCACCTGCACCCAGCCCCTGCCACCCTCCTCCCCAGGGCTTCACCACACTGTTGTCCACGCCGTCGGTCATGCATACATGTTCTTTGGCTCATCTCTTCACCTTCCTCCATCCAGTACCCCCCAACCCCGCCCCTCTGAGATCTGTCAGTCTGTTCCAACATCTAGGCCTCTGGTTTTCTTTTGTTTGTCCATTTATTTTGTTCATTAGATTCCACATATAAGTGAGATCATACGGTCTTTCTCTGACTGGCTCATTTCACTAAACATGATAATCTCCAGACAAATGAGCACTTATATTTAAAACCTGATGTTAAAGCCTTTTGAATTAGATGTAAACTTTAGTGAGAAACATTCTACCAACATAACAGCCTTAGAAACTTTTCTGACAAATGAGAAACAAGGGCAGGCTGGTATGAAAAAAGAAAGTTCAGCGTGCACAGAAAGGTGGCTTTCAGTGTATAAACTTCAATGTAAAAAGTAGTAAATGAGCAACAACACAGCCAGACTGCTCACAGAAAATTAATGTTTTCCAAACAGCCTACCAAGAGGTTTCTCATGCACATAACATACTAGGTTTAAAAATAACAATAATCTTATACATTCTTCTTGAACACTAACATGTTGACATTGGATTTTGACTGAATTTCTGCTTTTTATAAAAAGTGATCCAAGACAGCACTAGAATGTCTATCCCACTTTTTTTTTTTTTTAAATAAGACCTATGTGCAAGTAAAATGTTTTAAGCTCTGATCTAATACATACTGGTGTAGACAACATGCTTTATGAAGACTGTCTAGAGAAAAACAGAATTCAAAAAAGTACGTTTATTTTTAGAGTGAATTCTTGAAGGCTTTTAACGCAAGTGGTATTTCCATAAACATTTCCTATCTCTATCCCAGCCTCCTTCCTTATTCCCTCCAATCAGCATCTAAATGTTATAATGCCATCCTGGAAATGTGATGGTAAGGAGTGACCTGATGTACAAAGGAGACTTTAAAGCAATGGTGGCACCAAGAAATGGCTGCAGGCTGTGGACTGTGTCCCCCTCATTATCTCCACCAACGTCCCTACTCAATATTTCATCAATTTTCATCAATTCTAGCTAAAATTTTTTCACATTTTAATATCTCTAAAACAAGAATTTTACATTGCATGGAATGTCTTACTTTTGGAAATGTTTTTGTTTTCTTTTTTCAGTGGTATCTAAAATAATGGCTTCTTAGATCCTGTGAAATATTGTGAGTAAAAACAGTTCCTTCCCTGGCCCGTGTGGCTCAGTTGGTTGGGCATGTCACACAAAGCAAAGGGTCGTCGGTTCAGTCCCGGTCAGGGAACATGTCTGGGTTCTGGGTTCAGTCCCCAGTTGGGGCGCCTATGAGAGACAACCTATTGTACATGAGGCAACTGATGGATGTTTCTGTCACATCGATATTTCTCTCCCTTCCTCCCTCCTTTCCCCTCTCTCTAAAAATAACAAAATCTTAAATAAACAAAAAAACCAGTTCCCTACTCCCTTTCCAACCACATTGCTTGCCCTAAATTCACCTATTTAGAAATTTGGCAGGCACTGATGTTTTACATTTTGCTTACTTTTTAGTCTAAAATACACGCTTCCTCAAGTTTATAATCTCTTATGGAAATCTGGAATTACTGTAAAGCAAGAGTTCAGACACAAAATATGATTCCAAACACAACTGTTCCTTGTCAAAAGTGACTCCTTTAACTCTCTGTGGATCTATGTAGTCTGTTTTTCCAGAGATCAAATCTGCATGAATAATTCACATCATTTAGAACCAGAAAGCAGCTCTGAGGCCAGGAGCTCCAGGAGCACAGAGCCCACTAACCCAGACCCAATTTTTTAAACTGTGGTATAATACACATAACAAAATGTATCATCCCAACCATTTCTAAGCATACAGTTCAGTGGAATGAAATACATTCATTTATAATGCTGTGCAACCGTCACCACCATCCTTCTCCAGAACCCTTTTCATCTTGTAAAACAAACTCTGTACTCATTAAACACTAACTCCCTTCTCTCTTTCCCCAGGCGCTGGCAGCCACCAGTCTACTCTGTGTCTGTGGGCTTGCTTCTGCGAGGTACCTCATTTAAATGGACTCAAAGGTATTTGTCGTTTTGTGACTACAATGCCTGATTCTGAGACCTCAGTTAAATCTTTGTGACCCTGCTGGACGCCGGTGGTCTGTAAACAATGGAAGCAGTCACCACGGCGCCTACAGAGAAGGTCCCGAGAACTCAAAAAAACATGCGGCACAAATTTAGAAGCCCTGCACCTTCCACCGAAGAACTTGGATTGAAAAGAAAGGGCTCGGACCGAGAGCCTGCGCGCCGCGAGGGCTCAGGGCGGGTTTCCGTGCGGAGAGCCGTCGGCGACCTAGCTCGGAGCGCGGACGGAGACTGACCGTAACCGGCGTCTCTTGCCTTCAACAGGAGACCTGATGGGGGTGAGGGGTGAGGGTGGCAGCGGGCCGGAGAGAAGGGATCGGCAGGCAGTCAATCTGTCGTTGGAAGCTTGACACATTTCTTTCCATCCACAGATAAAAAGCCCCCGAACGAGACCCAGTTCCCTCCGGTATAGGTCGGGGCCTGGGACGTAACGGAGCTGGCGCTTCTGCCTGAAGGCCCGACAATGGCCTTGGGGAGAGGGTCCGAGGCACCAGTCTCTTACCGGTGGTTCCAGGAGGGGCTTTGACAAGACACTGCTGTTGTCCTTCTCTGTCTCTTCTTTTCCCTTAAATCGTTGCTTCTCTTTCTCTGTCTCCCGCTCCTTCCTCTTTCCCTCCTCCTTTCCTTTCTCATTCCCCTTCTCCACCTCCTTCCTTTTTTCTTCCTTTCCTTTTTCCCGAATTTTCTCTCTCTCTGTTTCCTTTCCCCTATCTTTCTTCTTCACTTTCCCCCTCTCCATCCTCACAGTTCCTGTCTCCTTCCCTCCCGTGCGCCCCGCGCGCTGGAGCAGCCGCCCTGGGTCCCGGCAGGTGTGGCCCCTGCGCAGGGCGCAGGCGGAGACGTAGGACCACGTGGCGTAGACCTCACTCGCAGTCACTGTGGCTGCGGGCAGTCCCAGGGCGTGGAGGCTGCCGCGGGGCAGCTCTTGCTGGCTCTCCCGGGGCTGCCTGCTGCACGTTCGCCAAACCTGAGGGCGGAAGGCGGATTGACGAGGGTAGGGCGGGGGTGCTACAGGAAGGGTCGGACCCAGCCCAACGGATCCTGAAAGCCCAGCGCCGCACTTCATCAGGAAAAAGCGACCCCTGGTGCCACTTCTTCGGGAAGGCGTGCTATGGCGCGATTTCCTTGGACTAGGCAGGGTGTCTCAGAAAGGTTTTCCACGCAGGACCAGACTTAAGCGTCTCACCTCTCCCGAGTCATCCCCAAGGCCACTCAAGCTCACAGGTCTCCCACTGGGAGAACCCCGAGGGGTCAGAATACTGAGCCTCCCCAAAGGATTCCCTGCTCCCCCCTCCGCCTAGTTAGTAAGTTTAAGGAGTGAAGCTGGGTACCTCCTCGCCCTCCAGCCCATGTCAACTAGTGGTGCCTAGTGACTGTCCAGGATGCTTAGGAGAAAATACAGGAACCTGAATGGTCCCCATATTTTAAATTCTTACATTTTGCTTTAAAAATATCTATTAAATTAGTAGTCCACCATGATCATGGCTACTAGTAATGCAGAGTATTTAAAAAAACAAAAAAAAAAATAATTTGTTTCCCCCAACGACCTAATACACAACAAATTAGGAAACCTGCAGGGCTTTTCAAAGGTTATGTAACTTTGTTTAAACTGAGAAGTATGTGGATGGCTCTTTTATCTTGTTAACTTGGACTCTAGTATATTTTACAAACTAACAAAATTATCTTACCGCAATAAACTGACTTTTCTTCTATATTTTACAAACTAACAAAATTATCTTACCGCAATAAACTGACTTTTCTTCATCGGATCTGTTTAAAATAGGCTTGTAAGGAACAAGAATAAATGGCAGGATCCAAAAGGACTGAGTGATGGAAGTTTTTAAGGTTAGCAATTTCCACAAAATCTTGAAAATGTTGTGCTTAACAACTTAATGTTTATTCCTCAATTTATTTATATACACGTATCAACACAATAAATTTTCAGTGAAGTTAAAACTGGGCTCTCTCAATCCATTAGATTAGTTTTGTGGTTTTGTTGGGAGGAGCTGAAAATAATTTTAGATACTTTAAAAAATTTTTAATTTAAAACGTTTAAAAAATGCTCAGATATATTAACCAGGAATTCCCCATAAAATGTCAACACCCAAAACACCTTAATCCACACTCATTGCTAGAATATTTTATTTTAAAATGTGCCACAGTGAATGGATGTATCCATATTGTTTTATAAATGCAGACACACACATATATACAAAGTGTATATGTCACTGGTTAAAGACCTGTCCAAAAGAAAAAAATTACTAGAAAGTTAATATATATGTTTACACTTCATTTGACAATAACTTATGTGAACTGAGGTTTCAGTTGCTTCATGATGACTGGTAATAACAATGCCTGGCAATTATGACTAGACAACTGTAAACTTTACTTTGTGCCTTGTGTCAAAATTTTCAATAATTTCACCCAAATTCTGTAGCTTGGTGAAACCTAAAAATAATTCTTTCACCACAGAAATTTAATGGAATCCTAAATAACAAATCTGCAAACAATTATTCTTGTAATGGGGTATATATTCAGAAAAAATGAGTATCTGTCACTTTCACCAAAAGACTATTTTCAGTGAGCTCAGAAAAGTTATGGCATAATAAATCATTCCTATTATATGGGGGTCTCTTGTTTAGATGCCACCGCAGATTCTGATTATGTCAAACACAAATGCAGCACCACATTCCTTACTCTTGTAAAGGAGGGGAAGGCCTTTTAAAAACTCTTTGAAGAAGTTGCAGTAGATATGTTCAGAGTCAAACACAGCAGCACTTTATTGACAAGGATGGAGTAATGTGATCAAACGGAAATAACTGAGGTCTGAATTCAATGCTATCTTGGGCAACATAAAATGAATACTAACCAGGGTGTACATTCCAGTGTGTCTGTCTCATGGCTGTTCATTGGGAAAGTGGATTATAAGCTTGGAGAGACCAGAGCAACACCAACACCACAGACTGACTGTGTAATACACCATTCCTTTGGGAAGGGTAATGAATAGTCATACCCCTAACTAGAAAGAGGGGCCCTCTGAGTATTTAACTGAGCTAACTAGTACTGTTAAGTTTCAATACTGCCTGCTACTGAACTCTGGTACTGATTTACATAACAAGTCAATGCTCATGCTCTTGACAAGGCCCATTAAACCTGACTGAGACAGTCCACACCCATCTGACCTCAGAACACTGGGTCTGAGTCAACTTCTTACAACATTGGTATGTTTTCCTTGAGTTCTTAAGAGTACTAAATCAGTATAATGCTATCATCTGAAAATGATATGGAAGCATAAAGGAACCCTAATGTATATATATGTGTACATATGTACATACATATATAAACATACTTTTCATATATATCCCATATTCCAGTATCACATGACAGAGAATTTATGGTAAAAATTAATGAAGACATTGAGATTTCCTATGGCCACTCATGTAATAAAAAACACCAGTGTATTAACAAGGTCCCTTTTTATCACATAATATTTCTATGCAGATACTTGGAATGCTCGACAGATTCCACTTTCCGTCTCCCAAGACCTCCTAAGACATAATTTAAAGTGGGACTTAATAGAACAAGTATCTTCAGACTTTAGTTAAATAAAACAGAATTAATTTCTGTTTATATCCTAGGAAACCTTAGATAACATGCCTTGTTTGTAAAACTGAGAAAACTACCGCCAGATCAGCAAACAAAGAAACAGATATTAAGGTAGGTAAATGCCCAATCATTTTGAGTCCTCATCATCTGGGCAAAGCGAGGTGGTACAAGTAGGCCAAGTCTGAGTAGGCAGAGTTTGAGGAAGATATTTTCCTTTTGATGCATGAGAAAATAATAGTATGAAAATGTGGGGACGAGGAAGGGAGCAGCTCTGTGCTTCTCACTGTGTTATCTTTATTATGTTCCTAGTGTCACTAAGACTAGTTTAAAAACGGCCTGCAACAAGAATGTTCTAATCACCAGCCACCTTTTCCACCTTTCTTCTTTTTCTGTTGTTGTTTCTTTTTTGTTGCTGGAGCGCCTGCAGGTTTCTGGTGTCTTGGGGGTATGATATTACTTGTAGATGCAGATGCTGTTGCTGCACTGCCAGGTCTTGGGGAGGTGGGTGGGCTGCTGGCAGTTTTACTGGCATCCCTGAAATCATCGGATCAGGAAAGTGTTGGTCATTCATATATTCAACAAAGAAAAAGACTATAAAAACGTACATACATGTTATTTCATTTCCACCCTTAACAATCTTCCACATACATTCTACTTATTTTAAGGTGGGTACTTCAATCGCTATCCATTTCACTTTTGAATAAAGTTTTTACCGCTTTATAATTAAAAGATAAGTAATATATAGTACATGCCAAGTCTTAGAAATCTTAGAAAATAAACAAAAAAATTTAAATGACTTATAATTCACTATACACAAATTACTTAATTAGTAACATCTGTAATACTTCTTTCTGGTCATGGTATTTATATCTTTGTTTATCTAGATAGTTAATTCATTCAATAACTCAATGTATTTAGTTTCCTTCTGAAGGTACTGAAATCCTATTATTTATGATATAATCCTACAGTCCAAATACCTAAAATACAATCAGACCAGAAATACCATATTTTCTTTCCTTTATAATAGCAAATAGCACAACATCAAAGGTATCTGATTGTACTTCTCATACTTAAAATACATTTTAAAAATTCTCACTAATGACCCTGAGTCAATCTCAGAAAGACCCAACCTATGCTCTGAGTGATCTCGATTGGGAAGCAATGACTTACAGTTCAGAGGAAGTTCCTGCAGTTGCTCCCTGGGTCCCCTTTCCAATCTGATCCTTCTTTTTACCCTTCTTTCTTCCCCGGTAGTAAGACCGTTCACGCATCGGTAGCCATCTTTCTGGATCTGGGGTCACTTTTGGGTCATAATTCTTAGGCAGTTTCCCTGTGTAACAATTAATTGATGAAGAAATAAGAAACCTTATTTTTTCAAGGTAGTTGTTTAAACAGTATATCCAAGCCTGGAAATAAATAACATTAAAAACTAAAATAAGTTTATCTGAGAAAGTTTTATTTGTATAATCTAGCAAGGGGAAAAGGCCTTATTTCTAAGCATGACACAATATTCAGAAGCCATAAAGCAAAAGATTTCACAGATGTATCTATCTAAAAAAAATTAAATTGCAGAGGTAAAAGATACTTTTTTAAGAGAATAAAACAAAAAAAGTGCACATTATATAACAGGGTGGATTACTATTCTTAATATAGAACAAGTTCTTGGTAATCAAGAGGTAAATCACAGAAAGAAAAATGGGAATAGCTGTAATTAGAGTAAGCTAGGAGAAATAAAAGTCATTAATTATGTGAAAAAGTGCTCAACTTCACTAAAAATGAAAAGGGTAAAAGCTATCAAACTCACAAATATTAAAAGCAGTAATACTTTCTAGTGTTAGTGAGATAATGGGAAACACTCAAAAACTACTAGCAGAAGTGTTTATTGGTATAACTTTCATTGAGAGCAATTTAATTGACAGTACCAGTCAAAATTTATACTTCTATAAATTCATCCTGCAGAAACCCATAAGCCTTAAATTTATGTGTGTAAGAATATTCTCTGTGATAGTCCTTAAAATAGCAAACTAACAAATGCCCATCAATAAAAGAATAAGTAAATTACAGTATATCCTTACTATAGCAAGCTATATGAGTTAAAAAAAAAGAGAAGTACATCTATATTTAACAACTCAGGCCCTGGCTGGTTGTGGCTCAGTGGATAGAGCACTGGCTTGACATCCGAGGGGTCCCTGGTTCAGTTCCCAGTTGGGGCACATGCCTGGGTTTCAGCTGGATCCCTGGTTGGCAGCATGTGGGGGGCAGCCAATTGATGTGTCTCTCACGCATTGCTGTTTCTCTCCCTCTTTTTTGTCCTCCCTTTCCCTCTCTCTCTGAAAGTAAATAAAAATCTCTGGGAAAGAAACAGCAATGTGTGGTTGCCTCTTGCGTGCTCCCCGACTGGGGATGTGGCTTGTACACCAGGCATGTTCCCCGACTGGGAGTCGAACTGGCAACCCTTTGGTTCATACACCAGCACTCAACCCACTGGGCCACACCAGCCAGGGCTAAAATATTTTTTTAAAAAACAAAAAACAAAAAAACAACTTGGAAAAATGTCTGCACAATACAATCTAAAATACAAGACTAAAAGAAATCCCGATATGTTCATATCAGCTTTGCAAAAACTTTTACTGACTGAACATGTAAATGTGTATGTATGTTTTATATACAAAAAAGTTATGTATTTATCTCTGGGACCATGAATTTGGAGTAAGGAATTTTTACTCTTTATGCCATTCTATAATAGAAGCTTATTACTTTTCTTTATTATTATTTTATTTTACTTTGTTTTTAGAATAAGCATGTATCACTTGTAAGCTTTAAAATATGCCCATTTGAAAACCACAAAATATAGAAAAAAGTGAAACTGCAGGTTATTGCTTCCTATTACCACTTGCTCCCTTAAAGTATTACTAATACAGAAAACAACACAAAACAAATACTTGAGTTTTTACCAATTTGCAAGTACTGTGACAAAAGTGAAGAAATAATAAAATGTCTAATTAAACACAGTGGATTAAATGCAAACAGCCTCTGCACTGTCCCAAAATTCCATTAAAGTGACAATAAACACATTAGAAGAATAGGAGAAGATATTAATACAATTTTGGAAGCTGGAAAACAGATGGGAAGAGTAGTAATACACTTAGAAGTTCTGGGAACACTGACTTTTAGCCGTGGGCATAATCAAGAAGCAACCTAATTTGGACTACAGATTTCCCAAAGACTCAGCAACAAATAATCTCTGATTAGGTGACGAAAGCAATGGTAATTCCACCTACTCCTGCCATAGATTAAGAGAGCCTAAACCAATCAGTGCATGGTGTTCCCCTGGTTCAGGGCCGGATATTGACCTACGTTGGCCTAATCAGATGAATAGGAAAGGTTGCCAAATGTAAAGGGGACCTCTTTGTCCTGGTGGATATAAATGACAAGTCTGTGGCCCTATTTCCAACAAACATCCTAAGACTCTAATGGGATTCAGTTTTGTGTACAGCAGAACAAAGAGATACAAATACTGGCTCAACCAACTTTGATTGTAACTCCACTGCCAGTTTCATAAGCAGTAAATTTTCTTAAGCTAGCCTGATGGAGTTCTATGGCACTTGAAGCCAAAAGCACCCTAATGTAACCAGGGCTTACTGTGAGCCAGCCATTGTTCTAAGAGCTTTATGTGTAGCATCTTCTTTAATCCTATGAGGTACATACTGTCATATTCCATTTTTAAGATAAAAAACTCAGGCAGGTATGTTAAGTACCCTATTCATAGTCACAATGAAAGAGCGATGTTCCTAGAGCAACGATTTGAATTTACACAAACTCCAGACCTGTACTCTTTAATGTAATAAAATTAAATGTTAACTATAGTTAAGACAAAACTCAGTGTTCAAAGACACAAAAAGAGAGGACAATACATTTGTTTGAAGATTTTTATATAGGGCTAAACTCAAACTTTTATTTTATAGAAAGAAATCAAAAGATTAATAAAAATGCCTTACCCTTCTTCTTTTTTTTCTTCTTTTTCAAATCTCCCTGTCTACAAAGAGAATAAAAATCATTACCATAAATGTGATAAAATACTGAGTATTAAACATGTGCAGAAGAGCAAGCTGAGTACTTTATCATAAAGGTGTTCAAGATTTGCTGAGTGCAGGCTCACCAAAGCTAAGAGACTGTTTGGTATATTTATTGAGGTTAAATTTAATTAAGCTCCAAACACTTGGCCTGGGAGGGAGGAAGGCAGAAAGCAGTGGGAGGAAGACTTTTTATTCTGCAATTTTTTATTTTTCAGGTTTTGAACCTTGTGAATTTATTAAATTTTTAAACAAAATCTTTATTAAGGACACTGGCCTGCCCCCCAAAGGACTAAAAAGAGCATAAGTAGTAAATAAAACACTTCAAAACAATTACTAAGCACTCTGACAGGTACAGTAAAAAGAGGAAGACATAAAAAAAAATCTCTGTGCATACTCATGTGATATACTTCTATGGAAACTACGGAACAGAGAACTAAAAAGATTGAAAGGCAATAATTCCAGCCAAAAATTCACTCTATTAAGTTATTCAATTGTGAAAGTTCTTTCAGGGTACCCTGAATAATAAGAAATGAAACATACAGCATCTTACTTTAGAGCTTCATCTTTCACCCAAACTCTGCATTGTCTCCCTATAAATCATACTCCACAGCCATACCTGCAATTTCCTAAAGATTCTCTGCCATATCTTCTTTGCCTTTGCTCACACTTTGCTATCTCATCCTCTTCATCTCCTTCAGGATTCAAGCCAATCACCTCCTCCATGAAATGTTTCCTAACCTCTCAGTGTCCCCAGGAAGAACTGTCCCCTCTAGTGTGTTCCTTAATGCCCTGCGCAATCAGAGCACATGCAATCTTTACTGCAATTACTGCTTAGGTATATTTCCTTCTGCTAGACTTAAGTTCTGTTGAGGGCAAGGACCATGATTTATATTTTGTCAACAACAAAATGTATCTTGAAAAGAAACTAAGCCTTTGTATTTAAAAGTTAGAATAAAATGAAAGATATTGATAATGCCTAATGAAAATATTGTGCTGAAATTTAAAAGCCTAAAAGTCAATATACCTCTCAGTAATTGTCCAGGAATAGAAATGAACTATAACCACATGGTCTTACTAATTATTACCCAACCCTGTTTGGAAGAAGAGAAAAAAAATACTGAAAATATTTAAATAGGCATTATTTGAAAATCCCCTTAGGATCTGGCTTGGATTTATTTCATTCTGGGATTCTTTATAAGGCTTGGAAAAAGAATCATATGATAAAATTGAACAATGTCATATCTCTGAGACTCCAATTCTTTATTTAAGTTTTTAAAATTCAATTATGAGGATGATAATACTTTTTTTACCACAGTTCACAATCAAGTCAATCATATAATTGGTGCTGATATTGTTTCAAAGTTAGAAAAAAATTTAGATTTCCAAAGTAGTCAAAAAAAAGAAGAAAATAGTGAAAAACTAAGAAAGCCACAAAACTGAGGAAGTGTTATATCTCTTCTATTCTCTATTCATCCTGAGTCAAAAATAGAATCTTAAAACATTTACCATAGGCATCTGCTGTTTCTGAGATGGCAATGTAGGAGAACAAGGAAAGAAATGGAATTTGAGTTCATGTAAGTTAATGAAGTCAGCTAACATATCTTCCAAATCAGCAAAATAAAGCTTATCAGAACTCTAGTTTAGAATCACTAAATGATAAAATAAATGTATATCAATAACTTGCAGGTTAATAAAGTAGGGCACATCCAGCCTACACATGAGGAGCATATATCTACCTTTAGAACATGGAAAATCTCTAAAACTTATTAAATGAAAGAAAGCAAGTTTGAAAAGAGTAAGTATAATAGAATCCCACTTCTATGAAAAACAAAAATCATCCAATCTAAGAAAAATATTTCTACATGATCTCTGTGTAAATACAAAGAAAAAGATCTGGAAGGATGTACACTAAATTAATACCAGTAGTTAATTCTGGGCCAGGGAGAGGGAGGAGATGAGGACTAAGAGTTGGGCACAGCAAAATTGAAGGGAAAAGAAACAAAGGGGACTTAAACCATATTCACATGGAATTTTTATATGAATCTATTTTTATTTCTTACATAATTTAAAATCAGCATTAGTGAATATTAAAATGAAAAACATTACCCTTGCTCCTTTGGTTGACTATCTCCAGCAACTTTTCCACCCTTCTTCCGAATGTAAGTAGCACCAGGAGAATTTTCAAGAGCTTCAACATCTACTTTTAGAGACATGCTATCTGATGAGGGCAAGTGTTTACTAAGACTGGGATAGAAGAGCAGTTCAGGAACACAATATATATTATGTCTAACAATATATCTATGCCAACAGAGAAGCGCACTGTCTTTTTTTGATGACTTTTGTCAAAAGCAAAAACAAGTTCTTAAATTTTCTACAGAGGAACAAATCAGGTCACAAGGTCAATTATATATTATATATTGTGAAAGGGAAAACTTGAGAAAGAGGCCATAACCTATTCATCTAGTCCTTAACTCAGTGACATACTTCTAGGTGGTCGCTTAAAAACTCCATTCCACCCTGGCTGGTGTGGCTCAGTGGACTGAGTGTCGGCCTGTGAACCAAAGGGTCCCTGGTTCGATACCCAGTCAGGACACATGCCTGGCTGTGGGCCAGATCCCCACACAAGAGGCAACCAAACAAGAAGGGTGCACAACAGGCAACTGCACATTGATGTTTCTCTCCCTCTCTTTCTTCTTCCTTTCCCCTCTCTCTAAAAATAAATAAATCAAATCTTTAAAAATAAATAATTAATAAAAACTCCATTCCAAAACAGATATCAAGCACATAAAACACAGACTTGCTCATTGCAAAGCTTTTGACTTGTGGCTGCTTAGCATCTCAGTTTGGGGAACACACCCATACTGGAGTAGCACACATGTTCCAAAGCTAGCCAGTCAGAGCACCAATTCCTCTTATTGTTTAAAATGAGCATGTAACCTAAGACAGTCAATCAAATGACATTTCAGAATCATGTACTACTATCCAAATAAAATACGCTTTTTTAATTTTTTTTTGCTGTTTAACTTGGGGAAATATAAGCTGTATGTTATTGACTTCACTTTTGCTTGTGAATCAAGCTGTATCCCAAGTTGGATCTATCACTGTATTTTTCAGTCACATTAATCAATAAGTTCTCATTTTTCCTTTTACTAGTTAGAAGGGAGGTTTTGTTTGTTTATTGAAATTTACCAAAAAACCCATCCTAGTCACACAGGTACTAGAAAAGATCTAGCATGCTTCTTGAACAACCAAAAGGATACGCTTTTGCCTTCTCAGGATCTACAAGTGAATAAGCAGAAATAAGCTGCGCCAGGGTGTGAATATCTTTTGGATTCTGTCTAAAAGAAGAAATGAGAAAGTTACTCAACAATTTATAAAACTATAGAAAATAACATAAACAAGCAAAACAATTCCCTCATATCAAATAACAGCAATAAAATTTGGATTTCTACATCTCCACCTTTCAGGGCTTACTTCCATAGCTGTTCTAGGTCACTAATTGCCTCCTTCTTCCGCCCATATTTGAGTTTGAAGTTTGCAGCTTCTCTTATCAAGGACAAATGAGCAGGAGATTTGGGCTACAGTTTGAGTAAAAAGAGAAAAAAAAGGTTTAAGCTAAACATTTAGCAAGTCAATGAAGTTACATTCATTAGACCTTTTAAGTGGACCTATCCATTAAATTCCTCATCTTAAATTGTATGGAATGCATGAAAAATCATAAACAAATTTGCAAAAATGGGAGATGGGTAGACAAATTAGTACAAGTGATGATTAATTTATAAATTTGGAAAACCATCCATTTTCATTTTGATTGTTCACAGTTAGAAATAATCCCATAATCAAATATATGTCACCGCAGCTCTCAAACATTAACTTAATAGTTTCTAGAACAATGATATCCTTCTACTGCTAACAGTGCTAACAGTGCTAACAGTAGCCCTGACCAGTGTGGCCCAGTTTGCTGGGTGTTGTCCTGCAAACCGAAAGGTTGCCAGTTTGACTCCTGATCAGGGAACATGACTGGGTTGCAGGTCTGATCCCCAGTTAGGGTGTGTATGGGAAGCAATCTATCAATCTTTCTCTTTCACACTGATGTTTCTCTCTCTCTCTTTCTCCCTCACTTCCTCTTTCTCTAAAAATAAAAGCCTAAAAAAAGACAACAAAATACAAAAAAACAGTGCTAACAGTGTAAGTACCACGTAAGCTGGATACTGCCTATGCAAAGATCCACACTGGAAAAAAGAAATGTTCCTATTAGATGGAGACATGGTATACAATTAATTATTCCAGGTAGAGTTGACCCTTGACCAACATGGGAATTAGGAGCACTGACCCCCTTCATAGTTGAAAATCTGAGTAAAACTTTTCACTCCCTAAAAACTAAACTACTAATAGCCTACTGCTGATCAGAAGCCTTACCTATAACATAAAGTATTAGCACATATTTTGTATGTTACGTATATTATACACGGTATTCTTACAATAAAGCTGGAGAAAAGAAAATGTTATTGAGACAATCATAAAGGAAATACATTTGTAATACTTATTTTTTAAAACTCCGCATATACATGAACCTGTGCAGAGCAAACCCATGTTGTTCAAGGGTCAACTGTATTACCATTCTACCAATTACTACCATCTATGGACTCTCTAGCCACTTAAGATGAGTTCTCTTATATGCAATCCTGTACTACTATTCTTATTTCTTGAGATTACACACTCAAACAAACATACACACACAAAGGACAGAAGTTCAGAAAACATAACTGAGCAATTATTTTTTTCAATTTGCAGCCACTTCTTACTTCTAATAACTTTATTTGGATCCGGTATACTTAAAAAAATAGAATATTACAGTAAGAGCATTTCATCTTTTAAATAGTGAGTAGGAATGTTTCAATTCTCCTAAATCCTGAGTTCAACAGTACAGCTTTTTATTTTTATGTAAAAGCATGCCCTTAAAACATTTCACTCCATTTATTTACCTGATGGTTTTGATACCACTGGATAGCTTGTGTGAAGACCTCGATGGCACTATCAATATCTTCCTCATGGCTATACATGGTCACTAATGCAGATACCTACCCAGCCAAAGGTATAAGTTAGCAAATACAAATAAACATCAAACATACCAATGGACTATTAATTCCATTACTTTTGTAGTCTTACAATATTTTAGTTATAACTCACCATGCCTGGTTTATGCTTTAATTCCTCTATACTTCTCAGGATTAGACATGCTTTGGAAATGTTACCTTAAGAAATTAAAGACAAAATCAGCCATCACAATGAAGAAAGCGTATTATGGAAAAAAAGAGACAAGAAATTTAAGAGCCATATTTTGTAACATCTCTAAATACTCAAGCTATAGGATCTTGGGAAGAATGCACTCTTATTTAGCCCAGGCCGGTATGGCTCAGTTTGTTGGAGTGTCTTCCCATAAACTAAAGGGTCATGTGCACGATTCCCAGTCAAGGGTACATGTCTGAGTTGTGGGTTTGGCCCCTGGCTGGGGCATGTATGGAGGCAATTGATTGGTGTTTCTCTCTCTCTCCCCCTTCCTCTCTCTCTGGAATCAATAAATATATCCTCAGGTAAGGATTAAATAAATAAAAGAATGTATTCTATTTATTCACTTTACAAATAAGAAAACTTAAGTTTTAAAGAAACAATATACTTTGCTAACACTCACAAAGAAAAATAATGGCATGCCCTGGCTGGTGTGGCTCAGTGGGCTGAGTGCTGGCCTGTGAACCAAAGGGTCAGGAGTTCGGATTCCCAGTCAGAGCACACACCTGGGTGGTGGGCCAGGACCCCAGTAGGAGGCGCACAAGAGGCAACCGCACATTGATGTTTCCCTCTCTTTCTCACTCCCTTCCTCCCTCTCTCTCAAAATAACTCAATCTTTAAAAAAACAAAAGGCAGGAAAGTTAAAAGAAAAAGAAAAAGAAAGATAATGGCAGATGAACAGAAAAGTCATCTCCCAACTCCCAGTCTTTGAGTTCTATTTCTCCTTTTCAGACCATAACTTAAAGGTGAGAGTCCTTCCCTAAAGGCCTTGAAATATGTTACTGCACATGAGTGTAATGAAAACTTTCCTGTGGTGTTAGAATTCCAATTCTCTACTCACCGCAACCTAAACAACTAAACCTTTCAAAGTCTTTAAAAACAAAACAAAAACCATGACAGGCTCTCAGTAATTTTTAGTATGATAAAATAACCCTTGCAAAAAAAAAAACCAAAACAACAACAACAAAAATACCAAACCTGAAAAACCTAATGAGGAAAGAAGATAAAGAAGAGAGCAAGAACAAGAGAGGTGGAAAAAGAAACAGGGTCACAGGGAGACCAGTAGTGTTTCTCAACCTTGTTTTCATTACTACCCATTTAGGAGCCTTTTTACACATTTTTTCTTAATTGCCAACTCCCCCTGCCTCTACCCATACAATTTTTATTTTAGCCATCATAATATACAAAATTTTTTGACCGCTCCCAAGCCAATCATCATCCCCAGTGAGAGTGGTATCTACACTAGAGCTGTCTGACCGGACTTTCTGGGGTGATGGAAGCGTCCTATAACTTATTCTGTCCAACTAGCCACATGTGGCTACAGGGCTTCTGAAATGTAGCAGCACAACCAAGAAACTGAATTTTAAATTTCATTTAATTAACTTAAAATAGCTACATGCAAATAGTGGCTACCAAATGTGGTCAACACAGGTCTAGATAATCACTGAAGGCTGGTTCAAAATCATGGACAAAAACACTACCAGTTTTCTGTAATATCCAAAAACATCAGTTCTCATTAAATTTCCTTGCCACTCTCCCCCAAAGACATGAGTTGTAAAACATAAATAAAGGATAAAGGTCTAAGTTAAGAAATTCTGAAAACTAGGATGCAAAATAACGCTTAATTCATGCAAATACTACCAAGTGACAGATATAAGCATTTCTACACATGATATACCCAGGAAATTGGAGTTAAGTATGCTCTTTTGGAACAGAGAAATCTTTTGCTTCTACAGACTTTCAAGGCATAGACTGGGAATCATTCTAACAATTCAGTAATAACCCAAGAAAAGGCCAACCCACTAATAAGTCCGTTGGAGCTCCCATCATCTAGCTTTATGTTTGAAACAACAATAATGAGGTTTCACGATTCTGCAAAAATTTAAAACTCACATAGTCAACTACTTCAGAATCATTCCAACCATATGTTTCCATTAAAATGATATATTAACCATGATGAAATCATCATTAATACCTTGAGAAATTTTCAGCTGTGCCATGGTCAGCTTAATTTCAGCTGCATTTTCTGGATGCTGATCTGAAAATTCCTAAAATGTTTTAATTGGGGGGAAAAATACATTTTATTTACACAACTAATGGCACACATTCCAATTACTTAGCTACATAAAAATTTACATCCAGTTTTAAAATATTAAACTTCTGGTCTTAGTTCAAAGTTTTACTTCAGAGAAATTTTATCCACACCTACTGTGCTTTAAAATTAAGCTATGAAAATAAGTGTAATAAATGTCAAGTTTCCAGAAAGTCACAGAGAAATAAGATTACAACATATTTTTTTTTTCAAAAGATACTCAAATAAATGATACTTTCTTGCTGAGGGTCCCTGTCTGGCAACTCTGCCCCTCAGGATGGTCCTAGTTTTAACCCATCCAACTTTCCAATGTACTTTACCCTCAGGAAATTCAAAACGAATCTAATAGCTGATTTCAGCTAATAAAAACCAAGTCAGTAGCTCTGTAATTATTTGAGTTTGGAATGGACTTACTGGAGAATACATTATTGAAAAAGGGGTTAAGCATGTTCTGGTATTATAATCCTAAAATAAACCCTTGACTAGTTAAATAGACGTCAAAATGAAAAGCACTCTTTAGGGCTTAGAACAAATATATACTAATGCCAATTTATATAAAACAAAGCTATTGCCTAAGAATTAACTAAAGTGATACCCTAGAATTTGTCTATGGTATATTACCTATTAGTTTGCCCATGATATTTATTAGTTTTTATATGTAATGAAAATGAAACAAGACTACAACTATCTGATACTTCATTAAATATTCAAGTAATTCTTTTACCTGAAGGAGCTCGATCGCTTTAGTGTGCTGCTTTTCACGACAGAGCTGGGCAGCTTGGATTAACACAGGCAGGAGATGCTCAGGACTTTGGGACTGTAAACTGGCAGATATCTTTCGGCACTGGTCTGCCTAAAGATAGTATCCCCCCATCCCCCCAAATACATTGGTTAATGAAATTTAACATAAGTGAGTAACCAAAAAGGAAAAAAGGATGAGGCGGGGAGGAAAGAAATCAGCTGAAACTAGTAAATAAAAATCTGCCTACGGTGAAAGAACTGTTTTACAATATCTACTCCTAATTTTTTCCTGTAAACAATGATTTCCATTTACTGAATTTAAACTATGAATTCTAGAAGCATTTAGGAAAGGATGAGTTATAAACATCCATCTGGATGCTTAAAACCCAGAATTTTGTCTTAAAAAATACATCAAGTATCAGCCTTTGCCTCAAAACAACAAAATGTACAGATATTTCTTGCTAAATGATTTTAGAATAATTTGACTCTGTTCTAAATAATGCTACTGCCTCTTACCCTCCCACTGAAAACCTCTGCTCTAGAAGAGTATGAAATTGTACTTGACTTAGAATTAATGCATATTATGGTTAGAACTGACCACCTTAATATTTATAATATATTATGCGCATTTTACTTTAATTCAGAGAAATTAGAAATAACGTAATGAGATTATCTCATTTACAGATGTGAATAGTGTTTTCTTCCTCTTAAAAGCTACCAACAGCACACTTTTACACAGAATTGGGCAAATTACTTGTATAACCAATAAAATCTATTCCATATGACATCCTGAAGAACACATGGGTATAAGACAAAATATCAACAGGTTGCACTGATACAACCATGATGTTTCAGGTGCCATACTCTAAAAAGGTTTATCCAGAGGATCCAGAGATCTGTCACTCACCTGGTTTGTGTACATAGCAAGTAAAGCTTTGTTAAATTCTATGGCTTGCAGCTGCTTCTTGGAAAGCTTAAACTCTACTCCTTCTGCATTGGTTAACTTCACCTTCTTCTTGGAGTCAAAGACATTTTGGTCCTGACAAAGAAAAGTTCATGCATCATTAACAGCAATCTCAGGCTTTAGTTCTTTTAACATTTATTCATCTTTCATTTAGTTATTTTATATAAAAACAAGAGAGTTTGGAAGATAAACATCTGCCTGGTTGGGGTGCTTATGCTCCTAAGATGCATATCAATTTGTCTTGTATTCTTAGTTTTCTTTTGTTTTATCTTTTCACTATTAAATGCTCTTTTTGAGCTTTCTAAAGATTAGTACACAGTGATAGTACAAGTCTTACAGTGGAAATTAGGATTAAAAAGATTAAAATTTTCAAGTTGTACAAATTATGCCCTTTAGAATTTAGATGACAAATGAGGAAAGTAATTCATTCCTCTTTGAAATACTTCTCATTATTTAAGTAAATCATTCAAATTTAGAAATATATTCACACCTCTCTTGAACACACTTTTAGCAAAAATACTAATGTAACACAGCTGTTTTTCCTTTATTATTATTATTATTATTATTAATCCTCACCCAAGGGTATTTTTTCATTGCTTTTAGAGAGAGAGAAAGGGAGAGAACTATCAATGAGAGAAAGAAGCATCGACTGGTTGCTCACATATGCGCCCCAACCAGGGATCATTTGTGCCCAGACCAGGTGATGGGACCCACAACCTAGGTATGTGCCTGATTGGGAATAAAACCTGCAACCTTTGGTTATGGGACGAGGTTCCAACCAACTAAGCCACACTGGCCAGGGCTGTTTTCCCTTTTCTTTAAGGCCATTCTCATTTAAGGTCATCCCAGGCAGAGATATAAATAAGTTCAATTTCTGAAATCTGTGTGGGGCAAGCACAGTATTATCTGCCTAAAAGAAAGCCTTGATTATAGAAAGTTACGTATCTTTCACAGAAGGAAGAAAATTAAATCAACACTGCATCCTAAGAAGGATAAGCTAAACATAAGTGTCTACTATGTGCACAGTATTATAGCTTTGCAAATTACTGATACCACTGTGCTTTTTAAAGCAGGTCTTCTACCAGTTTAAAGACTAAAAGGAGGCAAGGAAGACATTTAAAATAAATTTTATTCTTTCTGAGTGTGAAGTTCCAAACCAATGTGAAACAGCAAGAAATAGGCTTTCATATAAATCAATCCTCAAAACCCATATTTTTAGTTGGTACTCCTATATATTAATATATATTAACTATATTAATACTTCTTTGTGCATGCCACTGCCAGACTTCTCCTAAACTTTGCTATCATATAATTTATTATTCAAAAATTTAGTTTTCATGATCTCCCATACTTTGGTATCATTCAATCTAACCTATTTTTTTCTTAAACTAGCCAGCATGTATATATCCTTTTATCTTCTAGTGTCTCATTCCCTGCCCCCTACAGGCCATAAATATTTCTTTATAATTCATTTGCTTAGGCTGTCGCTTCACCTTCAAATTGTATCTCTCTCTCAAGGGTAAGCTCAAATTTGCCAACCCAGAGATCTTTTCTTTCACCAAATACTATAGTTATAAAGTGTAAGGCAAAAAATTTAAACATGTACATTTTTTTCCAAAACCAGAATGACATTTTAAAACTGTAATGATTAAGACTGAAGAAAGTTCAACGTATAATTAATTGTGTTAATATTGAATATTTAGTATTTTGCACACTTTCTTCCTCACAATTATAAAACAGATAAAAAGAATCTGTCTTCAGTGGCATTTCAAATTATTCATAAACATAGGAAGTTATATATTATTGCTAAGATTCAAAAGCCTAAATCAATTTTTGGACACCTAAACCATAGCAATGGCCTCTAACATCCTGTAACTACTACCTCCCCTAATGCCATGACCCCACTTCTGGAGACTCTCTGAATTTCTGCTAGAGGAGGAGAGGGACACCACGAAGGAGAAGGAGCAAGCCTTGGGGTCAGAGACTGCAATCTAAATTCAAGTTCCACCTCTTATTAGTTGTGACCTTACACAAATTTCTTAACTCCTTTCAGCCTCAGATAACACTCTTATAAATTGGAAATAAGTACTGCGACCTAAAAAGATAATTGTGAGGATGAAATAAGATGGTACTCGAAAAAAAATTACACGGTCTATCAAAAAAATCCCATAAGTGCTACTTTTATTTTCTATTGACCTAAATTTCAAATCTGAACTTAAGAGAACCTGCCTTCATCTCCCTTCCCCGAAAATAAAAACCACTGGACAGAAAAAAATTACAGAAAACTTTGAGGCTCACTAAGTGAAAACATCATGTAAAACATGCACGCACAAAGTTTGAAAGTCCAAACATTTTAGTTTTCTAACAAATAGTTTCTCCATGTTATTATAAACTAAGAAAACAGTAAGATTTTAAAGTCCAGAATCTGTAACTACAAAAAAGTTTTATTACATGTGATCTCCTACAATTTCAGACTCTGTTATGGGAAAAGACCAAAAAACAAAAAACCCCCACTTATCCTAGAACAAAGCCGGGTAACACGCTGCCAGCATAAAATATAAGCGTAGGAAGCCCCGGGTAATTCATACCTTGTTAATGGTAATGATGTTATTTGCAATCACAGCTAGCAATCCCACATCTGTCGGCCTGTGAACAATAAGCAAGTCAAAAAGGATCAAACCTTTAAAAAGAAACCTCCTCCCCTACAAAAGACACTTTATTTTAATAACTCACTTTAGTTTTATTATCTGGTTGTAAAGTTGCAAAGCCTCCTCTGTACGACCTTGAAGCTGCAGAATATAGGCCATCTGCCCATGAATAATGGCCAGTTCTGCCTGGGGGTCTTCCTCAGTCCCATCCTAAGCAGAAGAAGAAACATTTTTTTTCCTGTAAATTCTCCAAGTTACTCCACATATTTACCAAGTAATCCAAACATTCAAGTGGTATAGAATCCTAAAACGCATATTTTCAGGAATTTTCCCTTAGATTTGTTTTTTTAAAATTTAGGAATTGCCATGAAAAGAGGCAAATTCACAAAATCCTAATTATCACCACACAAAGAACTTCAAAAACTGAAACTAATCCTGTAATTAAAGCAGCTCTCTTAATTAATCCATATTAATCCATATTCTCCATTCCTCTGGAAAGGTTGACCAATGCCTATGCAAAATGAATGCTCCAGGCAAAGGGGCTGTTCTCTTTTACCACACCCAGCACTCTTGCTCTCACCTGGTGAATGTATGCTGACCAGGGGTCAGATGTGCTCCCTTCCAACTCCATTAATCCAGTTATGTTTTACAAGCAAATGGTAAAACTTAATTATCACAGTAAGAGAAGAACTATGAGTGTGAAGAGATTTGTTTCAATGAAAATTATGCTGAATGCTCAGAAATATTTGATAAAGGTGAGTGACCAAAGAAAATTACCGTCTAATTGGGTGTGAGCCAGAAAATGGTAAGACATTGGTGAAAAAGTTAACATCTAAAAGGACTGTAATGAAACTACTTCACAACTGTCTTTCAGATAGTGTTGCACTTTAAAACAACAACAACAAAACTAGAAATGAAATCACAAATGCTGGATTATGTAAGATACATGCATGGATTTCCTATGAACAGACCCATACTCAAAAGACCTGGGCCCTGTATCTAAAATAGAAGACTGACTTTATAGTTATACGAATTTAAAGTAGAATGCATTAGGTATATAAAAACTTTTGTATTGTAATTTCTCACCCTAAGCAATGTCTTCAAGTAAGTAATCAAGAGGTTTTCTACTGTCATTCCTATTCAATGAATCACTATCTATTCCAAAAAGTCAATAAAAACTATAATAAAGCCCCACACAAATTTGTATTAGTCAGAAGTGTAAAATTTGGGTTTAACAACAGAATACTTACAGAATCTTCTGATAATGAACGGCGGCAAAGATCTATAGGAAAAAAATAGTTTTAAAATTAACATTGCTTGGTAACTCCCATTCCTTTCACCATTCCAGAGAGCAAGAAGCTTTCAAGATAATTTTAATGACAAGTAAATTTGAAATCTATCATTAGCATTAACTATATTAGATAATATTATCAGTCCCTAATCATTCTAGCTCTTTGATATTTGTAATCTCTATGTTAAAAAAAAATCTTTAAAGGACATTTAAAAATATGAATGTTGATTGCAAAAAGTCAATTTTAGAAAAGTATAAAAATAAAGGCAATCCCACCACCCAAAGATCACAACTATTAGCATTTTAGTTATTGTTTTTGTTAATGTAAATGTATGGCTGCATTTAAAATGAAAGTGGGATATTCTACATACTATTTTGAAATCTCCCTTCCTCCATTTAATATAATATGAACATTTTTATGATGTACACATTTATTTTTAACATTATAATTTTAAATGACTGCATGGTAATCTATTTGGGTGTTAATGTAAAACTTAGCCAACTGTCTAATAAAACATAAATACGAGATGTTTCTAAATTTTTTTCTTAATTAAAAGCTTCAATACAGGTAAATATTTTATTGGGTTGGCCAAAAAGTCCATATGGTTCTTTCCATAAAAAAGACACATACTTTTGTTTTCACCAATAGTTTTACTGATCTGGGTATTTTGAGTATGTCAGCTCTGTCCCGCATGGTATAAAGTTGATTGTTCTCAGTTAATGCCTCAATCTGATCGCTATCACCTTCAACTGGTCTGCCTGACCGTGGAGCATCGTCCATCAAGACATCTCCTGCACAAAACTTCACAAACCACTTTTGACACATTTGATCAGCCACAGCACCTTCTCCATACACTGCCCAAATTTTTTTTTTTTTTTTTGGTGTTTCAGTTGTTTTTACCTTTCCTGGAATAATAAAGCATAATATGCCAAAAATGAAGTTTATTTTCTTGCACCTGCAATATTAAAATGGCTACACAAAAATTCAGCAATGTTGTTTTTTTAAAAATACATGCTGATATGACAGCTGTCACAGTACAATCTAACTAAATTGTTTTGATTCAAGTTAAAGGCATCAAGTTATGGCCATCTTACAGAAAAAAATCAAATGAACTTTTTGGCTAACCCAGCATATGGAAGCGTACTAAATGTAGTAAAAATGTGCTTGAATAGTGTTCTAAATGTAGTAAAAATATGCCTGAATAGTGTTACCAATGTATAAATATAGTGTGTTTGAAATAAAGAGAATAAATTATTGGCATTAGAATTATTGGCCTTTTGAAACAAACAGCATATTATTACTAAACTTGAGTACTTGTTTAATAACAATAACTAATATTTACTGAGCTCTTTTATTATATGCCATGTACTAATGCAAATGCTTAACAGTAATGAGCTCAATTTACATTTAATACACACTGTAACTTGTCCAAAATCCTACTCCTCAAAATTTATACTTTAAGGTCCTGTGTGGTTGAAAATGAACAAATAGTATGACTCATGAATTAGGCAGAAATAATGGACAGATACTGTCAAAACCCCAAAGAAAGGCTATATTAACTTTGAGAGATTCCCACCAAATTAATCATTTCCCCTTAAAAACTTCAAAAAGTCAAACTCAGGTTTTGCAAATATTTTGCAAAGTTCTATGTACGTCAAAATCACATATAATTTTAGTAAATTTCCAACCTTCAGCTTTTTGTAGGATTTTCATTGCCTGACTCAGCTGGCCTTGTCCTATCAGTGCACATGCAGCATTGTAGCACAGCTCATGTGTGCCTTCTTGGAGGCCCAAGTTCTCCTGTCATGGAACAAAATACTAGTCAAACACTAAACAGGAATATCACTTCATGGCTATGTGATACTCAAGGATACTTACTGGAACCACTTTTTCCCAATTGCTTTGAGCTGCAACAACTGCTGACAGGTTTGTTTTTCTCTCCTCATCATAATCATCTTGGGAGTTTCGGACAAGATCTCTATACACAGCTAAGCATTCATCATAGCGTTCTAGCCGGTATAACTGCAGACACAAAAAGCAAGTAAAAAAGTCAGGGCAAAGAAGAAATATAGTGTTATGTCTCTCACACTACCCAAACCCTTTTTGGAACCACTAAGAAGGAAAACATACAGCATAACATGCGCAATCAACCATTTTTATAAAGAAAAATCTTTATAATTTTTCATTTATGTCTGTATGCTACTAACCCTTTCAAAAAATTACTTGCAATGGATCTACTATATTGCAGATTCGAAGGCATTATTCAGTTAAAAGTCATTGCATTTACCTCTTCTTGAGGTTACATAAATGCCTAAGTGGGGTGTGAAAGAAAACCTTTCTCTAACAGAAAACACCCTGTTACATAAGTCAGACTTACAATGAAAAAAATGATCTGACAACACACAGCAACAACTAAATTCCAGTAAACAGGAACAAAATTAGATGTTAGCAAAAAGAGTTAATACTTCCAAGAATTCACTATACTTAATATTCATTTTCTCTTTCTCAGAAACCAGCAATCGTATAGGGTAGTATGAAGTACACACCACATGATTCTGAAAGGGTAATAAGAACCATCACTATGGGTCAGTTAGGCCACCATGTATGACAGAGACTGGTGCCCTTCATCAACCTCAAAATGCTGGAATTTACCCTGAACTTACCCAGCTTACCTTAAAAGTTCTTTATAGACCTACAATCCATGAACTTGCCCAAATCTTTCTTCAACTCATTTATATTGTTAAACTCATACTACTTCTTGGGAATACAGTCAATACAAGATTTGCCCTAGACTGACATTTTAAAAATGTTTAAGAGGGTTTTGCTAGTTCTAACAATATTTCTGTCCTTTCCTCATTAATAGCTTTGTTTTACATAAGACTTCATTATATGTCTCAAAACAATTTTACAATAAGATATTTTCAAGGATTTCATGAACTAGCTGAATTTATCCAAATTATCACCATGATTTTTAGATTTAATACAATTTCAAAACTGTTTAAATATATAAGCTCCTTTCCAACTAAAAAGTCCAAATTTCATAGGATAGTTCATAATTTTAAATTACTCTGAGGAAGCCATTTGTTAACAGAATATTATATATGCGGCTTTTGCAAGAAGATCAAGAACAGAGAATATGTTTAAGTGTCAAGAACTGGTTTGGTGGCAAGTTTTGTGGAGCATCAGGTTCCTCATCCATGCTCTTTGCCACAGGTAGAGTCATGTTCACTCAGGATGATTGTCAACAGGTATTTAAAAGCAGTAATTACCACTTGTCCATAAAGTTCCTTTAGTTTGTCTGTCTGCTGGTTGGCAGTTTCTATTGTCTTCAAGGCATTCTCAATTCTGTTCAGCCTATACTCGCAATATGCCTTTTCAAAAGAAAGAGAGTTACTGAAAAAGGAAAAAAACAATATCTGATTATTGGCCCACACAACAGAGCACTCCTATATGCCAGATACTGCTCTAAGCACTTGATATATATTGTTATTTAATCCCCACTGATAACAGATGAAGAAGCTGACAAAGGTTAGTGACTTGTTTGGAAGCCAGACAGCTCACTAGTGGCAGAAAATACTATATCCATGTCCTTAGCCTCTCTTGCTTTCATGGATATTCTTATTAGAATTATTGGCCTTTTGAAATAAACATTTAAGAATGAAATCATTAATCTTCTAAATAACTGTCTTAGGTACAAAGACAATGTGAACACCATTTTAAACAAATTATTACAGAAATTTCTTAAACCTACTAATCAAATAACAAGTCATATAATGCTGCTTTTAACTTGCCCAAGAAGCAAATGACTAGTGCGCGCGCATACGCACAGACACAACCTAGAAATCTTTAAAGAACATGGTATTTGTATCCAAACTGGTAAACATACAACTACATAGACACTACTTTACACAGACCTAAACCTTCATCTACATTAATGTGACACCTAAAACTCATATTGAAATTTCAACCATAACCCATAAGGAAAAATATTTATCAAAATAAATGGCAATACCGTTTATTTACTTGCCTGACAAAAATTGTTTCAAAATTTCTCTAACTCACAAAATGGTCAAAATTCAAAATAGTGAATTTCAGCATAAACATATTTACTAGTAGAAAACAGTGTTCTCTTTATTTCCTTTTTATTTTTAATAAACTTATTAAAATAAGTTTTCAATCTGTAAGATATTTATGGCTCAAATGAAAAACAAAAAGGTATACACTAAGAAGTTTTACTTCCACTGCTTTTCAAGCCTACCCTGTTCCTCCTTGCCTCCTACACGTGACTATTTTAACACACTGTTTCATTGGCTAGTGTTTATTTTGCACATATAGAAAAATACACATATAAATTCTTATACCTTCCTTTTCTTATACAAAAGGAAGTATACTATATACTGCTCTGTACTTTATAAACCAGAATCTTTAACTAAAGAATAAGTATGCTGCAAACTTCATTTCAATACACATTTCTTTTGGGGCTTAGGCATAACTGTAAAAAAATAAAAAAAATAAAAATTAGAGCAACAATTTAGAATACAAGTTCAAAATTCATGAAAAGTTAAATGAAATAAATGAAAAATATTAACAACAACAAAAATACTACCAGTATCAAGGCTGCTAAAGAACTCTGGCAGTGAAAGATCTTCGCCTAAAATCAATTCACCTAAATAATTCTCAAAGGAGGTCAGCACAGAGGCCAGACTAAAGGAGACCTCAGGTTATACTGCCCTACCACACCTTCTGCTAAATTGTTCTCCCTATATCCCTCTGAGACTCCTGTTACATTTATGCTCCACATCCCTCCATAATTTACCTCCTTCTTAGTGGTTCAAAGGGAAGGTGAGGTAAAAAAAAAAAAAAAAAAAAGGGCTCCCTAAAGCAGAAAAGAACAAAGTTACTATTACTCTATCCAGTTTCAAAAACACTGCTGGAAAGCAACAGGAAAAAAAAAAAAAAAAAAAAAAAAGGAAAGAAACATCAAAAAATCACTGAAGTGGTAAAAAAATTATTATAGCTATGGTAAAAGTGTTTCTAATAATTACACAAACAACCAACTGAATCACTTACTTGGCTAACACTTTGGTGTGAGTGTTGATGACATTCAAGGCTTCCTTGAAGCTTCCATTCTGGATAAGGCATACCACTTTACAGTGCAGGGCAGTAACATCATCCTTGTTGATCTGTAGTACTACCGAACAATTTTAGGAAAATATTTTTAAAATCCACTCCCTTTTCACATTTTTACTAAATTTTCCCACCCCCTGCCTCAAGAAATTACTTTTCCAATTGTACTGCAGCAAGAATGATTTGTCAAAACTTTTTTTTTAAAAAAAGGTGGATCTTCATTTTTAACCTAAGAAGTGGTAATGAGAGTTATAATTTAGTAAGTTAGAGTTTCAATGAGATAGATTCCCAAGATGCATGTTCCCAAAAAGGAGAGTGAAATAAAGAACAAGAAAGAAGGTGTTTTCTCCAGCTTTTTCGTCTTGAGATGCATGTTACATCTGCATATTTCATTACTTCACAGGGTAAGTGAAAAGTTCAGGTCGACTTTGGAAACAAACTTAGTTTTGAGTACAAGATTGTCATTAGATGCCTTGAGGTCTTAGGCAAGTCATCTAACAGCAAATCTTAATTTTTCTGATCTGTAAGACAAGTATGAAAGCATTACTTTTTTACAAGGTCATCAAGAAGATGAACAGAGAATATTTTGGCAATATCTATAAGCTGTAAAGTATACAGATGCAATTTATCTTGTTGGCAATAGTTCCAAATACCATTTAAAATTTTCCTTTTAACTTAAAATGACCAAAGAAAAGTACAAGGAAGAACTCAGGTAGCCAAGTTTCAATGCTAAACAGCTGTTCAGTGTCAAAATAACCAAGATCACTCTCCTTGCTCCTAGGCAACTATAGGAACTCAATTCTAAGAAACAAAGGAGTTTCTGACGATGAAGAAAACATATGCTGTACTTGAGAACAAACTGAGAGACGTTGATGAAATAGTTCCTGCAATTTATTACATTGCCACTAAGTAGTAGTGGCTGTAGGCCCAGCCAAACACTAGCCTTAATTCAAAATAAGTTTAGGAACCAAGTAATTCTAATTAGTATCAATTTTCCTCCATGTCTGAAATCACCAAAAATACATTGTGAGCACCATCACTTATTTTCACGTTAACCCAACTACAGGTCATTGAAAACTATACAACCTTGTATGTTACTGACATACCTTTTACGTTATTACTGCTTTAAATAGCCAAACCCTGTATTGGTAATTGCATTTCCAAATCTACCAAATATAGGCGTCATCTTCAGTAAAGAACTTAGCACGAAAGAGAGCATTAAAATGCATTGCCATATTACAGTTACATAGTAAACGATAAAGGAATACAATGAGTAAATCTCATACCGAGATAGTTTATTGGAAATTACAAGTTATGGAGCAAAAAATAGGCCAGGCTTTTTCTTCGAACGTGATTTCAGATGTTAGTGCTTCACACACACATTTTCTGGTCTAATGACATTGGTGAGATTACATCTAGGAATGCAGGCCTGGCATACAGAGCCAGCCCTTTCTTCTTTCCTGATTCTGTACAGCTTCCACCTGGTCAGCACCAGCGTCTAAATTACGTGTCACAAGCGGGTTCCACCCCCAGCCAAGGCCCAAGAAAAGGAACTCCCTCAGCAATACGGTCTCCATCATTCCGCTAAATGGAAGGAGAAAAGGACGAAATGTGGAATATTTGCGAAATAAGGCGTGAAAACAGAGGAGTCAAATAAAAGAACAGTTTGGATTAGGTGCAGGGAGCAGCGGTCTCTTTAAATCCCTCCCTCGCTTTTCGCGGGGTGTAATGTGGGAAGTATACGTGGCTCTAAACAACCCAAGGCCCAGAGTTAGCTCGGGAGAGCAGGGGGCTGCGACCCACGCCCACTACGCTCTCCAGGCTGTCGCACCCTGCACGCAGGAAGCTCAGATCTTGTCCCACGTCTACTTAAGAGGCTGGAGCGCGCACGGCGGAAAGAGAGCGCATCCTTCCGCCAGCCTGGGCCGGCCCCGGCACCCGCCCTGATACTTACTCTTGTTGACGGTCTTGAGAGCGCGCGTGAAGTCACCGTTCTGGCCGTAACGGTTCACTTCGCTCCAGAGCGCAGGCACCGAAACCCCCCCACTGCTGCCGCTCGCCATCTTGGAGGAAACGCGGGAGGGACGGGACGACCTCTGCCCCGGAAGAGGATCCGTGAAGTGCCAAGCAGAGGAGGAAGCCGGTGGTTGCTAAGCGTTCGGAGTCGGAAGCGCTCTTATTCCGGAATCAGCGTCACTGTATCGTACGCTGTCGTTACTAGAAATTCGTGGATGGAGTCGCTACACCTTAACTGCAGTGGGTACGGAGGAATGGGGTCTCGGATCCCGCGAGGAGGTTGCGAATGGCTTACCAAAGTTTCGGCTCAGAGCTTCGTGTTTCCGGGATGGCTGCTGCCGGCGAAGCATTGTCCTGCAAGCCAAGTGGACGACGTCCAACGGAAGATAAATAAAAGGCCCATGGGGTGGTAAAATACCAACTAGAAACCTTAAGGAGTTGCTTGAAAGAAGGGGGATAAGGGAGAGAGACGATTTCTTGCTGCCTGAGCACATTTCGTAAACGAATTGACATTTGCAGGGGGTCTTGAAAGATAATAGGAAGATCTGGGGTTGGTTCTGGATAAGGTTGCGGTAGAGAAGCCAATCTGAGAAAACACACAAAAGAACCTCCAAGTGCAAAGCACGTTTGGTAACACCGTTTGGCTGCCCTTTGGGCTCTAGTTCAGGAGCAGTCGGCAGTAAGGCTGGAAAAGTAATGTTTTCGAGTGAGAATGCCCAGGTTAGTTCCCGGCTCTTCAACTCACTAAATGTATGAACAAGTTACTTAATTTACCGAAGCCTCAGTTTTACCGACTGCAAAATAGGGATAGTAAGTAATTGTTCTAGGGAGAAAAGATAATTGATGCATGCATCCCGGCGTAGTAAGGACCCAAGTAACACATAGGAGGTTTAGTGTTTTTGTAAGTATCAAGATATGTTTGAATGTCAGAAGAGGGTGAGAACCTATTGAGTACTCTTGATGAAAAGACAGGACATTTTAGCTCTGCCTGGCGTGGCTAAGTAGGTTGGGTGACTTCACGCAAACTGGAAGGTCACAGGTTGATTCCCGCTTGGGGTACGTAGCTGGGTTGCGGGCTAGGTCCCCTATTCAGGGCGTGGAGGCTATCTATGGATGTTTCTCTCCCTTTCTCCTCCCTTTCTCTCTAAAAATAAATAAATAAATATATTTTTTTAAAGGACATGTTATTGAGCTGCTACTATTTAGACTCCTATCTTGTCAGGATCCTACCAACTCCTGCCACTTTCCCTCTTTCCCAGCAACCTAGCTAACTTCTTCTCATCCTTCCCTATTTTGCATCCTGGTTCTAGGTTTAAAATTGCTACTTTGACCTTCATAGAGCTCTCTGTCTCTCAGTATTGAGCATTGATTAAGGCCTGTCTCTAGATAGACTATAATTTCTGAGACCAGGGAGCTATATTCACCTTGCTCAGGCCTTTATCCCTGGGATCTAGGACACTGGCTGGTACATAGTTGGTCCTCAACTTTTTTTCGTTTTGTTTCTGGTACTCAACTTTTTAACTGAATGAGTTTTTGCTTCTATTTTCCCACTAATCTGTGAGCTTCTTGATGGCAGAAATTATACCTGGCTCTTGGTTTTTTCCTATGGTGCCTGACATGTTTCATGTCTGGTCAATATAGTACAATGCAAAAAACAGCACGCATGGTAGAGCGAACTCTAGTTTGTAAGGATGTAATCTCTGTTAACTAGTAAAACTTATGGGAAGAGCTGTGGACCCTTCATTGGCTGTGGAACTCACAGGTTTCAAGCCAATATGCCTAGACTTCAAGGGGTTGAGGGAGTTCTAGATTATGTTTGGCATATCCAAAATATTATGTGAATATTTCTGAGGAAAGACTTTGTAGCTTCCATTGGATTCTCCAAAGGTGTTTACACCCCATGGGACACCCCCACCCCGCCCCCGGCCAAGAGTAAGAATCACTGCCTTAGTGCTTTTCTAACTTTTAAGATCAGTCACTTTAAGGATGTACAGTTTGGTTTCTCTTATCAGTCTGATCCCATATACTTTGTAGCTTCTATAAATTCCTCAGAATTCCTCTACCATGGATTCCCATTTTTCTGGCAAACAGAATATATATAGATTTAATCTGCTATTTTTGAAACAGGAGTCTTCTAAACCAGAGTGACCTTTTTTAGCATAATGCCACTCTCTGAGTTAAAATCCAAACTACGAAGCCAAGCAGTGTGAGCCCTGGTGGGTGTGGCCCAGTTGGTTGTGCTGTTTCCTGCGAAATGAAAGGTCACCAGTTCAATTCCCTGTCAGGGCACATGCCTGTGTTGCCGCACGTGCCAGGTTGGGGTGCGTGCAAGAGGCAACCCATCAATGTTTTTCTCCTCTTTTCCCCTTTCCCCTCTCTAAAAGTAAATAAAATCTTAAAAAAAAAAAATGAGCCTAGCAATGTGAAGTCCTTTATGATCTGGCCTATGCATGCCAACTCCTCACCCCACATAGGTCTTTTGCTACTTCCTACTCCCTTTGCAAATTATAGTCCTCTAATGTATGTGTAGTTCCATGTTGCTGTACTTCTGGGAATTTGCACATTTATTCATTCAACAAATACTTGAGTTCCTCATGGGCTGGCATCAGGCATTATACTTGTTGCTAGGGATACAATTAAAAAGACAACCCAGTGCACTCATATAATTTACTTTCTACTTGGGAGAGGCAAGAAACATATATTTGGCAGTTATAAGTTTTATGAAGGAAAGGTAAGAGGAATTGAGAATAGAGTGCAAAGAGTTAAGCCTCTCTCCTTTTCATTCACAATGTACACTTGTTCTTTATATCCCCTCCTCCTTTGTGTATTCAGAATACCCAATCCTTTACTCCACATTATGACAATAGCGTTTTGAAACTGTCTGCCTAGGAAGACTCCCAAGACTCACTCATGGCAGAAATTGGATCTTGTTCATTGTTGCATCCCCAGGGTCAAAAATTTATTTTTGCATCGAATGGATTTAGCAATTTATGATTCCTGAGAAGCTTCCATGTGCAGTTATCATTTTATCCAGAGGTAGGCGGAAGAAATGTTATAGTCCACTTTACAAATAAGACTTGAAGCTCAAGAGCATTGTGCCCAAGGAAATCTTTTTATTCCCATTCTACTGCCTTTTCCACAGTCCCACGATGCTAGATTAACGACTCCACTGCAAGTATTTGAGGTTGTGGGTAGTTCCATGCAATAAACAACATTAAAAAGTAAACATTTTTGTTGGCTTTCCAAGCACTGCTGGGCTGAAGACGGTATGGAGAGGCTGGATGTTCCATGGCACGTCATGCTTAAAGCAAATTGCTAACCCTGCCCTTTCCCCCTATTTTTAAAAATTAAGCTGAAGGCTCTCAAATTCAAGATAATTTCATGGTGAAATCAATTCTCATTCCATCCCCTAGTCTACCAAGTGGATATTACATAATGGATTCACGTGTCAGGGTATAACTTTACATGTATTGACTCATTTAGTTCTCATAGCTACATGAGGTAGGTATTAGTCCCATTTTACACATGAGAACATTGAGGCACAAAAAAATAATTTTCTGAAGGTCACATCATTTCTTACCTGAGCTACAACAGTCTCTTAACCAACTCCAAAGGTTCTTTTCCACACAATAGCCAGAGAGAACTTTAAAACATGTTAATTATATCATGCCCTTCAATTTTCTAATGGTTTTTTCTTTCACATTTTAGTGTGGCCTATAGGCCGTAACGTAGCCTTTCCTTACATCAACGTTTCTCCTACTCTTAGCCGTGTTCACAGAGCTCCAGCAAAACAGCTTTGTTTACGGGCCTTCAAAACGGCAAGGCTGTTTTACTTCCTACTCCTAGTCTGGAATGCTATTTCCCTGCATATTTACATGGCTCTTTTTCTCAAAAACCTACCCATCATTATCCTCTCGCCTTGGTTGTTATTCATATGCATTTACACTTCCACAAAATCTATCCAATTTATCTTTTAGGATTTATCTTTGATACAATGTAAGTTTTGGGAGGTTGGGGGCCTTGTCTCTGTTCAGTGCTGCATTGCTGGTGCCTATAAAATCAGGCAAAATACGTATTTCATGAATGGATGAAACATACAGAGCTTATCTTTGTTTTTTACTTGGCTGCAATGTTTAAATTTAAGGCCTTTAAGCAACAGCAATCCTAAGCATTGCTTTATGATAGAGTTTAGGTTCTGCAGTATTGCGCACAATTTTTTTTTTCATGTTTAGCTTTAAGTCCATAGAAAGTACAAGCACCCAAGCAAAGATGGCAAACCAGTTAGGTTTGGGTGAGTTATTTTTTACAACAGTTAAAATACTTTCAAACAAGTATTTATTCTAGCATTGATGAACTACTGAGGATGTATGTACTCTAAGAGAAATTGATAAATGATGGAGAATGTTGTCGTATACACCAGTCTAAATCAATGATATTCCACTATTGAGCCACAAAATTATTTTTTAATTCTCACCCGAGGACCATTTTTTTATTGTTTTTTGAAAGGAAGAGAGGAAAGGAGAAACATTGATTGGTTGCATCCTGTAGGCAGCCCAGATGGGATGGAACCCGTAACCTTCGGGTTTTGCGATGATGTTCCAACGTAGCCATACTGGCCAGGGCACACAAAAATTTTTAAAGCATACAATACCTGACTAAGTCTGAGGCACTGATCTCTTTTCCCTTAGATTGTCAAATTAAAAAAAGGTAATGGCCAACACAATAGCCACCCAGTGTGAATGGATCAAAATTTTACTTTTTTTTTGGTCATATCAGCAAAAAAATATTTCTGGTGTGCTGCAGAATTTTAGTAATTACTTTGTGTGTGCCATAAGCTGAAAAAGTTTGACAATCACTGGTCTAAATGAATGAAATTTTTAAGCCACACAGAAACAGGTGCAGTTTTTGCTAGAGATAGAAGAGCTGAAATAGCAACCATGACTATTAAGAGACCATGAAGCCAAAGTTTAAAGATAAACCCAAGCGGTTTTAATTGTTCTTGGGAACATAGGAAATTAAGAGTACATGATTTTTGTAATTACCTCATCTCAGACTGCCAGGCATAGCACATCAGTTCATGTGGCAGTTTGAGGGAAATAAAGTTTAAAATTATTTTCTGAGCTTACAATCCAACATAAAGAGCTACCTGTAGCCATTGTAGCTAGGTATCATTTTTGTGGTAACAGTGAGAATGTAGCTCTAGTAACTAACATAGATTTTAATGCAGACATTCTAAGAACTAAATGTACAAAAAAGTAAAATCCAAAAGCCGTAATGAAAGCAAGTTCCCTCGATGGGTTAAATCAGCAATTCCTGACCTATAGACCATGGACAGGCTTCAAGGGAACCCAAGACACAAAGGGATCTGTTGGTGACTTCTGTGTGTACACTTCTCTAGAGAGAAGGGAAACAGCACTCACATTTTCAAAGCAATCAGTATTGCAAAAGAGATTTTAAGAGTTGATGTTTAAGTCCTTGGCCAATCAATCATCTTCAAAAAAGCTAGATTGAGAATGAAGACCTTCTAGATCAGACTAATGTAGAATTTGACCTGTACTTGAGGCTTTTGTACAGAGACTTGGTAGGGTAAATTCAAGACTTTGTGATGAGTTAGACATGAAGGTCAAGAAAAACACTGAGGATGAAATCAAGTGTTTTATTTGGAACAGTGAGTATAGCCAGTTACAAGCTTGATGGAAGATGAATTAAGTTGAGAGCATTCAGAGACAAATGGACAGTTGAATATACATGTTTACAGACATAGCTGGGAGTCAGTTAATGCTAATTTTCGCTGAGGGAAATAAGATGGTCCAACCATTATTTGTAAATAATGGAGAGACTCAAAAGTAGAAAATATCAATATTTAAGGAGAAAGAGAAATATAAGAGAAATAATCAAGAAAGGTTGGACTATCTTGGTGTCTAGCCCAAAAAAGGAATAGTTAGGTCAAGCACCCACCCCTGCCCAGGAATCAGGTGAAAGAGGTGGTAAGAGATGCCAGCTTGTTAATATTAGAGAGGTGAAAAAGTGTAAACAATGTAAGCCATTGGTAAGAGTCTTATCAAGATTTCATTTGCAGTACAGATGGTTAACATTTCTTTTAAAAAATAAAGTTGCCCCCTTTTCATAAAAGTGAGCATATGCATAAAATTTAAGGGGTTTTGTAGACACTTGGATGAAAGTTTAGTGATCTATAAAATCCCAAGGGCTGAAAAATATCCAATCTATAAGGGTTTATAGATTGATGATGAATTACAATACCTCTAAGTAACAACTCCTTTAGAAATAAACCTCACTATTGTAAGAAGGAAACTAATTATGGTTCTCATCTGGAAGATTCCAATTTCTGAAAATGATCGTACACTGGGACTGTTAGTGTGGCTAAAGTATGTATTATCAGAATTAAAAGAATTTTAAGACCCACAGAGAGACACACCACAGCCAAGTAAGATTCACTGTATCTTTTATTCGAGAGGCAGAGATGACTCTTCTTTTCCCCACTGCAAAGTGCCCTCACAGCCATCAGAAGTTCTTGAAAAGTCAGCTCTCCAAGGCTTCTATAACGCCCTTCATCTTATTTGTCTTTTCCCTACCCTTACCACCAATCTCAACTTGAAAAAAAAAAAAAATTAAAACATCTCCATCAATAGCTGGAGATACACACCGTCTTCTGAGACACTGACTGCAAATAAAAAACCATGTCCTTAGAATTTTGTAAAGATCAAACTGAAAAAGAATTATATTGCTAGAATCACCCTAAGATAAAACACTTTTAACTTCCTAGAACTTATAGGTTGAGATCTAGGTCAAGTAGTAACTTCAGAGCTCTACAGTAGGACATAATTAGCATTTAAGAAATATATTTATGTTACCTACCTAACAATGGCCATATAGTAGGTAAGAACTTAATTTTAAAATACCCTTAAGTATGTACATATATTGTACTAATCCATGAATCTAGAGAAGCATTTATTCACTAATGAATTTTGTCAGATTGATTTAAAATCTCTTCATCTTAATTTTTTTTTCTGCAGCTAAAATAAAAAGTTATAGATCATCTTCTAAAAAAATGCAATGACATTCTTCCCTACAAATTGCGCTCTCGGATTTTCTTGTCAGCCTGCTTCAGGGAAATCCATGTGTTCAATATACTTGCTCGCAGTTTGGCCCATACCAAATGGTTGTTTAATCCAAATATCTGAGCTGCAAACTGAGCTGATCCTTCTGGAGAAAGTATGGTTGAACAGCCAAGACCTATTTGTTCAGAAAGGAAAAGAGAAAAAATTGAGCTGTCAATTAATACTGAAAATACTACTTAAGCAAACTGTTTTGTACTCAGAGAAGTCCTGTTAGCCAGACAATAAAAAAACTAGTCTTTTCTCAAGCAGTATCTGCAGGAGTTACTATCCCTACTGTTGAAGTGGTGAAGTGAATATAATAGGAAAGTAATATTCATCTGCCATAAGCAGGTTTTTATAGACATCATCGATCACTCTCTTTTCTGAATCCACTAGCAAAGAAATTTACCTTTTTAAAAGTTCTTTTTACATACACAATCCCTTTAAATACCTGGTGAAGGGCAAGAAAAATAAAACAAGGGACAAGGTTAAATGGTGTAGAAGCACCTGCTTTTAGACAAACTTGAGGTATGCTAATTGTTTTGATAATATCCTAGCTACTACTTTGGTCTTTACATTTGAAATATTCTAACATTTTTAAGCAGTAAAAGTCAAATCCAAAGAATAATCTTAGTAAATATCAGGTTACAAATAAATTTAATAGTAATGAGATCTAAAAGACCATAGAGTAAGAAAGTAGCTTCTTTGGGGGCACATATTTTCCCAGATAAGAGTTTTATCAGGTGGTACTTGTATGTCTATCACTGAACTCAAGGACTAGTTAGCTTATAGATCAAAAAGCTACACTTTCACAATATTCTTGGAATTCATCAGGCTCTTTTACTCTCACTAAACTATCCCAAATAAAAACAGATTCAAGTGCAAATCACAAAGTTAATTTATTAATTTGTATGAATAAATTAATTTTTGCAGCTCTACCACTTACATGTGGTCACCAGTCACTTCACTTAATGTTAATTTTAATGTCATTATCCCAAAGATAATGACACTAAAGATGGGAATGATGTCAACATAAGAAACGTCCAAACCTATAAAGAATTTTTATGAGTTTATCTGAGCTCAACTGACATTTGCCAGGAACCAAAATCTCAGCAGACTGAGAAGATGATGTGGAAGTAAATTACTGCACATCAGAATCAAAGGGGAAGACGTAAGGGGGGTTCCACAAAATCCACTGGTGACAGATTAGGGAGTAAGGAGAAAGCAAAGCAGGGAAATCTCTGAGATTGGATAAAAAGGAAAACGGATAGGCACACACTTCTTATACACTGGCGGGTACCAGAGAGTTAACAGTATTTACAGCACATAGAGATGGCAGAACAAGATAAAGAGAATTCCTGTGGTCTCCTGTTCTGGTGGGAGACGGTGCCCTGAGGGATCTAAACAAAAAGAGATTACTTTGATATTCCAAAGGTATGTTATCTTATGTGCAAACAGACAATAGGTAGGCTCAGTTAAGGTAAAGACTGACCTTTGTCAAGAAAGATACCAGCCTAGGACATGACTACTCACCATGACTCGCTTTTAGTTTGGAAGTTTTAATTTTAAACCATCCTATATGGTTACTTTAGTTCTCTGAGTCTGTAAGGCCACCATGCAGGCCTCCCCTGAGCTTGTCAGATTGAGTGTGGTGACCCCTTTTTTGTCAAAAGTAACTACTAGCTATCTTATGTGAGGATTCAATGAATTAATACAGATAAAGTGCTTGGAGCAGTGCTGGCACATAGTAAGTATTCAATGAATGTCAGCCCTTATTAGGAGTATACTAATACTTAGAATACTCTACTCCAGTATCTGAAAGACCTGTGCCTACCGCCCAGGAATCCCTTTCTGATACCAGGAAATCTTAATTAACAACATATGAGATTATCTAGTGAGCGTGCCTTAAGAGGAGGAGGAGTTTTCAGGGTTTTGCGCAGGCCACTGCAAAGCTGTTCCTCAAAAATCCCCAATTTTAGTGATCAGAATGTACAAATCTTTGACTCCCTGTTTCTCCCTAGACAGTACTAGATAAAAAGTGCCTAATTTTTACTTACCACATTCCCATGGATAGCTATTTCTAAGCTCCATGGATGACTCCTACACTCTTGCTATACTAGAGGACTATAAATTAGCTTTGTTTATAGCTACAAATTTTTAACTTGAATAGTTAATATAATCAGATGTCTCTGTGAAATTGTTTAAAAAGCAGTAAAGGGCATAAAGGAAACACACATAAACACAGCTGAAACGCTAAGGGAGTGGTCACTACTTGGTAAAACAGGAAAATTTAATCCTAAACTGTAAGCAGGGAAAGACGAGAAGCAGCCTGACTGACATTATAGAACCAGTTCCCAGGTTGAGGAATTAGTGGTACCAGACACATCTGAAGGGAGGAGTAGGGGGTGAAAATGGAGCTAAAATGAAGACTAAAAGTCAAGAAGCAGCTTGGCCCTCTGATCCCCTTCCCCCTTCCAGTTACCTAGGCAACTGCTCCTTCTGGGTCGTGTCGGGTATAAATTTTTCTGAAGGCAAAACAGACTTGTCCAGACTTCTATGGACTGGAGAACACCAGGCACAGTGTAGGCAAGGAATGACATAGTGAAATGAGAGGGTTAAGTCTACAGACACATATTAAGATCCTCAGCTTCTCAAATGCTGGCAGCCAGGCTTATACCTCCAGGTAGAAGGCAGACTAGGAAGGTACTCTGGGTAATTCTGGTCAACTTATGAGAACAGGAAAGACATTGATGGGAGGGGTTATTCAAAGAACCACCCTATCAGATCACCCCATAATGGAGCTCACTTTTGACAAGTCCCACCTACTTGCACAGGGCTTCTGACTGTTACAGTGCCCGACTCTAACACAAAGCCAAGGAAAAGAACCAATGTGAAAGAAACAGTAATAATCTCAGAAAGATAAAAGATGTTATTGCCAAGATTAAACAAGAGGATGTTTAGGGGATGGAGGAAGACCACAGAACAAAAAAGAGCCCCCAAAAGTTAAAAATACCATATCCAAAATTAAAAAAACAATAGAAAGTATGGAATATAAAGTTGAGAAAATATTCCAGAAAATATAGCAACAAAAAAAAGAAAATAGAATAGATATCAAGGAGGTCTAAATTTGAATCATAAATCTAAAATGACAAAGGAAATGGAAGGGGAAGGAAATTATGTTATTGAAGAAAACTTCCGAGGCTTTCTGGTGGTGCTTTGGAGGTGGTCAGCTGCTCTGGGATGAAGCTGAACATCTCTTTCCCAGTCACTAGCTGCCAGAAATGCATTGAAGTGGATGATAAAAACAAACTTTATACCTTTAATGAGAAGTGGATGGCCACAGAAGTTGCTGCTGATGCTCTGGGTGAAGAACGTAAGGGTTATGTGGTTCAGTTTCCCCGTGAAGCAGGGTGTCCTGACCCACGGTTGTGTCCGCCTGCTACCGAGTAAGGGGCATTCCTGTCATGGACCAAGGAAGACTGCAGAGGGAAAGCGAAAATCTGTCCGGGGTTGCAGTGTGGATGCCAACCGCAGTGTTCTCAAAGTGATCATTGTGAAAAAAAGAAGGGAGAAAAGACATTCCTGGTCTCACTGATACTACCGTGGCCTTGTTGCCTAGGGTCCAAAAGAGCCAGCAGAATCCACAAACTTTTCAACCTCTCAAAGATGATGATGTCCAACAATGTTGTGAGAAAGCCCCTAAACAAAGAAGATAAGCAACCTAGGACCAAAACACCCAAGTTTCAGCATCTTGTTATTCCATGTGTCCTGCAACACAAATGGTGTATTACTCTGAAGAAACAGTAATGTACTAAGAAAAATAAAGAGGCCATAGAATATGCTAAACTTTTGGCTGAGAGAATGAAGGAGGCCAAGAAAAATGCCAGGAACACACTGACAAGAGATGTAGGCTCTCTGAGAGCTTCTATCTCTAAGTCTAAGTCTAATAAAAAAATGAGATTTTCCAAGAGTAACAAATAAGAACAGACATGCAATTAAAAAAGAAGAAAAGAGAAAACTTCCCAGGACTAGAGAATCAAGAGTTCCACATTAAAAGCTCTCATTTAAAGCTCAGAATGAAAACAGACTCACCAAGACACATCTTTGTGAAATTTAAGGACAGACAGACAAAAGATCCTAAAAGTGTTTCTAAAGAAAATTCATAAACTGCCCTGCCTGGTGTGGCTCAGTGGATTGAGCACTGGCCTGTGAACCAAAGGGTGGCTGGTTCGATTCCCAGACAGGGCAAATGCCTGGGTTGCTGGGCAGGTCCTCAGTAGGAGGTACATGAGAGGCAACCACACATTGATGTTTCTCAGCCTCTTTCTCCCTCCCTTCCCCCTGTCTACAAATAAAAAAATAAAATCTTTTAAAAAATTTTTTAAAAAATTCATAAACAAATGAGAAGATTGGAAAAACCTGAACATTTACTGGAAATTAGATGATTTTAAGAAATTACCATTACTTTTTCTTAGGTGTCATATATGGTACCATAATCATAATTTAAAAACTAGAGTCCTTAGCCCCTTAGAGGCAAATTTAAGTATTTAAGTATAAAATATCTAAGACCTGCTTTAAAATAATCCAGAAGAGGGCTACAAGATGTTAATTGTGGAAGCTGGGTAATGGGTATGAGTTTTTATTATTCTACTATTGTGCATGTTTAAAACTCTTTAATGAAGGTTTTTAAAAAAATTCAATGTATCTTACCACTGGGTAGTCGAAGAGAAGACCACACATCCTGAGCTCCCCAGTCTGGAGTGAGGGGAGGACAGCTGACAACTGGATATGCAGTGTTACCAGACATCACCGGCCCCAAACCATTGCTTCTGCCTGCCACTGCCACAAATACTGTAGGAATGCCATCTCCTAGGGAAATCACATGTTTACAACTGTGCTAAGTATTTAAAAGATATTTAAAGATAGGTTAAAAAAAAAAGGGGGCCTATGCTCAACTTCTTCAGTTATCAGTCTCCAGAAAAAGCATAAATAAGACATTATTATATACATTTTCAAAGTATAAGTTTCACTCTGCCACTTATTATATGTCAAGTAATGAAACAAGAGTGGGTTTGGCCATCTTCGAGATTTATAGTATAGAAGAGAAGAAGGGGAACCAAGGTGCCAGTGAGGGAATGGCTCAAAGGCCCGCCCCTTCTATTATTGCCACTTAGGCTCACCAAAATGCAAAATGACACCACCTGGATCAGTCCTTCAACTAGAGATTTAAAGTGCACCTCTTTAAATAAGAACTGAAGGCAAATTCAATATAGTACCCAAATATTTAAAACCATTTAATATATTTTCTAACATATCTCTTAAACATTTCATGATAAACTTATAAATCATTCCTTTGCATTTTTCCGGAGAGTTCTGGCTTTTATTAACTAGCTCTTCCCCATCCCCCCCAAAATTAATAATTTTGCTCCTGTAGCTTCAACCTCAGGCCTCCTGTAACTGATATGGGCCACATTTTCTGTTGGAGCAAATAAGAAATAGTATTTGAAGGGCTTCTTATTAGTAAAGACTAATTCTAGTTTTCATCTTCCTTCTGTGCTTGAATTTTCGAATCATTCTCTCTGACCCATTCTTTTTATGAGCACCTAGGACACCTTAAATTCTTTGGAGGTATCATAAAAGCCTAGAATATCACATTTCCCCCCACCCCTTAGAAATGTGGTAAAGCTCTTTTTCAGCATTATTAGTCTAAACGTAAAATTCTTTGGCAAAATCAGGACTACTAAAATGCTCTAGTTATCTGAGGTTTACCTTCATACTCTGCTTTAATCCTCAGAGTTTCATCTGGTCCTTTATGGGCAGAGGTCACCCGAAGTTCACATGGAATGCCAAAATTTCCACAAGCCTTCTGGATTTTTTCACAGTGAATGAGATCAGAAGTTGAGCCCATCAACACTACAACTCTGCACTGACTTTGTGGTTTCAGAAGCAACTGGAAAAGAAAAACATGAATATGCAAAAGAAGATAAGGACAAAAAAGGCTATGAGTCAGTTTATAGAACTACATACTTTTTTTTTTTGAATCCTCACCTGAGGACATGTTTTCATTGCTTTCAGAGAGAAAGAAAGACAGAAAGGGAGAGAAACATCAATGCAAGAGAGAAGCATCAATTGATTGCCTCCCATATGCACCTGGGCTGGGGATGGAACCCACAACCTAGATATGTGCCCTGACCAGGAACTGAACCTGTAACCTTTTGATTATGGCACAACGCTCCAACCAATTGAGCCATACCGGTCAGGGCCAGGGTTACAGTTTATAGTAAAATTGTATCTATCAGAATAATTCCTTTCTAAATAGGCCAAATTTAAACAGAACAAAATGATAAGACAATTTATTTTTCAAAATAATCTTTTTATATATAAAGAAGACTTCTTCATAATTAAGATATAATAAGTATGACTTTTTAATCAGGTAAGTTATGTTTATTATTAATCAAGGGATAAATATTCAACTTCTAATTAATATTCAGGAAGCTATAAATATATTTTAATCTTAGAATAAAATATATTTATAGCTTCCTGAATATTTAAAGGCATAATCAGCAAAAATACAGAGGTCATTTATAAATCTCTGTAAGTTACTTGCATGGAATTCAAATCCATATTACCGTGAAGATGATGTTCTTTCTAAAAGGTAGTTATGACCCTTGGATAACCACAAACCCTATTCTATTTCCATGGAATTACAGTTATCAAAATACCGTAAATAAAGTGACATTTTAATGCCACATGGAACTCCAATTCTAAACTCTGCTGTGGAATCCATGCCAATGGAACCCTGAGTAGCAGTGGAGAGGTGGGTGGGAAATGTAAGCCTTCTCCTGCATCGGCTGGGTAGAAACAAGGATTCCAGGTTTTCTCAATAGGATCTGGAAAGAGTGTACTAGAAAGCTTAACAGCAGGGAATCCAGTATACCAATCAGGATGGCCCAGCTGGTACATAACTTAAAGGTGCCCCTTCTTTAAAATTAGTAGAAAAAAGAAAACCGCTGCACTTTCCCTTTTGAATTAAGGAGTTCTTGAAGAAAAACAATACAATGTGGATGTACTACAAAAGGTTTACCTCTACTCTTTCAGCAACCCACTCAAAATTTTTCTTTACCATCTGGAGCCCTTCAGGAGTTACTTCCTTGAGGTCACGATATGACTAGAAAATAAGACAAAAAGATTAGATTATTAAGTATTCTATTAGTAATATCCTTGCTATCTGAAATTTGGTTTCTGAGTTGTGGGTACAGATTAGGAAGAATATGCATAGCAAAGGATATATCTGAAAATGTATCTGAGTCTACAAATTCATTTTCTGAATTAGACTAAACAAAATTTAGATAGTGAAATATATTTTCATTTAATGATAAATGCTTTCTATGCTAACAACTACAATGAACTACCATTACAATTCTCATATATACTAAGTACAGAGAATCTTGCTCTAATTTTTTCATTGGAAAGAACAGAAACAGAACCTGGTAAGATTCAGAGGACTTGGGACAGAGTTCTATATCTGCCACTTAATTGTAATTGTAAAGATATCCATCCTTTCAGAAGCTTAGTCTTCAATTAGTCAAATGAGTATAACATTTGCTGTGTCAGTGTATTGAAATAATGAGAAATCTACATTGTAAATGTAAAAGTATTATTCCTACCTTTTTTTCAGGATATAGGAAATGTAATACTTACCTTTAAAAAATAAATAGTAACCAACAACTCAGGTTCATATCCTAAGAAGTAACAATTGCCATGTTTTTGTCCCATTCTCTCTTTCTCCTCTACTCCAGCCTTATCTCGCAAAGAGTAAAAAAACCCTGCAGTATAACACCTACCTGTTTGTCTTTCTGTTGGCTTCGATCTCCTGATGGCCAGAGTCTCCAAGAATCATTATCAATAACATCAGCAAGAATAATTTCTTTGGTGGTTACATCAACACCAAATTCAATCTAGAAACAGCAAATCACCAAAGAAAAGTTTTTCAAAACTACACTACTAAAGATATTTCTCAGTTGTAATTTTTTCCTTTCAAATCTCCTTTTTATTTGTACCTTCATATCAACCAGTGTACAGTCCTGGGGCAACCAGGCTTTCTCTAGTATTTCAAAAATAGCCTGTGTCGCATGACTCATGATATCCACCTCAGTCTGGCCTATAACAAGTCCAGCAAAGCAAAATTTTGCAGCAATAAGCTGTTCCTCAGACCACTGCGGATCATTATTGGCATCATCCTGAAAATACAGAATTAAAATTAATTTAAATATAAGATTTTTTTGAACTTTTCTGATAACCTGAAGTCCTTTTTTTCTTGAGCATGAATTCTCAAGAAAATTCACACTCAAGAAATGTATAAATTCGTCAGAAACATCCGTTTCCTTTGAAGATTTAATTTTTATTTAAAATACCCTTTAATTTACAGCAAATATTTTTAACTTGTCTACTTTCAATAGCTACTTTTAAATTCAAAATATATGGGTATGTAATTTATTATAGGTCATAAAGTACTGAGAGAATTTGCTCCCTATGAACTGATTTAAACAGTTTAGAAAAACGGTTTCAATAAACCAATAGAAATCCATAACCATGGATTCCTACATACTTTATTGCATGTTTTCACTTATAAGAAACTTTGTTAATAGTTTTTCTGTATTAGAATATAAAAAGATTCAACTGAATCACTCATGTATTGCTAGTGGGAATATAAAATGGTACAGCTACTCCTGAAAAGAGGAAAAGGAAAAAAAAGAATACAGAGAGATACTTCATCTTAGCCTTTATTTCAAGTTCAACAGTATATTGAAATTTTTTTAAAATTGTTACTTTTCTTTCTAGTAACTGCTAATTTTTGTTTGTTCATTTTGTTAGTCAACTTGGTCCAAAGTTAGATATATAGATTTTTCACAAGTGTTTTCTTTTAAAAAGCTGAATTGTCATTGCTAATGGAAGTATACACTACTGGCATATTTCTGGAATGATAATTGCAATGTAAAAAACTTTTAAGGTTTACATTTTTTATTGGTAATTACGTTTGTCACTATGTTATAGTAAGATACAGACACATAAAATAAATACCTTAAAAAACATCTCCACTTTAGGAGGGTTAAACCTGTACCCTTCCTTGACACCAGGATTTCTTTTGAGAAAAGAACCCGTTGCTATTCTTCTACAAACCCATTCAATTGGAATCATTTCACACTTAGGTGCAATGAAAGCTGTCTCTCCACATTTTCTGGTAAAAGCAGTTTTGATACCTATATATTCATGATAAAAGGTAAAAAAGAAACCATTAAAATTATATTTTAAACAGTAGATCTGAGGCATAATAAAACTCAAACCTTTACAAAAAAAACAAAACAAAAACCCCCTTAACTGGCGCTACCACAAGTAAAATATGGCTTTCTGCCATTTACCAACATCTCAGGACTATTTCACTTTTATGTTACATGGCAAAATATACACTGGATCAGACAATCTGAGTCCTAATGTCTTTACTATTCATTATTTCTTTCAAAAAATATTTAACTGAGTGTCTCCTCTGCCAGTGCATACTTAACTTTGCACAAAGCACATAACTTAGATCTAAGTAGCACTAAATTGTCTCTACATCAGATTCGGTTTCAGGATTCTCATATTCTCTGGTCCACTGTTATAGAAGCTTTGTAAAATATCTACTAATCACAATCAGATATAGCCTTAAATTTGGGGCATCCCTTTTTCTCTTAATATTGGAAGCAAGGAATCCTTGAAAAACCATCCAACACGTAGCAATAGGAACATAACGGCCAATTTGGCCAAGAGCAAATAAAGTATTTGTCCTTCCTCTCCCTTCTCTTATTCAAACTGTTACTGAAAAACTAAGACAAAGAGCTGACTTGTAATGTTTGGAATGGGAGCTATTTTCTGTGGTGGCCTTAGAAAATAACCTCTCTAAAAACACTTAAAATGGTTAATCATGAATCATTTGATCCAGCATCCCACTTCCAGGCATTCTAGGGACTAACATTACAGCCTGAAGATGAACATTATGGTAAACTCACCCAGATGTCTTAATTACCATTGATGCGACAGTATTACTTTATACTCTGATATAGTAACACTTCTAGGAGAGGCAGTACTGTAAAGAATTGAAAGCAGGGACTCAAAAAGGTACTTACACACCAATGTTCACAAGATCATAATGCATAACAGCCGAAAGGGAAAAAACAGCCCAAGTGTCCAGGTGAATGGGTAGATAAAATGTAGTATTTACATACAATGGATTATTACTCAGTCATAAGGAGGAATGAAATTCTGATACATACTACAACATGATTAAGCCTGGAAACACTATGCTAGGTGAAATAAAGAATAAATACTGAATAATTCATTCCACTTATGAGGTACCTAAAATAGGCGAATTCATAGGGGGAAGGGAAAATTATCATTTAATGTTCAGGGTTTCTGCCTGGGGCCGTGAACATTATGAAAATGGATGGTAGTGATGGCGGCACAACATGGTCAAAGTGCTGTCAAGAACTGTACTTACACATGGTTAAAATGATGAATTTTATGCATGTATATTTTATCACAAATTGATTTTTAAAAGATTCATGACCTAATTTATGTCAGGAACTGTCGATTCATTTTCTTGTTTATTCCTCATAACACCCGATAAGATACAGTATGATCATCCAGCAAAACAGGTGAGGACACCAGTTATGTCAGGCACGGCAGTTGTGTCAGCTGATAGTAGGTACAGCCGGCTTTCCAACCCACACTGACCTCTGTGGGCTGCCCACTTAACCATCACGCTACACTGCCTGTCCTAGTGGTATTATGTCACAATAAAAGTAGTATCGGAGCACTAACATGAATTAAAGCAACACCTGGAAACCTGCATTGGCTTAACATAGTAATGTTCATCTTGAGGCTGCAACGTTAGTGACTCCATTCCCAATTTAATCCTCTGAAATCACTTTCTTCTTAACAGGGAAGGATTGGAGACCTCTGATCTTACGTGTGTATCCATACATGAAGGGAACCTACATTTATGGAAACTCTGCACTGTGCTTAGTGTTTTACTCATTTAACTAAACATAAAATTTTTGAAGTAGGTATTATTATTTACATTTTACAGTGAACGAAACAGGGGCTAAAAGAAATTAAGTAATTTGACAAGCAAGGTCATGTTTCCAGGGAGTAACGTCACCTGTACTTGAACCGCACCATGCAGTTCCAAAACCTGACCTGCTTTCTCTGCATTCCCTGGGGATCTGACCAGTAAAATTCAATTGAAACAGTAAATAAATTGTACTATGCTGCACAAATGGGAACTCTGAGAAAGAATGCATGTAAAAGGGTCATTTTAATCTTTAAAGAATGACTGGCTCTTGGGTAGGCGACTGACATCAATCTTTAACTTGAGGTGTAATCTAAGTGCCTCACTTCAAGGGCTCTTCTTTTTTGGACCTGTCAATCATTAGTCATAGTTGTTCGTTTGTCTAAACAAGCTTGATAATCTGCAAATCTATTGTTTAAATATAAACAATAGTTACCTTTACCCAGAGGATCTCTCCCCTCTCCCCACCCCCTACACGTCTAAGGGAACCAAATGCACAGAATCAACTTATGGTAATAATCTCTGTACAGAAAACAAAAAAGCTTTTAAAAAACAAAAGTGATTCAGTTTAAATGATATGACTTCTTCTAATACACATGCTATCCATTAAAGCAAATTTCATGACTACTTATAAGAAAAAGAATTCTCCCCATTTGTCTCAGTTGCCTACAAATTCAAAATCAAGATTACTACTATGTAAATGTTACTTCATTCTCTGATCTACAATGGTCATGTATCAGCTCACACACCTCTGGGGCCATCCATGTTTAAGGCTGCCCAGCTCCCCATCTGTGGTTTTGGCAATTGCAGAATTGATTCACATTACTACGCTCACACCTAAATGAAATTACAGTGGGTTTCTGTGGGGGAGATGAAACCTAAAGGTTAAATTCTGGTTTTTGAGTACTGAGACCAAATGCACAAATCCTGTCAGTCCAGCACACAGTATTATTTCCATGGAAAAAGAGTATTACCTATCCCTATTATTTGTTCAGTATTTTATAGTTCTTGAGTGACAATGGCAAAACTGGAATCCTGATTGCCTGGTGCTCATTCTGGTGCTCTTCCCCTTCTAATTTCTAAAAATACCTTAATTTGGAACATAAAACCTGGCTGTAAAGAAAGCAATTTCAAATACACCACTGGTGGTCAACTAGACACAGCAGTTATTTAACTATTAGCAAGCATAAATTGCAGGAGGCTTAGAAGAATTCCTGTTCTGTCTCCTAAAACTGACTTAAGAATTTTTAAAAACTTAGGTCTTTCTTAATTTCACAACATATATATAGCCTAGAAAACTTTACATTTCAACATATCCTGTGAGCCAGATAAGTTTAAACTATGTTAAATATACCAAATACAGTAAAGAGAATTGTTAGACTACTTCATTTAGGGTGATGAACTTCCCTAGTCACCTCAGATATAGAACTTTCAGTCAAAACTAGGAGACACCCAAACAACTTGGATCACCTTAGCCCCAGAAAGTACACTGAATAGTACTTTATTGAATAAACAACTAAAGCCTTGGGCCTGCATTTATCTTCCATTACTTTAAAGTATATTATAAAATCCCACAGCTATGTACAATTACCATGGGTACACAGAAACTAATTTATTAAGAATTTATAGTGTTAGGTAACTTTCTAAAATTTAATGTTTATGGTTAGGAGAAAATAACGTGGGAGGTTAAAAATGGTTCACTTATCTGAACTGTACAAGGAACTTAAAATCAGTTTGATGCGCTCTAGAAATCTCAAGTCATTGGGAAACCACCAATCACGTAGGCCTTAAAATAAGAATTTTGGATTGTACTACTTAGGAACTGTGGGAAGTTCTTAATATAATTACTTTGAAAGCACAGAGGGATTTATGATATGGATGACAATTTATGTTGGTAATTAAACATCATTTTTTTCACTTCTAAGTGTGAAACAGTATTTCAGAAGAGGCAAAACTATCAAGAAACTATTCTGTACTGGTGGAGTAATTTAATTTGAATTATGTTATTTTGTGGAAAGCACTTAATCTATCTTGACTGGAAACAAAAGTATTAAATTTCCCTTTGGGTTTAAGAAAGATCAATGTTTGCTGGACGCTCTAATAAATGAAAGGGCTGGGACTTCCACTCAAGATGGTGTAGGTAAACATGGCTCTCTTCCTCATGCAACCATATGAAAATTACAACTAAATTATACAACCATCACTCAGAACTATCAGAAGTCAAGGTGAGTGGAAGTCAGACAACTACAGCATTAGAGAAACCACATCCGTCCAGACTGGTCGGTGGGTGAAGATGCAGAACGGCTAGTCCCACACCCAGGTGTGGTGGGTAAAAATTCAGGAGAGAGATCTCAGGAGTGAGGAGTCATAGCCCCACACCAGGCCCCCAAGCCCAGGGTTCTGGTGCCAGAAAGTTCCTATAAATTCTAGATGCCAAAACAAGCAGGGATTGAATTGGTAGAAGAAACTTCTTTTCTTAAAAGAGCCCACACAGACTTACTCAAGATTCACTCTGTCTGAGTTCCAGCACTGAAACAGCAGCTTGAAAGGCACCAGTGGCATAGAGGGAGGAACTGAAGTGGCTGGCATCAAGGCGAGAGCTGGGGGACAGTTTTCTCCCAGACAGAAAGGTACACAGAGGCCACTGTCCCTTTTCTGAACCCTCCCCACACAGTCACAGAGCTGACCAGCTGGGGCCATATCTGGACTCCATCAACTTGGCTGACACTGTTGGTCCTGCTCTGGAGATTTGCCGAGGCTCTGTCCCACCCAACTTATGGGCTCATCCAAGCTGTAACAGAGGCTTTTCCACATGAATGGCTGGTCTTGCCCCAGGCTTCACAACTTCCTAAATCCTCTCAAACAAGCAACAGCCTGGCCTCAGTAAGCCCCAAGACCCTATACCTCTTGCTACATGGCCCAAAGCCCAGCACTAGCAGCAGGCACCCTAGGTGCATAGCATGGCCTGGCCTGAGAATCTCCAAGCCCAGCACGAGAAGCAGCCATATGCTCTATAACTCATGTAGGGGGCCTAGGCAGAACACAGGTGGGGGCTGATCTTAGTCTGCACCACCCAGGAAACCTCAAAGCCTGTGTACTTAGTGGACAGCTACAGACCACGCTGGGGCACCACCACCCTGTCCCTGCACTGCTGATCTTCCAGAGGGCAGAGGCTGGTGGTCAGTGGTCACAGCCAGTCCTTGCAGCTGACTGGCCTTGGTAAACCCCTCCCATGGATCTGCCAACAACAAGGCTCAACTACAAGAGGAATGCCTACCCAGCTTGGGCGATAGGGGACACTGAGCCATGGACCCTACAGGACACCTACTACGTTAGGCCACGCTACCAAGACAGAGGGTCCTAGCAGCTCTAATACACAGAAACAAACACAGGGAGGCTGCCAAAATGGAGACAAAGAAACAGAGCCCAAATGAAAGAACAGATCAAAACTCCAGAAAAAGACCCAAATGAAATGGAGATAAGCAACCTCTCAGATGCAGAGTTCAAAACAATGGTTATAAGGGTGCTCAAGGAACCCAAGTGAGGACCTCGGCAACATAAAAAAGATCTGGTCAAAAACAAAGGTTCACTAACTGAAATAAAGAACAATTTCCAGGGAAAAAACAGCAGGGTAGATAAAGCTGAGAATCAAATTAATGATATGGAACATAAGGAAGCAAAAAATAACCAATCAGAACAATAAGAAAAAAGAATCTAAAAAAATGAAGACAGTATAAGCAGCCTCTGGGACAACTTCAAGCATTCCAACATTCACATCACAGCGGGGCAAGAAGGAGAAGAGAAAGAGCAAGAAATTAGAAATCTATTTGAAAATATAACGAAAGAAAACTTCCCTGATTTGGTGAAGGCAATACACATGCAAGTCCAGGAAGCCCAGAATCCCAGACAAGATGGATGCAAAGAGACCCACTCCAAGGCACACCATAATAAAATGCTAATGGTTAACGATAAAAGGAGAATCTGAAAAGCAGCAAAAGAAGTTAGTTACCTACAGGGGAGTTCCCGTAAGACTGTCAGCTGATTTCTCTAAAGAAACTTTGCAGGCTAACAGGGGCTGGCAAGAAAGAGTCAAAGTTACCTACAGCCAAGACTGCTCTACCCAGCAAGGCTATCACTTAGAACTGAAGAGCGGGTAAAGAGCTTCCCAGACAAGAAAAAACTAAAATAGAGTCCATCATCACCAAACGATCATTATATGAAATATGTTAAATAAGTTAAAGGGACTTATTTAACAAAAAGGAGGTCAAAACTAAGAACAATTAAATGGCAAAAAATACATACCTATCAACCATTGGATCTAAACATCAAACTAAGCAAATCAGAACAGAGACAGAATCATGGATAGGGAGTGTTTTGATGGCTGCCGGATGGGAGGCGTGGTATGAGGGAATGGGTGAAGAGGTGAGGGGGTTAAGAAGTACAAGTTGGTAGTTACAGAATAGCCATGGGGATGTAAAGTACAGTATAGGAAATGGGGTAGCCGAAGAACTTACACGCATGACCCACGGACATGAACAAGGGTAGGGTGATTGCCTGAGGGACCAGGGTGTGCTGGGTGGAAGTATGCAAAGGGGGAAAATGAGGACAACTGTAATAGCATAATCAATAAAATGTACTTTTAAAATGTCCTCCACAGAGAGTTCTGATCTTGGTTTTAACTTCCTATTACATACTGGAAATAATGTTCATTCAGTTTTGCAGTAGGAGATAACCCTGAAGATCTTTGATCTAGTTAAAATCCCTCACATTGGGAATGGCAGGATGAGGTGTGGTTAGTCTTCACATACTTTTCAAAGCTTTCAAGTAGAAAAAAAATTGGAAATTCTGTATTAGCTCCAATGGTGGTATAAAAAAACAACTGTATAGAATTATAGGGACTAAATTTCAGTTCATTAATTAGAGCTGGCTAACACCAGAATTTGTTTCCTTTATAGGTACATTCCTTAAGCTCCTTCATAGGTCAGTCTCTCTTAAGAAAGATTTTATGAGAGAGAGAAGTTTCAGGGAAAATAGTTGTGCCAGGCAAAAACTATAGCAAATTGTTAAGATTCCTGTAAACTAACTAAATGACAGTACTCACTAATTCCAAACCAAGTAAAGTGCTATAGTCAAATGTAAGAGTTCCTGGTTTGATTTAAATAAGGTTACTGGTGAGACGTCTCCAGACATAATGTTGTTAATCCAAATAATGTCACCTCCCTATGAAAGAGATCACAGTGTGTTGAAGGGAAGAGGTGCAGGGGGCGGGGAGATGGTGGGGGGAGCCACTTACCTGCTTCATGTAATAACTAAAAAAAAAAAAAAAAAAGTAACTCGTTAATACCATGTGTCATTTTCTCCTGAAAAGGACTGGAAAAGATACTTACCTGCTTCCTGTAACAACTGAAAAATACAACTAGTAATTTTATTTGAGATTGCAGCTTTTCCTTCCAGGTGATTCTTTCTGGCTGCATTTCCTGCTGTAATCTGGTCCTTGGACTGCAGTAGGACTTTTCCAGGACTATCTAACAATTCATAGACTTCTTTTGTTTTACCCTCATAGAGTTTTTTGCCAATGTTCAGTACTGTGGAAATAAAATCAAAACATCAAATTTCAGGAAAAAATTTCCTGAATATTGAAGACTAAATACTTAGAATGATTAATCAGTGAACATACAAAGTGGTTAAGTAAAAACTGCATAGAAGCTTACACTCTACAAAGTATTTCCACATGCATCATCCCATTTGATTCACACAATTTTGTGAAGTATTACTGTAAATAATTATAGAGATTAGGAAACAAAAATATCAAAAAGATGGAAGTCACACAATTAGGAAATGGCAGAATCAGACAAAATCCTAAATCTGACATGAAATTCTATGGGCTTTCCACTACCAACCTGACTCTCACAGCAGAACTTAAATAGAGTAAGATCCACTAAAATTAAGTAGACTAGTTTCTCATACACATACTTACAATACAATAATTAAACTAGTTGGCAGGGGGTGCTTTCTTCCAGATGGGCTCTTGATTTCAAGTTAGTGTGCAAGAGAAGGCATCTCCACTCACAATTAGCCCATTTGAAAGCATCTTTCCCTTTTTCAATCCTGCATCCCAATCCCTCAGTCATAACCAGTTCTCTTAACAGCTGGCAGTAAACTACCAATTTTGATGAAGAACAAGAGAATCCAGTTTTGATGCAGGTTGTAAGCCCTAACAAAAAACAGACCACCAGCATTAGAAGAAATGATTTAGATGAAGATCACAGATAATGGAAGTTCCAATACTTAACATTTCCAAGGGGAGAAATCATCCCTCATTCTCCCAGAACATTGACACATGCTCAGCATTAACATTTTTTAGTGTCCACGTGTCAGAGAATAGAGATATACCAGAAATAGGAGACTAAGACCCTGTTATCAGGCGACCTGAGTCTGAGGGAAGATGAAATTTTAAAATGAGACATAATGTATAATTTGAGAAACATACAGACTATGAGATCACAGGTTCGTAGCAGAGCCACCTAACCTAATCCAGACAACAGAGAAGACTAGAACAAAGTGAGGATTGGGTTGAGATCTGAGGAATGATCAAAATTTAACCAGAAAAGGGAAAGAGCCCATAACAACTAATAAAATTGAAGGAAATAAACAGCACAATCTTTCCTGTGGACCTAATCACTCACTTGCGCACAGAATGATTATATAAATATGATCAATGCAAGGTGAAGCAAGTAAACTTTGTGCCTGGTGGTTTTGGAGCAGTCCAAGGACATCATGGCTTCAAAAGACTACTTTTAAGAACACACACCCAAAATCTGGACAGAAAATAGCAAAATTCTCAAAAGCTTCAGTTACTGACTTTCTCGTAAAACTTGGGTTTGAAGAGTCAACGGATGTTCCTCTTTGTTTTGCAGTGCCCACTGATTACAAATTAACTTCCAGGCACCTCTGTAACCCCTGACCACTTTCGTTCTAATTATCCTTTTCCTCCATCCCAAAGGCAGTTCTGCGTGTTTCAGAAAGTTCCGAGAGACCTGAGTGCGCTTTACTTTCAACGCACCATTCGGCTGCGCGTGGGCCACGTGTTAGCCAGCCCAAGGCCCAGAGGGGTGGGGCACAACCCCCGGAAGGCAGTGGTCTAGCCCACGGGGCACGCACGTGTCCGCGCCACGCTCAGGAGTTCAAGGCCGGGGAGGCGGGAACGCCGTGGGAGGATCCCCCGGCGGACTCCTGGGAATGCCCGTTACTCACCCTGTGCTGTCGCCATTATCCTGGGTGGACTGGGGGCTGCGGCTGCGCTAGGACTCTGGAAAAAAGGAGTGCTCTGAGACTCACGAGGCGAAGGAGGGAGACGCAGCCTACTGACACTCCTCCGGCGGGGCGAGGCAACCCAGAGCGCGCGCTCTAGTAGAGAGCCACAGCGCAACCACGGTCTCTACCCAAACACCGATAGCAACTCCTGTGGTGAGCACTTCTCGGGAGGATTCCCGCCGCGCAGGCGCAGACACACACCGCCGCCTCCCGCCCCCGCCCCGCCTCTGCCCCGGCGCGATTCCAGAACAGAGGGAAAGTAGCGCGCACTGACGGCCCCCGCACGTCCCCGCTGACAATGCTCCCTTCTCTGCAGAGAACGGTTCAGAGGTCGGGGTGTACCAAGTAGTGACGGGCGGGGGAAGGTATGTATGGAAGGGCACACAAAGTTTATATCCTCTGGGAGAGAGTGACGTTAACCCTGTTAGCCTCATCACTCCAGTTTTACTTGGGTGCTGGAAAATAACGGAGACTTTGGCCACGGTTCGAAAAATTACCTTCCCTCAGGGCTCCAAGGGAGGACTACCCCATCCAGCAGTGTCCGTGATTCCACCCCTCAAAGGCGAAGTGTCTCTCTCCCTGACCCTCCCACCTCGCCCCCAGTCTCTCTCTGTCTTTATCTGTTTCTCGCTCCCCCTCCCCTCGCTCATTGGTGGGCCTGGAAGAGGCGGGACGGGGAGGGGCAAGCTAATCTTGCCTACTGCCTGCGCTGTGAAGCACGCGCAGCCGCAGTAGCGAGGGTTAGAGTACTCGGAAGGAATCTTCTGAGGCGTCCGGCCAGTGCGGGCAGCTGGTTGGCGCTTAGACCCCTGCGGCGGCGGGAGTTCCCTCCACGTGCTTCCTCTGGCAACATGGAGCTGGAGGAGCTAGGGATCCGAGAGGAATGTGGCGTGTTCGGGTGCATCAGCTCAGGAGAGTGGCCCACGCAGCTAGATGTGCCGCATGTGATCGCTCTGGGACTCGTGGGGCTGCAGCACCGGTGAGCAATCCGGTGAGGGATTGGGGGCGGCGTGGCGCGTACTTCTCCATCAGCCCTGGCTACTTTCTGCGGCCCCCACCCTTTACTGCTCTGTAGGGTCTCTGCCCTCCCTCCGGTGTGTGCACTCCGACTGCAAGCCCGTTTTAATTTCTCAGAGCCTAGAGCTGTACTTGCGGTAGGCTTGTATGGCGTGGCTGCTAGTCCAGGACCTACAACACCTAGAGATGCTCGCGCGTGTGGCAAGATAAACATTGATTCTGAAAAATTGGTAGATCCTTTTAATTGGTAGATTACTTTCATGGAAGTAATTTTCCTTCCATGATCTAAGTGTTTTTTATATACTATCTGACCTAAGTGGAAGTTGATATAAACAACTCTGATGGGTTAAGAAATATAAACCTAGGATCGACTTTATCGCTGAAATTATTCCGAAGTCTCAATAAGGCAATAATACCACAGCAACAACTTCTAGAAAAATTAATGATCTTGGCAATAACACTTATCAGCAATATGGGTGCACCATGTATAAAGGCATTTCAAATGACTAGGGTAGCTTTCCTTCAACAAGCTCAGATGTAGTCGTTTTCCTCTTGGAGGGTACCACATACTTGAGTATGAGTTTCACATCGTGCATTCTGTTTACTAAGAGTCACTTAGAATCCCGGATGAATGAAAAAGGATTGTTTTTAACTTGAAGGACTCTTAACCTTGCCTAACTGGGTTGACTGTAATAAAAATCTTTAAAATATATTTATGGAGAGGTCTAGTTATATAATGTAAAGTCTATATGGTAGTCCACAGCAACATTAGTTGATAACATTCTTAGGAGTAGTTATTTTGGGTATTCTGTCATGGAAGAGGTGTGTAGAATCTAGGGATTATAGAGTCGCCTGGTGGTCTGTGGAAAATATATGAACTGACCTTTATTTTTTTTCTTAATATTTACTTTTTAGTTAAAATAACTCAAAGTTCATTCCCTTTACCTCTCAATTAAACATGAGGGGTGACCCCCCAAAATCAGAATTATGGTGAGTGGGCTCCTTGTAGTAGTATAGCTTCCCCTGCTAGGTGAGTGTTCTAGGAACCCACCTGTATCAGTGTACCAGCCGGCGTTGTTGTGAGAAGCTGGATTTAGCTTCAGTGCATTTCTTTTTTTGAAGACTCTTTTAATGCATTTGCGCGTTTCATGACAGCTCACACTATGCTGAGTGTTCAGCAGTTTTTGAGCAGCATGACCCCTGTTCTCCACCCTCCCTCTTCACGGAGTCTCAACTCACCCCAGCCACATTTTGTTGTTTCCCCCAATGAAAAAAAAGTGCTGAAAGGCAAATGTTCTGCTGCTTGAGAAGTGAAACAAAAAAATAGTAGAAACACTAAAAGACATAAAAATTGAAGAGCTCAAAAACTGTTTTGAGCAAGTGGAAAAAACATCCTGATAGGTGTATTGCACCAAGTGGAGAGTACTTTGAAGTTGACTAAAGTTTAAATATGTAAGAATAAATACACAATAAAAAAATAAATAAATTTGGGGTTTTTTTGGATCCCCTCTGAAGACAAGGAGGCTGTTTTTTGTTTTTGTTTTTTTAATGATTACAGCTTGATGCCTAGTTACAGGCACTTTTCTACAGGTGCTTTTATATGAAAGAATTATGAGATGAGATAATACAAGTTAAGGGCAATAAATACATGATTGTATGATTATGTAAAATTCTTGTGTAGGCATAGAATAATTAAGAGTGCCCTGGGAGGGCTAGTTCCCACCCATAATTCTGTCTAAGTCAAAATTTTAAAATAGCAAAGTCCTTACCCTTTAGGGGAACTGACTGGGAGACCAATGAAACTCCCCTAGGTCTGGAAGAAAAAAATCTGTTAGTCTACACTGGTAGGTAGGGGGTTAAAGATTCAGAACTAATTGAGTCAAGGAATGCCAAAACTGTAAGCCTAGATAGGTTGCCATAGCTTAATATAGAGTAGTTAACTGCACACTGATAAGTGGTGGTCTGTTGCCTACTTTCTCACCCACCTCCACTCAATGGTTAGTTTTAAAACAACAGCAACAAGATTTGATTGTTTTTTTTCCCCTTTTTTGGTGAAGGAATTTCTCCCTTACACATTATCTTCCTAAAACATGGAATCAAGAAGGTGATATTTCTATTACTTTTCCGTTGTATATGGTTCTGTTTTTGTCTTAGGCATAATTTGACCTAAAATACTTAGTCTCATGGATAACAATACATGAAAGTTATAATAGTATTTCATATAAAAACAGATGGATTATCAATTGCTAGACAGTCATGTTCTGGATACTTAGATCCAGATAGGTTCACCCAGAAATACTTCTTTTGAGTAGTTCTGGCTATTTGCAGACTTATTCTATAGCTCTACTTTTTGTTAGGGCAGTGTTAGTTTAACATTGGAAATTAAATTGTCCTCTTCAGTTGTATAAGTTGTGTGTGCATGCCAGTTTGTGCCAGATTTCATATAATCACCAAATGCTTTTTTTGATCTTGAAAACATCGGTAGTTTGCAGAGTTCTGCGTAAACCACACATCCCCTCAAAGAGCAAAAGTCTTAATCTTTAAACCACAGTCATATTTTATGGAGATTAGAATGACTGAGACATAATTCAAGATTCCATGAAAGGAATTACTGAAACTTCATAGATTTATCCCAACAATCAACTACTTGGTCTTTTTGTTGTTGTTGTTGTTGTTGTTGTTGTTGTTAATTAGGAGAAGAAAATGCCCTTCAGTGAATTATTTCTCCCCTGGGTTAGGAATTGAACCCTAGAACTGATAATATTTTCATACCTCTTCTAGAAATTTATGAGATTTACCTGATGAGGTTGGGTCACAGAGGGGTTCTCCTGTCTACAGAAATAATCTGTAGAATCTTTTGATTCTGTTATGCTTTAATGAAACCAATTTGCAATGAGCTCAGGAGCAGTTTTCTTACAAGATATAGACAGTGGCTCTGAAAACAGAGTATATAACATTGTAACAGAAAGGCTGTTGTGAGAAAGATGGATTCAGATGAACCATCATGGAATTAGTACTTGTTTATTTCTATTTGGTTTGTTGGAGAACACAGAGTAAGCAGTCAGAGAACTTGCTCTGAGTTGCTAAATTAAGGTTGGGGATAACTTATTTTGATTTTAATCTTCTTGTAATAATGACCAAATGTCACATTTCTACAGTGTTTTACATCCCCTTGGATGGGAAAGTGACTTATTTTCTGTTTTTTAAAATTAAATATTATTGATTATGCTATTACAGTTGTCCTCATTTTCCCCCTTTGCATACTTCCACCCAGCACACCCTGGTCCCTCAGGCAATCACCCTACCCTTGTTCATGTCTGTGGGTCATGCATGTAAGTTCTTCGGCTACCCCATTTCCTATACTGTACTTTACATCCCCATGGCTATTCTGTAACTACCAACTTGTACTTCTTAACCCCCTCACCTCTTCACCCATTCCCTCATACCACGCCTCCCATCCGGCAGCCATCAAAACACTCCCTATCCATGATTCTGTCTCTGTTCTGATTTGCTTAGTTTGATGTTTAGATCCAATGGTTGATAGGTATGTATTTTTTGCCATTTAATTGTTCTTAGTTTTGACCTCCTTTTTGTTAAATAAGTCCCTTTAACTTATTTAACATATTTCATGTAATGATCGTTTGGTGATGATGGACTCTATTTTAGTTTTTTCTTGTCTGGGAAGCTCTTTACCCGCTCTTCAGTTCTAAGTGATAGCCTTGCTGGGTCGAGCAGTCTTGGCTGTAGGTAACTTTGACTCTTTCTTGCCAGCCCCTGTTAGCCTGCAAAGTTTCTTTAGAGAAATCAGCTGACAGTCTTATGGGAACTCCCCTGTAGGCAACTAACTTCTTTTGCTGCTTTTCAGATTCTCCTTTTATCGTTAACCATTAGCATTTTATTATGGTGTGCCTTGGAGTGGGTCTCTTTGCATCCATCTTGTCTGGGATTCTGGGCTTCCTGGACTTGCATGTGTATTGCCTTCACCAAATCAGGGAAGTTTTCTTTCGTTATATTTTCAAATAGATTTCTAATTTCTTGCTCTTTCTCTTCTCCTTCTGGCCCCGCTGTGATGTGAATGTTGGAATGCTTGAAGTTGTCCCAGAGGCTGCTTATACTGTCTTCATTTTTTTAGATTCTTTTTTCTTATTGTTCTGATTGGTTATTTTTTGCTTCCTTATGTTCCATATCATTAATTTGATTCTCAGCTTTATCTACCCTGCTGTTTTTTCCCTGGAAATTGTTCTTTATTTCAGTTAGTGAACCTTTGTTTTTGACCAGATCTTTTTTATGTTGCTGAGGTCCTCACTTGGGTTCCTTGAGCACCCTTATAACCATTGTTTTGAACTCTGCATCTGAGAGGTTGCTTATCTCCATTTCATTTGGGTCTTTTTCTGGAGTTTTGATCTGTTCTTTCATTTGGGCTCTGTTTCTTTGTCTCCATTTTGGCAGCCTCCCTGTGTTTGTTTCTGTGTATTAGAGCTGCTATGACCCTCTGTCTTGGTAGCGTGGCCTAACGTAGTAGGTGTCCTGTAGGGTCCATGGCTCAGTGTCCCCTATCACCCAAGCTGGGTACTTGAGGTGTGCCCTTTGTGTGGACTGAGTACACACTCCTCTTGTAGTCGAGCTTTGATTGCTGTTGGCAGGAAGATAAATCCCTACACTTCTGGCTGCAAAACCCAGTGGGGATTGGGTTATTGGAAGAAACCTCTGGAGCCCCAAGCAGTTCCTCTTAAAGAACCCACACACGGACTCTCCTACTCAGACTCACTATCTCTGAGCTCCAGAACTGGGGTAGCAGCTTGAAAGGCACCAGTGATATACAGGGGGAAACTGAAGTGTCTGGCATCAGGGCAAGCAGAGGCCACTGTCACTTTGCTAAACCCTCCCCACACAGAGCTGGTAGGTCAACTTATACACATGACCCATGGACATGAACAGTAGTAGGGAGATTGCCTGAGGGAGAGGGGGGTTGCTGGGTGGAGAGGGTCAAAGGGGAAAAAGTCAGGACAACTGTAATAATATAATCAATACAATTATTGAACAAATTAATAAAAAGAAAAAAATAATCCAGACTGACATAAAGCACTGAGAATTACAAGAATTTCAGTGGGGGTCAAGATTTTTTTCATACATTTGCATTCATATAAAATATTTTTAAAATTACAAGGCAGACTCATCCCCAATATTAGTTAGGATAATTTAGCTGCTTTTCATCAGTAGGGAATCTTCGCTGTATATTTATGAGTATGGAGAGTCTCACTGTTTACTAATTTCTTTTACAAAGAAGTAAGAATAGACATTTTTTTTCCTCCCCTATGGTATTCTCTACCAGCTCAGGTATAATATTAATGTATACTAATAGAGAGCTTCATAAGTACTTAAACGGGTATATATTAGACTTTAAATATCCGCTAACATTTAAAATGGAACAGTTTAGATCCTGTGCCTGACCCAGTGATGCTTTGTGGTGCTTTTGGGCTGTCCACTTCTTCTGAAGCAGTACTCACGTTGTCTTCCTAGGTCAGAAAACAAAGAGAACAGCAATTTAAATGTTTATAAAACTCTTAATATTTTGCATTTGAAGATTGTGCTGACAAACTAGTAAGGCAGTGGGTTCCGTAATCAAAACTAACCTTGAAGACAACATTTGTCATCTGTAACTGAACTTTTAAATGGCACTGTAGGATTAACCACCTACAAAAGCTTAGAATTATCCTGCCTTAAAAGTCAAAAGGCACTGTATGCTCTACTTGAGAGTAAGATAGCACTTTTACACCCAATTTGGTAACATCTTTCATTGTTACATTTTAATGCTTGACAAAGAGCACTTACATCTGTTTTCTCATTTGAATTATTGTAAATAAGAATGATCCTTACTGCAATGCACACAAAGGAGAGTAAGAATAAGTGGTTTTAGCAACTTTCACATTCGGACATTACAGCAAACAGGTGATAAATATTTTAAGAAACTGATGGTGCTTAGCCCAGAAAATATAACGTAGATTTATTCTAGTGTACCAGTGTATGTATAGGATGTTAGAAGTCAGCTGTTTGTAATTTGGGGAAAGCTCCTCCTCTGATGCATATTTCTGTGCTGAATAACAAAGCTATGGTAGTATTCTTTTATGCCAGCTGTGCTTATACTCTGGGACATTATTTTTTTTTTAATTCTATGTACAGATGTCTATGCAGTTGCTTGTAATGATTATTGTAAAACTAGACAATGGTTTGTATTAACACACCAGTGAAGCAAAAGGTGGTTAGGGCCTCATTTGCATGTACAGCAATAGGTTTATGGAGATTTACCTCAGGATGGGATCAGATCCTACTTAGGACATGTTTGCACCGTGAGACTCGGATAAAGTTTAGCTTCTCTAAATAATATCAAGATCTCAAAAGACAGGTTTTACTCTGGAGCCACATAGGGCTACTTTTTTTTTTAATTGAAATTTTTATTAAGATCATTGTAGATTCACATGCAGTTGTAAGAAATAACAGATCCCTTCTATGCTTGGGTCAGTTTTCTCCAATGGTAACATTTTATACAACTGAAATATATAGTAGTACATCAAAGAGTTTGACATTGATATAATCCATTACTCTAATTTCCCCAGTTTCACTTATCATTTGTGAGAGCATGCGTGTGCACACACACGCTTGCATGTGTGTGGTGTATAGTAGTTTTATTGCTTGTATAGATTCAGGCTTCCACCGTAAAGGTCAACATAGTCAACAGTTCTAGTACCTTGAGGATCCCTCTGGTTGCCTTTTTATAACTACACCTACCACTTCCGTCCATGCTCAAACCCTTTCCACCCTTTCCCCAGTGTCTACTTTTTGGAGAGCACAAGTCCAAGGTAAACTTCAATCTTAAACTTTATTTCAGCAGAATATGAATTTATAATTTATAGCATTTTACTCAGATGACTAGAACTGTGAGTGGTAGACTCAGGCGCATGTCCCATCTCTGGGAAATAGAAACATTTATGGATATTAGTTAGGTATTATGTAGAAATTTTGAGAAATTGGTCATAGAAAATAAGATGTCATGGGGGGGGGATCCCCAAATTTACCATCTTAGAAGGAAAGAGAATTTTGTCTCTAACATGTTTCTGCCCCAACTGTGTGTACTGTAATTTAATTATCACACTAACACACTAGTTACCCACAGTTAGCATCAGACTCAAGAGCTTTACAGGCTCAGTCTTCCAGAGGATTGCCTTTACTTCAGTTAAGATGCCAGCCACACTGGCTACAAAGTCAGGAGGGTCCCATGAGCCAATGAGGCTCTGTACTTTGCCAGAACTACTCAAAGAGCTCAGGAAAGTGCTATACGTAGGATTACAGTTTTATTATAAAAGAAGGAACTCAGAAACAGGCAAATGAAGAGACAGGTGGGGCAAAGGCTGAGAGGGTTCTGGATGCAGAGCTTCCATGCCCTCTCTCCACGGAGTCAGCGTATCTTCCTCCCAGCACATCAGTGTGTGCGCCAACCAAGAAGCTCCCCTGGGCTAGGGTTTTTATTGATACTATTGATAATGACATGCTAAATTAAATCATTGGCCACATGGTTGAATTCAATGTCCAGACTCCCCTGCTGGAGTTCAGGCTGGCCAAAAATTCCAACCCTCTAATAACAAGGTTGATCTTTCTGGTTACCAACCCTATCCTGGAGCTGCCTAGAAATCCACCCTGGGTCACCTTATTAGAATAAAAAGATGCTTCTGTCAGTAGAAATTCCAAAGGTGTTTGAAGCTTTGCCAGGAACTGGGGACAAAGACTAGATATATTCTTTATTATATCACAACTTAAAAGGTTGTTAAAGTGAAAGCCATAAGAATTTAAAATTCACACCTTTATATTTAAAACGTCTGTATTTGAATTTATCAGCTCACCTATGTTGGAGCTTGCTTTTTCCACATTATAATTTTTGGGTTTTTCTGAAATTTTAACACATCTTTTTATTGCGATCTTCTGTTGGCTTAATAATACAAGTTCTTAATGTTTCCTGTGACTAAAGTGAATTAATTTATATAATAAGTTTGTTGCTAAGATTATTCAAATTGTATGCAAAATATACTAATGTGTTTAAATATTCCATTTTAGAGAAAATTATTTCTAATTTCTGATCTATTAAAAAAGAAATGAATTAGAGAAAACAAAATGCTTGGCATACCTTCTGATACTAACAATAGGTACTATAATTGCTAAATTTTGTTAAATTACAGGGAGGGTGAAAATTTTAATTTTGGAAATACCTTTTACTACAGCCAAAGGAAAATAATTTTTAAGATTACTCTTTTTTTGGTAGTTATTTTTATTGTATTTTTTCCGTTGCATTTAACCTCTTACACCCTCTTCATTTCCACCTACCACCCGCCCCTCTGCAAATTACCACACTGTTCCCTGTGCTCACAAGTCCTTTTTCTTTTTTGCTCAACCCGTACACCCACTCCAGAGTTCTAACATTACGCATAAATGAACAATGTAGTATTTCATTTGTGATTTTTAGGTTGAAGGTAAGAGAACCCTCCTTCAACAGGATGTATTTTGCTCCTATAAGACTGTGCTTAATTATGTCCAGCTTCACCTGTCTGAGCCAAAATTAATCTGCCTGTGACTGTCCTGTAGTAGAAGCAGTAACATGCAAGAATACCAAGATATTGAGGCATTTACCTCATATAAATGGCAAGTGATATTGGAGATGAGTAAGTAAATTTTGTTTCTCCAACCAGAAGGGGTAAGTAGTAAGTTGTCAAGCACAAATTTCTTTAGGCAATGGTCCTTTCTCCTTTGATAACTTTCTAATTTTTTTCTCCTATTTATGCCTCAGACTAGGAAGAAAATACATTTATTTCAGATCCAAAGCAGTTATTCAATTTTCATGAGCCATTTCTTTTTACTTTCTCTACTGGGGATAGCCTAAGAATTCTATGATTTTTCCTAGTGATTAACTTTTTTCATATTGCATTAGTCAAGCATTTTTAAGTGATAATATATTAGAATTAGATAATTTTTCTCCCCTGATTGGAATCAAATTCGAGTTTATATATTACTCTTTTTAGCCTTCTGCTTGTTTTACTCCCTAAACATGATGACCTGGCTGTAGTTTTCAACCCTGGCTGTGCTTGAAGGTCTTCTATATAAATACAGTTGCCTGAACCCACTCTGCCTATACTAGACCAAAATCTCCCAAGAGTTCTAAATTGGGAACTAAGTAGTCATCCAGAATCTAGGGGGTCCATAGCCCTAGCTGAACTTTCTTTTCTGGGGCAGGGGTTGAGGCAGGTGTATTGAAAAAGTAGCTCATAGTGTACATTTAAGATAGGAAAGAAATTACCTTGGGAGACTAGTTTTATGACCAAATGTCAATGTTAACAATAAGGAACAATAGCAACTCCAGTTACAACATTTCATTAATAAAATCTATAAAATCAAAATGAGTTAAACTCGGCCAATTTTATTTGAAAATATCCATCACTTTAATGTGTTTTTGTTTTTAAAGAACATTTGATGTGAAGTTTTTTCCTGAAGATAAATATTCCTATCTTTATAACTCAACAAAACAACTTTGTAAATAGTGGAGTAGCAATTTGTCCACCAATAGGTATATATTACAGGTGAGCCTAAAATTTTGCCTGTGTAATGTTTTTCATATGTATTTAGCTGCTAGGATCCTTATGGGTTTATACCTTTATTTCTATTTTCATTTAAAAGTCTAAAATAACAATTGCCAAATTGATTGTAAATATATCCTATGTCATTTTCTGAATATACTCCATGTTAATGTGAAAATCATATTGGGGGTTAGGGCTGACTGTAACAACTTCTTACAGTGACATCTTATGTATTTTGTGATACACACAAAAAACCCCCCAAAGAATGTTGTTTTACCTGTGTTAGGACTTTGTTTAATATCTCTTAGTTATTCTGACATTACTGAGCAAGTCATTTTCAGCTGCATCTCTAGCAATGACTGTAAAAACATAATGAGATACATAGGTTTTTTAACTCACTTTCAGAATTGTGTTTTAAGCTCTATTACTTTTTCCATTTTCAAGTGAACCTGATACTAAATACTGTGGTTGTTTTTGCTTTCCTATAGTTTGGATTTCCCACTCATAAACATCTTTTAGTCTTAGGTCACTGTAGCTACCTGGTATTAGAGTCACTAATTAGGTCTTCTGACATACAAACTGATGAAGTCATCTTCAGCTGCTTCTCCAACAATTACCGTACAAAGACAATTTGTTCAGCTCTGATGCTGGGCTCCTTTATGTCTCTCATTAAAATTTTAATGGGGCAGATGTGTAAGCTCTCTATCAGATCAGTATCTTTATTGTCTACCAGTGAAACATCTTCAGACTTCTCACCACTATGTCTTAATCCTAATTCTCTACCATTCTCCTCTCTTTCTCTTAGACACGTGCTCATAATATGAGAATTAGGACTGCATCATTTAAGTCAGGTATTGAGATCTAAAAACATTACAGTTAGAAGAGGTCTTTAAACCGTCTTGTCCAGGCATCTATTTAACAGTCAGGTCCAGAAGAGACATTTGGTTGATTCAGCATTCCAGAGGGTCTGAGTTAGAATTTGGATTTCCTGACTGCTGGCCTAGAAGTCATCCAATGTATTTCATGTTTTCAAATCTTTATGTGCATAGTATTGCAATCCTTTTGGATTAAAATCATTTTTAAAAACTTTATTATATGTCCAAGAAGAACTTATACTTCGAACACACTCTCATGGGTGTTATACTCTAAGGTCTTTAGTGCCTTCTGTTTACTTGCAGTTTTACCACAATTAGTATGAATACTTGTTTTTTTAAGATTTTATTTATTTGTTTTTTTTAGGGAGGGGAAGAGAGGGAGAAAGAGAGGAAAAGAAACATCCATGTGTGGTTGCATTTTGCATACCCCCTGCTAGAGACCTGGCCTGCAATCCAGGCATGTGCCCTACACTGATAATCAAACCCATGGCCCTTTGGTTCGCAGTCCGTTGCTCAATACAATCAGTCACACCAGCCAGGGCTGAACACTTGTCTTAACTTGTGCCGTCAAGAGTTGCATTTTTGCTTTATTATCAAAATTGACCTATCTTTAAACTCTACTGTGGAAATCCAATTTTACTTCTTCTGTTTGCATAACTTTGTACTATTTTCTATGTTCTAGAGATCACATTAAATATTGTTTCATGATAAATTCAGCATTAGTTTGCCGAATAGCATTTAATGAAACCTATTTAACTTAGACTCCCAATTTATGTTGTCATGCTATTGGACATTTCAAAAACATTTTTTTAAATCCTTACCCAAGGATATATTTATTGATTTTAGAGAGAGGGAGAGGGAGGAAGAGACTGAGAGACATTCACTGGCTGCCTCCCATAAGCTCCCTGACCACAACCTAGGTATGTGCCCTGACTGGAGATTGAAACCACCACCTTTTGGATGATGCTTCAACCACTGACCCACCTAGCCAGGGCCACGCTACTGGACATTTTTATATGGTGCAGCATGATGTTAAGAGTACTTTTCCTTGCATTCCTACCTTTCTGGTTATCTTCCTGTTTTTTTTATTGTCACATTTGATGACTTGTTTTTCATCATGGGATTCCTGTTCTTGTGACCTTTGTGTTTTATTGTGTCCCAGAATAGCATCCAATTCAGTAAAAAATTTCATACTCCTATCATGCCTAGGTCTTGAGCCATTCTTATGATCTTCTATTCATGTTTTAAGTTTTTGTACTTTGTTCTGCACTGCTTCCAGTCTCTCTATTCCAAAATTCTGAAGCTCGGCAGCAATTTTTTCAAATATCCATTTATTTCTGACTATTCCCTTTAGTTGTTGTATGCTTTTATCAGACCAGATGCCTATTAGGGCCCTAACTTCACAGTCCAGTGTTTTCCTCCTTCATTTGCTAGAGGTGGAATAAAAGGGGATTCCACTATTGATGTAGGGTTATCTGCATCAGGTAGGAAAACAAAGATATACATGGGTTGCTTTTATCAGGTATCATTAGAAAGAAAAGTAATTTTCTTCTTGGGGATGGAATAACAAATCATAGCTTAGCTTTTTTCTTAAAGTAGTGGGGAAATGAATTATAGAACCTGAACATGTTCCTTATCATGACAGTCACATTTTGAACATCTTTTTCTCTATCATTTCTTTTTCATCTCACTCCTTTAGTATGGGGGGTATATGTTATTATATAGTGAAAATTGAATATATAATTTTGTAATATTTACTTGGAGAAAGCAATTAAATGAGAAAATGGCTCATCAAAGACAGTTTTTGTTTTGTGATAGAACAGGTGGGAGCAATTTGTCTTCTTTCCTCCTTTTTCTTTAATGATTTCCAGTGCCTACATATCAGAATCTCCCGGGGAGTTTTTAAAAACCACTCACTATTCCAGTGCCACCCCCCCCCCCCCCCCGCCCCCATTGTGATTCTAGTTTGCAGTCAGGGTTGGAAACCAGCACTATTCATAGTGAAGGGTTTGGATAACTCCATTATAACAATTGGTGCATTTTACTCCTTGTGAAAATAAAAGATATCCCATTGGTCGAAACAAATGCCACTTTAAGTATTATGTTCTTTTACTGCAAAGAAATGTGCCAGAAATGCCTTGTTCCTATGCAGAATATCTCCAGTCAAGTTTTAAATCCTTTAATATAGCATGGTGCCTTCATGTTAGCTTTCTAGCACAGTTTTGAAACACATTTTATGTTAATGATGTTACTTCACATTATATTGGTTATTTTAACAGCCATACTATCTAACCGTACTATCTTGTGTTTTTCTTAGGTTTCATGTTCATGTTTAATAAAAAGGTAGTTCAGACCCCAGCATATATAATGTAAGTCATTAAAAAACACATTATAGCATTTTTCTGAGGTAGGGAATTGTTCTTATTTGTTTTTTATTTATGTCTTTGTTTTGAAATGCTTTTCAGTATTTTTCCTTATTTTGTTTAAACTTTAGTAAGAATTTAGAAGTGAAAAGGGGATTTATGTCGACTTTAATTGGGTGAATAAAATCATCCTTGACCTTATTATGGAGTTGATATTGTTTACTTTCAAATGTAAAATTCCATTTGTATCTTAGACTCCCCAGAATGCTAAGCGATGTGCTCCTTAAATATTTAGCAGCTACTATATGTAATTTTGGCCATTAGATTTCTTGTTATACTTAAAGAATAAAGGGTGGAAATTTGAACGCTAATATTTCTAGGTTATTTATATTTTTAAGAGAAATCATTTGTTTTAAAAATGATTATTTTTTAGTATAGATTGGTAAAAAAATAGGGGAACAAATTCTATGCTTAGCCCTATTGGTCTGACATGAGAAAAGTAAAGGATTTCCTGAGATGTCTTCCTTATCTTCTAGTGTAACACTAATTTTGCTTGCAAAGAGAACAGAATGCCTTTTAGAAGTAGGTACTAAGGAAAATAAAAATTGGACTAACATACCTGGTAATGCTAGTAGCTTAAACCGAATTTGATCATGTTCGTGAAGCATTATAGATCTTTGCTAGATATGTTTTGTAAGTTATGCTTAAATGGACATAGAAATATGTCATTTAAAAGAACCATGCCAACCTTGAAAAATGATCCTGTCCTTGATTTTCTTGTGGAGGGTTTGGGTTTTTTTATACAGGTTTTCATAAAATGAGGAGTTGACTACTTTTTTAAGTACTTAAATGAGGAGGGTAATGTTGAGGGGAAAAGTAAACATATTTCAAAGGAAGCCAGCAGGCAGAATTTGGAATTCAATTGGCATAGAAGTTGAAGATGATCATAATTAGACTGAGGTTGCATACTGATCAGGAGGTACTTAAGTACATTTTGATTGCTCTTTGTAATTTCTGAATTAAAGATTTATTCATCTCGTCCTAGCTGGGAGGCTTAGTTGGTTGGAGTGTCATCCCACACACCAAAAAAAAAAAAAAAAAAAAAAAAAAAATGGTTGCAGGTTTGATTCTCAGTCAGGCACATACCAAAGTGAGGGGATTGATCCCGGGTTGGGTCTCATACAGGAGGCAACCGATCCACATTTCTCTTTCTCTGTCCACCCCTCTTCATCTCTTCTTTTCTCTAAAATTAGTAAACATATCCTTGGGTGAGGATTTTTAAAAAAGATTTTTCTTATTTCATGTCATTTTCATATATATTTTCATCAGTTTTGTTTACTGTGTAACAGAAATAGCATTATCTTTTACGTTAGATCAAATGTTAGGTGTGGTTTTAATGGCATGAACATTCATTTAAAGTCATGATTCACTATTATACTTAGAGACATTCCATTAAAGAATAAAAGATTATATTAGGGATTTCTATATTAAAATAGAAAAACAAATGAAAAATAAAGGGAAGTACCACTGTTTTCAAATGTCACAATTATATCAATTTAAAACTCTCAAAGTAAAAGTTGTCAGAAACTTTAAATCAGGTTTTATAATTATCTGAATCTAATTTGGAGTTAGGAAATACTTTGGATTTAATTGAGAATATGAAAAATAAAAATCTGAATTATATAAGAATTCTCTTTAGAGAGAACTGTAGAAGATACAGATATATCCAGGTAATTTACCACCTGAACTTGGTGATGAGACCAGTAAGGAAAAAGGAAGGGTTTGCTTTTATCTGGTTTAGGGCCTAGTTTTAGGGCCCAGTAGAAAAGGGGTGGGAGCTGAACATACAGGTAGGGGTGAAAAAGAATAGCTCTCTTCAAGGGATTTTTGTTTTTCCTTAAGTTGATCATTTCTAGTGTGAATCCCAAAATTGTGTGCAGGAGTCCCATGCCCTGGCGATGTTAAAGTGAAACTCTTAAATCATTACTCCTGATGCATTTGTATCAAGGTAAGAGGAGGGAGCTAGAGTGGCAATTAGGTCACTGGAAAAATATGGCAGCAGTAGCCAAAGGTATTATGAGGTTGAATATGGTTATAATTTCCAAAGCATGAAAAGCCTTAGTTTGTGTCTGGATCCTTTGCCAGGGCTCAGCCAGGCTACCTGCTGCCTAACAAAGAAGACCAGATTCTCTGCCCTTACTACTTGCATGAGGTTGATCTCAACAGCACATTTTCTTCCCTGCAGTTTACCATACACCAACAAAAATTTTGTTGGTTACACCATAAAAAACCAGAAAACATTAAAATGTGTCAGATTTGGTAAAAGGAGGGCTTTCTATGCCTTATAAAAGGACCTATTTTATTACACTAAAAACTTTTGAGTGCTGTAAGTCACATAAAAATCAGCCAAAATTGTAAGGCAGAAGAGGTCACGCATATTTCTTATATCCCAATTGTCATGAAAGGTCAGGGGTTTTTTTGTTTTGTTCTTTAAGGCTTAGTGAATTACCAAAGGGCAAAGATATCTCCCATATTTCTATTGAAGTGATCAGAAATACAGTCATACCAAAGTGGAAACAGTTTGTGGGAGGACGAGTTTTGACGGGAGAACAGAGTTTGGTTTTTAAATCGTTGAGATACCTTAGACATACATGGCTAAGCTGTAACTATGGGCCCTCTGCTCCTGAGTGAGACTTGGGGAGTTTGGAGCCATGCAAGTAGCTGAAAGGGCTAGGTGAAGACCCTGTTAGCACCCACATCTTCAGTAGGCCAACCTCCTGTTAAAATCAAGGCATTTTGGAAGCTGAGTCATTTACTTAGTAGTAGTCAATATTGGAAGTATTTAAATGGTGAAAGATGCAAGGTGATTAACTGAATAAAATTAATGTAATTGCTGTTTAACATGGTATTGACTGCAAAGCTTTCTCAGAATTTGGTGTAGCATCAGGAATGTAAAGGGGGTATGTAAGTGAAGTGGACTTTTTAACCAAATGATTTATTAATAAGCTTTAAGTAGGATGTTCAGATAACCTAAATTAACTGAAATGCAACTGCAGTCTCTATCATTTTAACCACCTTCTTTCTCATTTGGTACCTTTATTATACCAGTTACCATTTTCTCTTTGGTATTACATTGACATTTCTTCATGGTTCTCTCCTTTCTTGGTTAGACTGAGTGCAATGGTGTACACACACAGTAGGTATTAACAGAATTTGAATTGAATTGAACATTTCTGCTCTTAAAATAGCATCAGTAAGACTTTGTCTATGTAGGAAATGTCATTACTGCTTTTGATTTCTCTTTGCCTAGTTATATATTTAGCTTCTGCAGACAGTGAGCAATTTCTATGTAAATAATGTTGGACTTAACACAGCACCTTGTTTTTAAGGTCAAGAACCTTGTTTTAATATCTAAATCATTTAATCACAAATGATTTAATCTATCAAATCTATTTTTATTTCACCTATTGTTAAAATGGAGCTGTTCTTCCAAACAAGTAATGAAGTTGTTTATCAGGTCTCAGTATTTGTGTTTTTCAAATAAATTTTTTATAATCCTCACCCAAGGATATGTTTGATTGTAGAGAGAGGAAGGGAGAGAAAGGGAGAGAGAGAAGTTGGGGGCGGGGTGGGGGGAGACAAACAGACAGACAGACACATCAGTGTGAGAGAAACAATGATTGGTTGCCTCCCATATATGGCCAGATTGGGGATCGAACTGAAACCTTTTGGTGTACTATATGGTTCTAAACAACTGACCCGCCTGGCCAGGGGTTTAGCACTTTTATTTATAAATTAAGGAAAATGGGAATGTTAATATAAAGCAGAAAGTTCTGTCTTGTTTGGAGCTGTGGGAAAACAATAGTGGAGCAATATATTGGGATTTTTTTTTTTTTTTTTTGCCACTCTTACTAGATTTAAACCTAAAATATTTTCAGAAACCAATCTATTTTCCAAATATATATCAGACATACAGAAGGAGCAGTTGACACTTACAGTTTGTATTATTTTAATGCGTTTTTTCTCTATTTTACAGATTTTAAAAGTGGTGGTATTTCACCTCTTTTTAAAATTAACTTTTACCTGTACAAAATAGCATAGCAGGTCAGTTGTTTTAATCAACTTTGATATTTCAGTCTATATCATATGGACTCAGAAATCCTGTATTTTACGGTTGCTTGAGTAAAAACAAAAGAATGGTCCTTTTCCTTTTTACTTTCAGCGTCTCTGAGGCTGCACTTTGGCTCATCGTTGGCAGGCACCTGCCGTTTGCATCTTCCTCTTTTAATTGAATGGCAGTCTCATACTGCACAATTGCATCCAACTCATAGAAGAATTTCATAGTTTTAGAGCTCTCTTCAGAGTTGTGAGCATATGTAACTGTTCTGTATTCATATTTGAGATATTTATACTTTGCTCGGCACTGTTTCCAATCTCTGTATACTCCTAGCGCTTTCAGCCTTTTAGAAATGTAAATATTCCTTTGTCTCTCAGTGTTCCATAAAGTTTTCGTATTTTTTCTTGCCCAGACACTTTAACAAAGCTTTAACCTCTTCTTCAGTCCAGTGCTTTCCTGCTCCACTCTCCATGTTGAAAGTGACCTGTAAATAATTCCCTATTTCTAGCCAAGGTTTTGTTACCTAGGAAACCAGACAGCGCCTCTTCAGTAAGCTTTGGAAGGCTGGAAGGATCTGGTTTAACTGGTTCAAGCTGCCTGAGGGAAGTAACTTGAGAGATTGCCAAATAAGTAGGCTTTGATTAAAGAAAACTGGACCTAAAAGATTGCTGACCTTATTCATGTCAGCTTTTAAGGGAAAAAATTACCCTAAAGACAAAAGGGAAAGAAAACCATTTTTTTAATATTTATTTTCTTACATAATTTAATCTGGTTTACTAAATGATTGTTGATTTTTTTTAAATTGGTTTGGAAATGGTTTGGCAGAGGTTCTTTCTGCTCTAAGGTTTAGGAGTAACATTAGTTTCTTTTTCTCAGATATGAGTCTCAGTCAGTCTTCTAGCATCATCAGCTTAAAGACCACATCATTTCACTAAATAGAGAAATCCTAGGTCACAAATAATTCAGTCTGTTAGGGTGTATAGTATTTTTAGCATGGTATTTAATTATTTAATGCATTGATAATTTAGGAAAATCATTTCAGTGATAATTTTTTTAGATTTTTTTACTTTGCAAGTGCATTTGATGTGTTGTAGTTGTTACTAAAATGCCTAAACAATTGTTATTTTGAAAGAGTCTTATTACAAATAAATCAGCATATTATTAACGTATGCATACATATATGGTAAAGATTTAGTGTTTCTATGCAGATATGTATTCTTTGGCAAAAAGATTTTATTAATAAACATTTAGTAATTATAAGCTCTTGTTGAGAACCATTAAAAACTGTTGAACAATCAGAAGCTTTATTTTACCATTTGAGTTTGTATTCCGCAGTGGTGCAGATCCTCTAAGCCTTACCACATGTTGCCCTACCTCTGGGCTAGCTTTTGGTTTTCTTCTCTTACTGTCACCTAAAATTACTAATGCAGAAAGTGAGATACAGATTGCCTGATCAGCTTAAGGTTTTTAAATGCAGAGTTTTTTTTCCCTGATAACAAAAGTGTCATTTGTTGGAGAAAATTTGGAAAGTGCAGGAAAGCAAAATCAAAATTAGTAAATTGTGCTTATAATTCCAGTGCTACAAGTAAACATTTTACTTGCTATCTTATTTGGAGATTTTCATTTATAGGTATATACTCACCTACATATTCGACCTTGTTTAGAGATCACACAGTACAGAGTTAGAAGCACAAGTTCTGGGGTTCAGGTTGTCTCTTCTAATCTTCCTGGCTGTGCACTTCTCTCTGTGGGCTCTTGGACAAGATATTTCCATTTCTTTAGTGTCCTCAATCTGTAAAATGGGTATGGTAATCAGAGTAACTATAACTACTTCATAGGATTGTTTTGAAAGCCTGATAAATTAAATCACCCGTGTAAATGTTTAAGATAATGCCTGGCATATTAGAAGTTAGACAGTATCGTCTGCTATTGCTACTCATTGTCTTGAGAGGAAGTGACACTAGTACTAGTAGCATTTGATGTGCTGTCAGACTGAATTCATCAATTCTTTTGAGAAAAGGATGTTTCATAAAGTTGATTAGCTCACTGGGGTAAATTTAAGTTGATATCTTTTTATATTCACAGGGGTCAGGAGAGTGCTGGTATTGTTACCAGTGATGGGAACTCAGTACCAACATACAGAACACACAAGGTATACTTTAACATAAAAAAGTTGATTATAAAGGTAACAACAGCCAGATGTTAACTGATGTTAATATATAGCCAGAAATATATATTATTATAATTTAATAATAGCCAGATGTTAATATATGAGGGTTGGAGAAGGAAATTTGAATAATTTGTGCATAGAAGTTACTTTGTATCAGCCATTTCTATTTGTTAAATTAGGATGCATTTCGTTCCCAGTGATAGTTTGCGAGACTGATGCAAACAGGTCATATATTTAAATACTGTAACATGCTTTGAATTTTTAAAATGGAAATAATTTAGTTTACTGTATTTGACAAATTTTATGCTTAATACAGCAGCCCTTCAATGTTTTAACAAAAAGTGTTGTATAAAACAAGCATTTCAACATTGTGAATGTATTAAATGCTGCCGAATGGTTTTCTTTACAATGGTTAGTTTATTATGTGAATTTCACCTTAGTTTTTAAAAATGCGTTACAGTTCTTACAATTAGATTAGTCCTTTTTTAAGATTAGCATTCAGAAGCACAGAGAAATTAAGTGAATTGTATTGTCTAATCTGTGAGTGCCTGAGTAGAGGCTTATTAAAGCCTTTACTCACTAGCCACTAGTCTGTTTTTTTTCTAAGATGAGCTTTTACTTTGACTTTGCAAGGGAATGGGTCTCATAAATCATGTCTTTACTGAAGACAATTTGAAGAAATTATATACTTCAAATCTTGGAATTGGACACACGAGGTACGCGACTACAGGAAACTGTGAATTAGAAAACTGTCAGCCCTTTGTTGTTGAAACACTTCATGGGAAAATAGCCGTAGCACATAATGGCGAACTGGTCAATGCTGCTCGATTAAGAAAAAAGGTAAGTTTCTTAAAAAATTTTTTAATGACTGAGATGAATTCATGAAAAGAAATTATTGAGGATCATGGTGAAGAATATTTTCTAATTGTTGCCAGCTGTTACCTACTGCAAAGAACTATCAGAACTACCTGCAGTGCTTGTTATAATGAAGATTTCAAGATAGGATCCTAGAGTCTGGTGTGAAGGTGCTGAGCCTTCATTTAATATGCTCCTAAGGTGATTCTGATGCAGTGCTTCAGAGATGAGGAAAAATTGATTTATGGTTGCTATTAGACGTACAGAAGTCAGGGTTTACGGACTCTCACTATCACCTAAGCTTTGTCTCTATGTTGAAAGCATAAGGAGAAAATGGAATGTAAACTTGCAGATAATATATGAAAAAGTAATATGGAAATTATTATAGGACACAGCCTGAGAAAGAGGCAAAGAGTTTTTCTGTTTTGTTCATATTATGGTTTTTGGAGCTTTCTGTTTTAATTGTGCCTATCTTTTCACCTATCATTTCATTCTTCCCCCCCTTTCTATTTAAACTACCTGGTATTTTTATATTCCTGGTAGCTTCTTATTCATCCATTCTTGCCATTCATTAATTAATGCCAAGTTTCTTCAGTTCATTAGGTTCCAATAATCTTGATTTGGTAACCTTAAATAAAACCCTCAGGTGGTATTTAACAATAGGTCTCTCTCTCTCTCTCTCTCTCTCCCCCCCCCTCCCTCCCACCCCCCCCGCTCCCCCCCCAACCCCCATTATCTCTTCAGCCTTCTAGAACCAGGCATTTTATATGGGATTAATAGTTAAAGAAATTGATGCTGAATTGGTGGGTGGAAAATATTTAGAACCCACGTTTCTGTACAACTCATCCTTCTATTTTTGATTCTAGCTTATTTCCCAGAGCTTTGCCCTTCTTGCCCCCTTCTTCTTAGGCTCTGGCATTCTAAATAATAATAATAATATGTAGGCTTTTCTGTCCCCACATTAAACTTTTAAAAATTCAAATAGAAAAGTATAAATATGAAATAAAATTAATTTTGAAACTCACCACTTGGAGATAACCACTGAAAGTTCAATTCAGTACCCTAGGTCATTATTGCCAGACATAATCCCCTAAGCCAGGTGCTGGACGTCACTGCCCGCTGAAAATGTTCTGCAGTGTCTCTTTAATCTCAGCCTCTGCATGACACTGTTGTTGCCCTTGTCCTGGCCAGTCTTTCTCAGAACCTCCTCATCCTCATAGAGTGTACCCAACCAATTTTTATTACATCTTTTATACTTGATTGTTCAATACCTTTGATTCCTTTCTTCTCCTCTATCAGTAACAATCAAGAGAGTCAACAAACCCGGCTTGAGAGTCCCCCAACAGAGTCCCACTCTCACAGGAATGTTCCCCATTTGTCAGGAATGTCAGAGGCTGAGAGAGAACCACAGTCCCAGATCCTTACGCCTTCTCAGCCCTTCTCTCCTCCACTGAAGTTCTATATTCCTTTATACTTAGCTTTCAAAAGCTTCCCTGTACACTTCCTAAAGCACTTTTTTTTTCCTGCCTGAGAATCTTCAGAGAGTTACTTCCACATACCATTAACGGAGTGGAGGAATTTCATAACTGATCATCCACATAGTGCCTTCTCTTCCAGGATGGTGGGCTATTGGGTGGGGAGTGCAGTGGAGCTTCCTCTCTAATGATTACACTTCTCTGTCTTCTAACCAGCTTCTGCGCCATGGTATCGGTCTGTCAACAAGTTCTGACAGTGAAATGATCACCCAGTTACTGGCATATACCCCTCCTCAGGAACAAGATGACACCCCAGATTGGGTAGCAAGGTAATTGTAAATTTAAGTTTGCAGCTCTGATAATGAAAGCTTTGACTGTGCTTATCAATGAAAGTATTCATTCAATTATTTAATTAATTCTAGGATTAAAAACTTAATGAAGGAAGCACCCACAGCATACTCCCTACTTATAATGCACAGAGATGTTATTTATGCTGTACGCGATCCTTATGGAAATCGCCCTCTATGTATTGGTCGTCTTATTCCTGTATCTGATATAAATAATAAAGGTAATGAACTTCAGAAGGCATATAATTTTATAATGCTTTTCCAACTCATGGTTCTGTTGGTGCACCCTGAAACTGTTGTCAATAGGAAGCATATGAGAGAGAAGGGGCTAGGTGCAAAAGGAAAGAATGGTATTTTTTAAGTGCATTTCCCTGAGTATTTCAGAGGATGAGCCACAATTAATATGTTTAACAGACACTCCTAGTTTTTCCTGTCTAAATTGCCTATTCATGTCCTTTAGCCAGCTTTTTCATTTGTGTTCTATGATTTCAGTAATTTTCCTCTTGATTTATCAGATACCTTGTTTGAGCCATGAAATATTTGAAGGAATCTTGGGATCATTAATTTTTATCTTTGGCTTAAGGCAAATAAGGATCCATGTGCTCTTAAAGTCATGGAAATGGGTGTTCTGTGGGTTTTTAAAAAAATTATTTATCTATTTGGTGTTTGTCTTGAAATAGGTAGCCTCTTTTAAAATTTCTTTAATCCATTAACTGAATTGTCTTGTGATTTACAGAGAAAAAATCTTCAGAAACGGAAGGATGGGTAGTGTCTTCAGAATCCTGTAGCTTTTTATCTATTGGTGCAAGGTAAGTTTTCTTAGCATATTAGGTTTTTCCACATCAATAAAAATTTTAAAAAATTTTTACGTAAAAGTTTTCTTTTTTATGTCTTCTAGAAGACATATTTAGAAATGCAGGGGGTTTTTTGTACATGGTGCTGAGCAGTAACACTGACTTTAATGTTCCAGTAATATCTTCTAATTTTGAAATTGGCATCTTCCCTTCAGAATGCCATGAGACTTATTTTCAAAAGAAAGAATTCTCAACAAGGAATAGTTATGATAAAAAATAAAAATTTAAGCCAGCATAAAAATGTTCTCTAGCTTTTATTGTTTCAAAAATCAGTAAAAGTTGGGGCCTTTTGTCTGCCCCACCCCTCCTTGTGTACAAAGAGATTTATTTCTAAGTTAGAATTTATGGGTAACAGATTTATAGAAATTACTGCTGGAGGAATATTATTTCTTTTTTAAAGTCATCTCTAGACTTTATATTAAATTGAATCCTCTTGCCTTTATAAAGGAAGGGACTCTGTGTATTTTATAATAAATGTTATAATCAGCCTTGAGGACTGGTTTATTTAAAGTTCTTTTTTTTTTTTTTAACACTGTTTCCCTAAGATATCACCGTGAAGTTTTGCCTGGAGAAATTGTGGAAATATCTAGACATAGCGTCCGAACTCTTGATATTATACCAAGGTCTGGAGGAAACCCAATGGCTTTTTGTATCTTTGAATATGTTTATTTTGCAAGGCCAGACAGTATATTTGAAAGTAAGTAAAATATCTTTATTAATGTAAATCTGTTTAATCTCATTGCACAAAGGCATACTTGGCCCTTTGAAGGCACATAGTTGTATATTGTAGATAAGGCACTGAGTCTCCAGATCTTAAGATCACAACTTTTTCCTTTCATCTCACTCTTGGGTGTTATTTTCCTTTTAAGGGTAAGGATTATAATTTAAATATATGTATTAAGATTCCTTTTTCAAAAATAGTGAACTCCCAGGTTTGTGTATTTCCACTTTAGTGTTTTTATATGTCTTTTCTTTTTGTATTCAATTTGTAGAGTTCTAACAAGGTTGTTTTTTAGAATAGTGATATAATGCTATGTTATATTATACTATGTAAAAATAATCAATTTCCTTTTTCAAATATTACAGACCAAATGGTTTATACAGTAAGATACCGGTGTGGGCAGCAGCTGGCGATTGAAGCCCCTGTGGATGCAGATTTGGTTAGCACTGTTCCGGAATCTGCTACGCCCGCTGCTCTTGGTTACGCCGGAAAGGTATTTCCTCTTAATTAACACTCAGTTTCTTCTAGCAGTGGAATTGGAACTCCTTGGGTATAAAAAGAAACTCAGTAGTTTATTGTAAGTAAAAAGAAAACGTTGGTTCCTTTACAAGAATTACTTATTTTCCGGCCTTTTTATTCCATGGTACTATTTAGTGGAGTCCTGAAAATGGTTCACCTGAAGACTAGGAGGAGAATGATCTTCATTTAAAAAAAAAAAAGTCACATGAAGAAATGTCTCAACATTTACTCAACATTTTGGAAATGTCTCAAAATGTACTCAACATTTACTATATTGAAAAGTTTGGTTTATTAATTTTTAAAAGAAACAATGTGTGCAAATTTTAGAGCAATATTGCCTTGAAAAATGGATAAATCACCTCCTATACTGCATTTCCTTAGTCTACTGGTTTTAATTTCTTTCATTCTGATAATTTTTAAATATGTTAGTGTTTCTGAAAACAACTTTATTCTTTGTCATGTCTTCACATGCTTAGTGTTCTCTTCCAAGGTACAGAAATAATAATATTTACGAGAGAAGCATTACAAATTCTAGCATAATGTATTGGTTTTCCCACCAAGTATATTTATAGTGATTTTTCTTTTAGTTTTTTCCCCCTGCAGATTAAATAGTGAAGGAAAATTGTAATCTCAAAATAGAGAGTACAGAATAGCATTTTAAATTTTTACATACATATTGAAAAATGACCAAGAGAAAACAAAAACCTAAAGTTTTCTGTATATTTCTGCTCATTATCCCTTTATTTATTCCCTATCAGTGTGGACTTCCATATGTTGAGGTGCTATGTAAAAATCGATATGTAGGAAGAACCTTCATTCAGCCAAACATGAGGTTAAGACAACTTGGTGTTGCAAAAAAATTTGGAGTATTGTCGGACAACTTTAAAGGCAAAAGAATTGTTCTTATAGATGATTCAATTGTGAGAGGCAATACTATCTCACCCATAATCAAATTGCTCAAAGAATCTGGTGCAAAGGAGGTAAGTAATATTAAAATATATCCAAAAGCAGCAATAATTAACAATATGGTACTGGCATAAAATTGCAATTCAGGACAGTGAATGAAAGTGCATAGTTCAGTATAATAAATTGACATTTTTCAAATTAACTGTGTTTAAAAGTAATTGCAGCAGTGTGGAAAATGTAATAATCACTCCAAACTACATACTAAATTCTTAATAGATTACAAAGCTTAATAGAAAAGCTTAAGTTTTTAAAAATTAATATAAAAACTAACGAAAGCCACAAAACAGCACTTTTTAAAGTTTTTAGAGTATTGATTATTTCTTTGAAGATGTAGAACCAATCCTAGTGTTCTACACTAGGTTAAAATAAATTTGACATACTAGGTTATATTTTTAAATCTCAAAGCTTATTCTAACTCTCTATTTCAGTAATTCAGATTCCAGAAGTGAGATATCATTTACAATTAAAGTTGGATGGATTTAAAAATAAAATCTAGTGTAGGAGAAAGTGAGGTAGAAAGCAGTATGACTATATTAGAAAGCTAATTATGATTTTTCATCCTTTATGACTGATTATAATGTGGAATTCTATGAAAATTAATAAAAACAAAGAGGTATAAAGTAATTTGACATCCATTACAGTAATAAGAAACAATGGACAAAAACAAGAGAATTAGAAGTGGCCGATATATCTACCACTAGGAAATAGTTTAGTAAATTGATACATCAGTATGATGAAGTATAATGCAACCATTAAAAACTGTAATGAAGACTTCTTAACTTGGGAAAATCTTTGTTGTTATAACAGTGATAAAAATTTAATGTGGACATTGATTACAACCATGTATAAATATACATGATAAGTGGCAGACAATAATAATAGACAAAAATAGCTCTTTGTAATAGGAAGGTGTTTTTGTTATATTCTGATAATTGGTTATTATTCTTTTTATAAAGGGAAAATAAGAGGTAGGCAAAGGGGCCATTTAAGTGTTACAAGAAAAAATGGAGATAGTCCTAGAAAAAGTTGTTACATGAAGAAAAGTAGAAAAGAACTGTCCTTGTTAATAGGCGGCAGAAGGAAACAATGGGCAGCTCTGTGAAAGGAATCCTCCTTTATGAGTGGCTGACATTTTGACATTCTTGTCCAGGACACTTTGGAATCTAGAGCAGAGCTATTCAAGTAGGATTCTTTGGTAACAAATGAATTCTAAAAGTAGTTTTTGACTGATTATTGGAATTTTGTATGTATACCACATGATTTTTCAGGATTCCTTTCCATCTGTTATTCAACAAAAGAAATTTTGTAGTTTGCTTTATTTCCCATTATGTTATTAAATATTCTATAAAATGATTTTATGTTGCATTTGTCAGTGACAGTGTTTTGTGTGATTATTTTTTACAATGAATGCATGAAATGATTTCTTTCCAAGGTGCACATTCGAGTAGCTTCACCGCCAATTAGGTATCCATGCTTCATGGGAATAAACATACCAACGAAAGAAGAGCTTATTGCCAATAAACCGGAATTTGAGCAGCTTGCCGAATATCTAGGTAGGTATTAAAGTTTCTTTAAACTTCATGTTATCAGTCTTTACATTTTTAATAAAAAAGTGTTAAATATTTGTTAAAAGTAGGTGTTGTATATATTGTACATTCTGAGTAGTGAGGGTGCCTGGTGTGCATATACCCCATGGTTAAGTGCTGTGTTGGAGAACTAGGTCAAGGCAAGATCAGAAAAAGGATGAAAGGCTTTTTAGGCAGAGAAAACCATGTATTTCAGGTAAAGTCTCTCAAAAGCCAGAGTCCAAGAAATACAAAAATGACTTCACCACAGATTCTAGTAGAATAATTTGGATGTGGATACAAATAAAGTGAAGAGTCTATGTAGGCTTATCTTTAATAATGAGGTCAGAAGACTTGGAGATCTAGATTATCCAAGATAAGATATTTGCCTTTTAAATTCAGTTGTGGTATAAACTATTTAAATAGCACATAGATGTTCAGCCAGTGTTTCTTTTGACTGGTTATGCTTATGCCATGCCAGTTAAACATTTTGAACATCAGGCAATTGATATATTGTGAGCACTCACCCTTCTAGGAACATATCTGTATTATTATAATAACTTATCTATGTTATCACAAAAACTCTATAGTAAGGCAGTGTTTCCCTTAGCTTAGAGATGAAAGAATAGACTTAGGAAAAGAACTCAGATTTTCTTGACTTCAAAATCTATATTCTTAATCATGAAAATTACTCTTGAAGCCTTGTGAATCTGTTCTAGACTTGAAGCATTCGCTGCTCTTTTAAATTGTTATCTCTTAAATTCTCATTTTAAAATTTAAAAAAAATAGTAAGGCCTCAAGTTTTATTGAGTTCTTCCCACCTCGTGCACTTTTTTTTTTTTTTTTTAAGAGATGCTAAAGGAGAAATTCTTATCCTGGCTTAATTTTTTCTTCATAGTTGTAACTATTCTAACTTTTTCTATTTTAATTTTAACTTTTTATTTGTTTGGAATGAGACATAGTTATTTTTTTAAATAATTTTTTGAGGGAGGGAGGGAGACAGATAAAGAAACATCATTTTATTGTTCCACTTATTGATACCTTCAATGATTGATTTCTTGTATGTGCCCTGACCAGGGATCAAACCTGCAACCTTGGTATATCAAACTTGGTGTATTGAGACAATGCTCTAATCAACTGAGCCACCCAGCCAGGGCCACTTCTTCCTTTACAAGAGAAGTCTCACATCCTTTTTCTTTTTCCCTCTTTTCCCCTATAGGAGCAAACAGTGTTGTATATCTGTCAGTAGAAGGACTGGTTTCATCTGTACAAGAAGGGATAACATTTAAAAAACAGAAAGTAAAAAAGCAAGATATTATGATTCAGGAAAATGGGAATGGTCTGGAATGCTTTGAAAAGAATGGTCATTGTACAGCTTGTCTCACTGGAAAATACCCTGTGGAATTGGATTGGTAGCTGGTAGGGGTAGATACAATGTTTTAAGATATAAAGTTGGTCAAGAAGTGATAGTGGTTACATCTTATCCACTTAGTGTTACTCAGTTGTTACAATATAAATGCCATATGGTTATGTTGCCTTTGTAAGTTTTGAGTTGTTCTTTTTTTCCTGAAAAGGGTACCAAAGTGCTATGTTTTCTTTAATAAACCTAGATAAATATTTTGTTGTTATCTAGGGACTTGGATGGTCCTTTCAGTTTTATATTAGTAGTTTAGTACTTTGAAGCTATCCATTATGAGATTATCAACAGTAATGTAAAGGATGGGTAAATTTTCGATTTTAGAGGGGATTGCCACATATTATACCTTACCACAAATTCTTATAGAATTTTGTGGAATGTTTCTTATGTTATTGAAATTCAGTTATGGAATATTTTCATAATTGAACCTTGCTAGTTTCATATTACACAACAATACTGATACTCTGTTTTTCACACTAGCAACAGCTAGCCATTTTCACCTGGTCAGAGAAGGCAGGTGGTCAAGTGGCATTTGCCAGGTCCATGTTTCAAAGAGTTTGCAGTCAGATGGTGTGATACAAACAGGACATGTTAAATATAACATTTCATGCAAATGTGAATCTATTATACCCCAAATGGATCAAGTCTGTAGTATTCTGATTGCAATTATGACGTCGGCTCTCTTGTCTCACTTGAAACAAATCTTTTTTTTAATGCCTTTCTGTGCCTCACTTTTCCTGACCTGGGCAGTGAGGTACTTATATCACTAAATTAAATGATTAACAGGAATTTGAATATGTCATAGTGTTGGTGGTTAGAGCCATCATCATCACACATGTATTTTAAGACAGTGCATGGTTATTACCTTTTGAAATGTTGGCTGTCAGTTTGCCATCGAGGTTTCATTATGATGAAGGGGATACACAGTTTAGCAGGGCTTTGCCTACCTGCCTTTGAGGTGCCCTCAGAAATGATTGTAAAAAATATGTCTGTGGAAAAAGTTTTCCTGCATTTGACTAGGAAGCGTGATCCATACTACTTGTGTCCTGATAGTACAAAGTCCAGCAAATAACCCAGTGCATTTGAAGAAAAAAATAAAATTTTAGATTCTAATAAAGCTTTAATTTTTACTTGATCTCTTGCAAGCACTAGGTCTGTCTGGAAAAAGTGCAGCCATTGTTAATATAACAAGAACAGTTTGTGTGATAGCAGTGTAACCTGGCAGCCAAGGAGAGTAGACTGGAGTGCACATGTGTGAACAATGATGACCTCACTGTACTTGTCAGTCAGGCTGGTAGATGCCCTTGAGTGACCATGTCTCCTGTGTGGCTGTCACATTCAAAATGACTGAGCAAGTAAAACAATGAATCTGCATCAAATTTTGCGTTAAGCTTGAACATTCCTCCACGGAAACTATTTGGATGATTCACAAGGCTTTTGGGGACAATGCAGAGTGTAGTGCAAATAAGTGTGGCAAAACGCTTCAAAGATGGTCGAGAATCTGTTGAAAGTGATCCACCTTCTGGAAGGCCTGCAACAAGCAGAACACCTGAGAATGTTGAAAGTGTATGGACTATAATCAACAAGGTGCCTGCTTTGAAGGGGACTGAGGCGTCATTGTGCTATGTACAGTGTTTCTTGTATTTTCTTCAGTAAATGTCTCTTTTTCATATTACATGGCTGGATACCTTCTGGACAGACCTCATACATCTACATATGTGTATATGCACATACATATCATTGCAGTTAAATGATCAAGTTAGAAATACTGTAAGGACCAATTTAAGGATCAAGGAGACAACTACTTTTTTGGAAGGAGCATACCCATGTAATTTCAAACATCAACTTACCACTTTTTTCTGCTTAGTTTTATTGAGACTAATGGATTTGAAATTTTTGAAGTTTTTTCTTGTAATACATAATATCCAAGATTTAAAATTTGAAGACAACTTGCCCCCAATTACTGTTTTTGTAAGATTTTAAAAACATAAGAGTTTCTGTGTTACTGTTACCATAATTTGGTGTATATAGTTTCCAAATCCATTTGCAATTGATATTTATTAGTAACTGAAATCTTTTGTCTTCATTTGGCATATAGTCTCACGTCTGGTACGTCAAGATAAAAATCCTTACAACCCTTTAAGCCCAAGTGCATCCAGGCAGCGGGTCAGGTAACCTTGTGGCAGTCACACAAGTGAACTGGCATTTGAATAAAGCCCTGGGTCCACTTGAGTATTATAGCCTCTTGTCTTGTGTATTTCTCATAGTGGTGTGAAGGAGGCAAGACTTATGGGTCAGTTTTGAATAGCCTTACTTACATTTGATTTTTAAAAACAAGAGACTCAGGGAGAGTACTAAACCAAAATCCCTTATTTGACTTTTGTGTTTTCTGTAGTTTTTATTTTTTTCTGGTTTTTATTTTGTTTTATTGAAATACTTTTATAATGGAATATGATACTGTGACAGTTTGGTAATTCTTCAAATGTTTCCATCATGGCCATTTATTTCACAAGTTTCTCAAGTCTGAATTACAGTTTTTTTTACCAACTTAATCTAAAATGATTAACTTTTAAATTTATACAAGTAGAGTATTGTAAACTTCAGAGAAGATGAAAAATGTTTTCACAGGATCTATATTGTTGTAAATGAAACTAAGCCTACTTTTTTGTGACTTCATTGTGATGTGTTGGTGACAAATATATGTAATTAAGTATGTTTAAATGTGTGTGTGCTTTTTTTGAAAAAAAAAATAGTGACTTTTAGTGCATTATGGTGAGCAGTACAGTGACAGGTACGTCATATGCAGACTCCATACTTCACACCAGCTAGTCAGATCTTATTTCTCTAACGTAGGCCCTTACTAAATAGGCCATCTCTTAGGAATCCGGGAAAACTGCTGGCTGAGCAGGACGGACAAATAAAGTAATTAGAAATGCAGTGCTAGGTAAACATTATGGTAGTGGCAGGTTCTGTGGAAACACCTGTGGGAGCAGAGAGAGCGTCACAGAAGGGGCTTACATTTCCAAAATGCACGTGTGTGTTCGGGGAATATATTTTAAATCAAGTTAAAGTAGGTAAATGAATAAACTGGCATACCCAGACAACAGAGTATTATTCAGTCTTAAAAAGAAATGTACTATCCATGAAAAGACATGGGGGAAGCCTAAATGTACTTTACTGAGTGAAAGAAGCCAAGCTGAGATGGCTACATACTCTTATGATTCCAACTATATGATATTCTGGAAAAGGCAAAACTATGGAAACAGTAAAAAGACCACTGACTGTCAGGAGCTGGGGAGCGAAGAGGGATGAATAGATGGAGCACAAAGTTTTTAGGACAGTGAAACTACAGTTGACCCTTGAGCAACCTGGGTTTGAACTCCGCTCATTATCAGTTTGGTGTTTGTTTTTTTTCAATAAATACAGTGAAAGTATTTTATAATTTTCTTAACTTTTTCTCTCTAGCTTTATTATAAGAATACAGTACATATACAAAATATATGTTAATAAACTTACTGGTAAGGCTTCTGGACAACAGTAGGCTCTCAGTAAAGTTAGGTTTTGGGGGGAGTCCAAAGTTAATGCAGATTTTCAACTGGGGTGTGGTGCCCCTAAACCCAGTGTTGTTCAAGTGTCAATTTTCATTATACATTTATCCAAGCCTACAGAATCTACAACACCAAGAATGAACCCTAATGTAAACTATAGACTTTGGGTGATACTAGTGCATCCACTTTAAAATATTTTTCTGTTTTAACCTGTATGCTTTAAATAATTCTTACTATACTAATTTTAGACATCTTTTTCTCCTCCCTTGGAATTTAACAAAATCTGCTTTAACAGGTAGGCTTAAAACCATTCAATCATTTTAATTTACCGCCTCTGAAAATGTTGCCCTAGCAAGGGTGTCCAAACCGTGGGCCAGCCGCATGCGTGCGGCCCAGGAGGGCTACGAACGCGACGCAGCACAAAATCGTAATTATACCTAAAACACTATGAGATTTTGTGTGTGTGTGGTTATGTGTCGCAATGTATTTAACGTGTGGCCCAAGACGACAACTCTTCTTCCAGTGTGGCCCAGAGATGACAAAAGGTTGGACACCCCTGCTAGAGCATCAGTTGAGTCTCTAATGCCTTTTCCTTTGGATTTCAAATACAGGCACACCTCAGAGACATTGAAGGTTCAGTTCCAGACCACCACACTAACACAAGTGTCACAATAAAGTGAATCATAATTGTTTTGCTGGTGGAGGGTCTTGCCTTCAATTTGGGGGAAAAAACCAAAAACAAAAAGCCCAACATTTGTGAGGTGCAATAAAGCAAAGCACAATAAAATGAGATATGCCTGTACAGCCTAGTCGACTCTAAGGAAAATTGTCTTCATGTGTCTTGAGGAGGTCAAAATGAAAATCCAGGACTCTCAGAAAAAGCTGCATCCTCTTTAGAAAGACACTTAAGAATAAACTACAGTAAGCAATGTAGATGTATGTTTTTGTGTGCAGAAATTCTTAAGTAGCTGAGAAGTTGAATGTCAGGAGCCAATGCTTTTAACCTTTTGGAAAGTAAGTTTAATTTTGTGTCAGCTTGGCTAGTTTATGGTGCCGGATTGTTCAAATACCCATCTAAATGTTGCAAAAGTACTTTTTGGATGAGATTAACATTTAAATCAGGAGACTGAGTAAAGCAAATTAATCTTCATAATGTGGGTGGGCCTCATCCAGTCAGTTGAAGGCCTTAAGAACAAAGAAGTTTCCTGAAGGAGAAAGAATTCTCAAAATTCCAACACAGAATCCTGGCTGGTGTGGCTCAGTGGATTCAGTGTGGGCCTGTGAACCAAAGGGTCGCCAGTTTGAGTCCCAGTCAGGGCACATGCCTGGGTTGCAGGCCAGGTTTCCAGTAGGGAGAACATGAGAGACAACCACACATTGATGTTTCCCTCTCTTCCTCCCTTCTCTCTAAATAAATAAAATCTTTTTTTAAAAATTGCAACATAGAAACCCTGCCAGAGTTGCCTGCTGCCACAACTGTGTGAGCAAATCTCTTAAAATCAATATACACATATACACACACACACATATATATACATCCAAACACATGCGCATATATAGTCTATTGTTTCTTTTTCTCTTAAGAACCCTAATAGACCTATTGCAAATAGCATGGCCTCCCTCATCCCTCCATTCTTTCCATTAGCCACCCACTAATTTTCTCCCTGCCTTCAAGTGGGCAGCAAATGAGGACTTTAGATCCTTACAGTTTGATTGGATCCAAAGGCACTCTTCTGATTGTTAGAAGAGAGCCACTCTGGTTGGTCAGAGCTGTGCAACTGCGGCTGAATGGGGAAAGCCTTAGTCTTACTGGCTGAAGTAGGACTTCAGGAACTGGTGAGCTGGTTCAGATGGCAGAAGCATGGTGCAGGCAGGCAGTTCAGCACAGGCTTTTCCATGAAGTGTGGCTTGGGTGACAGGGCCCCATGCAGAAATGACTGCTAAGCTCTGCTTTTTAATTTATGACTACTATGTTCTTAATTTGAACCCAGGTGGCCACCCAGAACCCTTCTTAGTCCTCGGGGTTCACATTTCCCTCCTTTCATTCAGAACCAATCAACCTGTGTCTTATGTCCACTTGACCACCTGCTCTGGTTCCGACTAGTCCCTGGGTGGGACTACTGTGGCAGGTCAGTTGCCAGTACAGCAACTAGAGCCATTTGCTCTAAGGCATCTGCCAAACTCAAAAAAATCAATCTCTTACGAAGGCAGCTAAAACAATTTGGAAAAGGCTAAAGAACAACAAAGGCACCCTGGCCGGTGTGGCTCAGTAGGTTGGAGCATCATCCCATGGACTAAAGGCTCACGGGGTTGATTCCCACTCAGGGCACATGCTTGGTTTGCATGTTTGATTCTCAGTCGGGATGCATGCAAGAAGGTGACCAATCAATGTTTCTCTTTACATTGATATCTCCCCCTCTGTCCTAGAAAAGCAATGAAAAAAAAAGTCCTCGGGTGAGGATAAAAACAACAACAAAGGCAACAAAATTTCTCGTAAGAAATCGGGTATTTGACAAAAGGCATTTGGCATCAAGAGTAAAGGTGCTTAAAGTGGCTTGATGGATCATTTCTATCCTTCATGTAACCATTACTTGAGTTTTTGTAGGTTTTATACATTTGGTTATACAAAGCATCAATAGTTTGATAATAAAATGCATTGAACAGATCAGAATAACAATAAGCAAAACAGTTTGCAACCCAGATCTTAAAATAGCTCCAGGCCCAGTTGGGAGCCAACTGAAAATGTCAGAAAATTTAAATCCTAACCAGCCATTGCCACTAGCAGTAAAACTGTAATGCCCCCTTAAGGGATCTGACAAGGTTTTCGGTTT